GCACTCATGTGTAGGACGGCATGGTGGGGAGCTTCTAGAAGAACGAGCTTCGCGGAGGTGATGCGGGCAGCGGAGCGATGATGTCGCTAAGACCGGCGGAGCAGGGGTCGTGCTTCCATAGCCGACCGTTGTCCTGCGTCATGTTCAACATGTATCTGCAAGAAAGGCATCCTATATTGTGAGGGTTCAAAGTAGTGGATATAAATGTATTCAAATCGTCTATGGTATCATGGAAAGTTATTATACCCTCCCTTCATATCCTGACCTCCTAATCAATGGGCGCATGTACTCCCTCTCACCAAGGAAGAGGAATCGCAGCACATGTCCCTACCGTATGTATTTCCCCGCCATATTGTTGCATTATATGAAGAAAGAGAAGGAAAACGACAACGCCGAGTGACCTCTGGTGTGAGAGGGTCTATATGCAAAACAAGCTCTATATGTACATGGTAGCCTCAAGGCGATCGACATGCGCAACATGTAGAAGGGCACGGGAGGGGACTTGCGTCGTAGCATCGCGTCGCGTCGTTTACAGAGGGAAAGGAAATGCTCTTCGTTGATCGCCAAAAGACATCTCCAACTCCTTTTCCAGAGGCGTGATATCGTAGTCGACTTCCGTCGTGGGCGTCGACGCACCTGGTGAATAAAACTGTGGCGTATAAACACCAAGCTGTACTTTCTTCTCGTCTGTCGACTGTGGCGTATAAACACCAAGTTGTACGTTTTTCTCGTCCGTCGGTGTGCTTTCTATCGTGACCTTCTCAAGGATCTTGCCGAGACTACCAGCCGTGTCTGGCCTTTCAAAGTCTTCTTCATCGACATCCATAGTTGTCGGTATCCCGTGTGCAATGTTGTGATTTCGTTGGAGGTACTGCTGAAGGCGGTATTCTTGCCTCGCCCAGCTCTCGTCAACAAGGCCCAAAGCGGCTTTGATGTCTTGGTCGGAGAGACCCGACGGATTGTTCATCTCCTTCTTGGAGTTGCTGACTACGCGATTCGTGAGTCTGCTTCGGACAGAAGACGACTTTGATTGCGTGGGTATTGCTGCATCGTCTCGCATGGACTTGACCTGCTCTTCAGTCTGTTTCAGTGCCATCTGACGTGCCTCCTCCATGCTGGGAAGAAAGAGGAGAGTGGTGTTTCGATGAAGTGCATTGACTAGATCAGTAAAGCCAGTCAAGGCAATACCGTTGTCCTCACAGTAAAGGTACTGCAAAGTAGTGTTGACCTTAAGGACGTCCGCTAGGGTGCTTGCTCCCTGTACACCCAACTTTTGATCTGGTATGGTTAGACGGTTGCCTAGCAGGTATGAAATGTATATAGACTTACATCTGATGTACAGAGCTCGCAAGGTCCGGTTGTGTTGCAAACCCCGTAATGCTCGATTAATACCAACGCCTAGCTTGGTCGTCTCAAGTCGGGAGTCCTCCCCAGAGATGTCAAGCCACTCAAGACTTGTGTTGTCCGCAAACATCTTTTCCATAGCATGACAAGTTTCTTCCGATGCTTCGCATGGTAACGATGCTCGCGAGATATCGAGCTGTCTGATGGTGTTGTTCGCGGCCAACGCAAGAATCATCTTGCGAAAATCGGCGTCCTCTTCGAACTCTAGAAGACGGAGTGTAAAGTTAGATGGCGCGAGACCATCAGAGATAGCTTTGGTCAACTTGTCCAAATCTTCCTCAATATTGTTCTCGCTGACGTCTAGATGTAACTCGCGAGCTTTCCCAGGATGTTCTGTCATCGAGTGCAACAGGTACGCTATGTCTCTTCCTGTAAGGAAACAGTGGTCCAACCTGACTTCGCGAAGAGCTGATGATTGCTTGTAATTAACAAGATAACTATGCAGTCGTTAGTAAAACACGCAAGAAACCGAGGTATATAGCGGCTCACCCAGCGATTGCGTCAACCATGGCCGGATTGAGTGAAGTACCACTCAGAATCAGCTCTTGTAGTCTCCAGCCAGCAAACGTTTCGACTGAGATCAAAGACTCGAGACCCGACGAGCGCGCAACGTGCGACAGATTGAGTCGCGTGAGATAACCAAAAACGCCAATCTGGGAATCGAAGATGCTGGGCGACAGCCTGAAAGGGTTAGACGACAGATCCAGGGCCTCAAGCGTAGTCTCCTGCGCGCGAATGGCATCCAGTACAAGAGAAAGCGAGCGATCCGTTAGTCCACACCCACTCAATTCCAGGCCGCGGAAGTGGCACGCTCGTTCGACACCCGCTGCGACGAGATAGTCCAAATCTGTATCTCCAAGTTGTATCTTGTTCAAAGCTATCCAATCGACATTGGTAGTTTGGTACTTGCACAGCGGGAACAAAGCTTCCACAATGCCGCAGCCCTGATCTCTTGCACTGCCTCTAGCCTCCCCGTGATCTTTAGGTTTTCTGGAAATGCAGGCTGTGAAATCCATCCTCCGTAACTTGCGATTCGTAAGAGCCAAAGCGCGGATTTCTTGCACAAGTAGGCAGGACCGTTCAAGCTCTTCGACATCTAGCCGTGCATACGTTCCGCGTTTTGTTTTCAAGCAAACATGCTCCGCGCCATTCGGATCTTTCAGCCCATTCAGGACGTCCAACTTTACGTCTTTAAATGAGATTCCCCCGAAAGTTTCGTTGTAGCGCAACGCACGCATGACGGCGAGTAATTCGAGGGTGTTGTACTCTTTCCTGCGCAGGCCGGCAGGTGGCAGCAGCTCGAATCGGGGAGCGTCTTCGTGTGGATAGGTGATTTGATAGCTGATGTTCTCTGGCTGTACGTCGTAAGCAACACAATACCCAATCAAGGTCCTATCCAGAGAATCTTGATCCATCGGGTGTGGGCTTTCCTGCCGTCCAATGTCATGATGCACATCTTCTGGAACAAGAAAGTCAAAAGGTCGTGTCTCCCACTCTGGTCTCAGATTAGCTTCTATGGATCGTAGACGGACAGCGATGTCCCGCGAAGCTAACGATGCTAGATGGAGGACCTTAGGGCGTTCGAGAGGTTTACTGCGTGTTGTCAGCAGGGTCCCTACAGTGCAAGAACAAACATTTACCGGAAGGTTAATTGAAAGGTATCGTCGATTTCGTTTACGCACACTTCGGTCAGGGTTAGGATACCATGCGAAGACTGGGTGTTATGAGACACCAATGAAGGGCTTGAAGACCGTTGTGATGATGGCTTGAACAACGGAATAATGTGCACTTTGTGCACACCAATAGCAAGGAAACATACTGAAGCAGATACTTTGGCTAAATCGTCTGTGGAAGACCTCGTCGTCGTCTTCCCTTGTGGTCGGAGAACAACCTTGTATATGGCGTAGTGAGGAGGTACATAATCGCGTTCTGCTTCAACAACGCGCGCAGCCAGGTGAGAATTGTGTGCAGAGATGGGTTTCGCGTCAGACAATCGCGCCCTATTAGCCGCTTCTCGTATAGTCTTGAGCCAGGAGAACATCTCCTCTGGATCACCGAATTGCAAGGTCATGGATGAGGCGTTATTTGACTCATCATCCAAGTAATAGAGTTCCAGCGCAAAGTGTGGTCGGCCGTCGTCTAGATGGTATACCGCGACGATATGGCGAAGGGGTATGCCATGGTGACGGTCTCCGGACGACTCTGAAGCCATGGACTGGAGTTCGTGCGCAGATCCAAAAGATGGACTGTGGCTGTGACGGTAGTAGCTCATTCGGTTGTTCGGCGACGGTATCCTGTGCTCATTAGCCTTGTCTCTGAAGCTTGCCGACGCTGAGGCGCACCCAGGAAAAGCTTCAATCGCCTTGGAGTGGTTCTTGAACCTGATGAGATGCTTCTCAGTCAGCACCAGGTATTCTCTCTTCTTCCTGAACATGGAGCTGCTCGTCTGGACCTCGCCATGCTGCAGCACCTGCCGATCCTGCACGTCCTCCCAGATGTATTCCCCAAAGCCAGTCGATGTTCGCGTCGAGGTCGCAGAGAGAGGTTCGGGGTCGTCGTCGGCGGACAGTTTGTAGCCGCGGAAGGAGCTGAAGACGGAGCTGGCGCGCTTCAGGCTGGCTTTGGAGAGGGCCGGTCGCTGGGGGTCTGGCGGTTCCATGAGGGTGCTGCTCCCCACTACCGTGCTGCCGTTGGAAGGCACTGCTTCAGGGTATTGCGACACATCGGAGAGATTCGACATGAAGGACGCGGTGCGCCGCTTGCGCAGCAGGTTGGAGGGCTGCGATTCATCCTTGTTACTGCGCGACGCGAAAGCATTGAGGGAGCTGCTGCCAAAGATGCTTCTCCGCTTGTCTTTGGACATTCCGAGATTCTCGATTGGCGCGCGAAGCCCAGCACGAGCTCGGCGGCACAGCTATCGCATGCAGAGGGGCTCTGGGGAGAGGGAGGCAAGTGTCGCGTCGGAGGATATTCTCGGAAGATATTGACAAGACCTGGGGGTGGAAATTGGAGCGGGAGAGCAGCGTTGGGCGCAGAATGGCGGTGGAACCAATCAGGGCGTGGGCGCAACGGGAGACAATGCAGAGGACAACGGCGGAACGATTAGACGGTAGCAGTAGCAGTGGCAGTAGCCGTAGCAAGGCCCTGGGTGCAGCAGATCGCGGGCTCGGCCTGTTGCAGGAGGGGGGTCGGCAGGCGTGCTGTAATCACGACATGTTATTATTCCGCGGCATGGATGAGGGTTTCCAAGCTTCGCCGCCAACAGTGCTGTCGAGCGTTGTGTGAGTCTGTGAGAGGGCGCGGGATGCTTCACCGGGCCGACTATCACAGCGCGTTTGCAAGGAAATGACAGGACGAGATATACGGGTAGGATGCACGAGTGTATGGGTGGATTACAGGGTGGGTCTCTGGTTACTGGTAGCTTTCCGCGCGTCCACTGGCCCTGGCCGCTTGCGCGCGTACGTCACATGGCTGATCCCAATGATCGCCCGGCGTTAACAAACGCCGACACATTTTCTGAGGGCAGTCGCGACCGAGCGTCACTGCCATTGCATATCAAACGCCACCTGCTCGCCTTGCCCACCACGCTCCCTCCAATGCTGCGTCGCCAGCTGTCGCCAGCCTCGCTATGGCATAGGACTCCCGTTTGCCTGTTCTGCGCTGCCCGCAGCCAGACTCGACTGCCGCAACGCCAATCCATCCGGCACAAATCTGAACGCGCAGTCCCGATCAGGAAGCATGCTGTCAGAGACAAGAAGAAATCGGGAGAGGGGGAGGAGAGTGAAGGACCACGATCTATCCTAAGTGGTATGCTTGGTGACAAGAAAAAGAGGGACAAGGAAAAAAATGAAGAACGAGAGGCGATTGCTATCAGCACCTTGTACCCTTCCGACCTCAAATTTGAGGCTGTCGAAGTCGACAAACCACCCGTCCCCATGTTGTCATATGGCCTCGATCGTGTTCTATTCAATCCTGGTGTATATCTTCTGCAGGACCCACGAACGCACGTGTATAATTTCGACCCATACCTCGAGAAAATCATGCCGGCGAATGAGTTTGACTTCGATGCCTTGAGCGAATACAAGACTTCGTCCAAGGACGAAGATTTACTGGCTTTGACAAGGCGGGTTGGCACAAAGTTCACTGGCTCTACATCGAGTATGTCGAGTATGCTCCAACACTTTCATTACATCTTGTCCAACTTCCGAAGACTCAATCATGGCATGCTCTCACGGCAATTTCCCGAACCTTCTTCCAAGTTTTCCAGGATCACGCTTGGTCCCAGTGCCGTCTTCCTCCGGTACAAGGATGGTACTTATGCGATAGACGCCGACAAATCCTACGATAGCCCTAATATCATGAGCTGGTTGGGTCACTCATTAGAAAAGCTCCTCACAACCGAGCGCAGCGAATTTGAGAAATTCCGAAGGTCAAGTCCCGAGAAGGCGCCTACAGAAGAGAACGCTAGTCGTTGCTACCATTACTCGAAACAAGGTAACATTATGATGCGCTCGCAGTTAGACGCTGTTGACCCACGACTACCCGGAACTGGAGTGTTTGACCTGAAGACGCGAGCTGTTGTTTCTATCCGGATGAACCACAAGCATTACGAAGAGGGTTCTGGCTACCAGCTTCGTCACAGTCTAGGCGAGTGGGAGTCGTTCGAGCGTGAGTTCTACGACATGACGCGTGCAACCATGTTGAAATACTCTCTACAAGTCCGCATGGGGCGCATGGACGGCATCTTCATCGCCTACCACAACATCGAGCGTATCTTCGGCTTCCAATATCTAAGCCTTTCGGATATGGACGCTGTCTTACACGGCCAACATGACACGATTCTGGGAGACCAGGAGTTCAAGCTTTCCTTGAACCTCGTTGATGAGCTTCTTGTCAAAGCTACCGAACAGTTTCCCAATACAGTAAGTTGCCACCCGGGTAGTACAACTTCGTCGCTAATCACAATAGTCTATCCGATTACACTTCGAGGCTCGCGAAGGCAAGACACCCTTTATGTATGTCTTCGCCGAACCCGTCACCGAAGAGCAAGCAGACGAGATTCAGAGTGCTGGAGAGGCCGCTCAGAAAGAGTTTGCACAAAACGTTGTTGGTGTAGGGAAAGGTGATGCCGAGACTCAAGCAGCTTGGCAAGAAGCGCAAGACGACGTCGATGAACAAGTCGATGCTGAAAAGACTTCTGAAGAGGTTGAAGCGCAAGAAGACGAGCATTCGACTACAGTGGAAGACGTTGACCAAGGCATGGTTGAAGAGACTGCTGAAACTGCTGAAGAAGTTACTGAAGATTCAGATGATGTCGCCGAAGATACATTTGAGAACCCAGCAGCCCCTAATGGCCCCTTGATGGGTTGGACAATGACTGTCCGCAGTCTAGTCAATGGGGGCTATGTCGACCGACCAGAGCAAATCTCTGAATGGGATGACTGGAAGATAGAATACCATATCAGAGAGATACCTGAAGAGAAACGATGGAAGCTGTACAGGTCGCTCCAAGCGCGAAGGCATCAACTCATTGGACAAGACGAAGAGGCCGTTGACAGGGGCCTTAAGCATTACCGTGATTTAATACAGCGCTACAGCAATCGCGGACGCGCGTGGAGGAAGCAACAGGACAAGATCAAAGCTACAAAGGGCGTACAGCTCTTCCGACCACTTGGCCCTGGCTCAGATGCTGTCGCGTCGCAACATGATATTGTGCAGGGGAACGAATTTTCTGATAATCCCGACATTGTCGATGATCAGGCACGAGAGGAGGAGCCTTACAGCGAAGAATCGACACCGAAGGAATCACTCTCGAAGGAGAAAAAGGCAGAGGTGTTGGACGGCATGCCCTCTGTACCGTCGTAGGCATCACACTTGTAGAAAGGCCATGTCGTTTGATCTTTCTTTGGGGCTGCTCGCGTAGAGCATGATTACATGATTGAACGTCTCAAATAATATATGTAAGAATACGTGTACAATTTAGAAGGCAAGAGTAGCATAGATACGAGAACATTGGATACGAAGATTCATCGGCACAACATATTTTTCTGTCCAGACTTCCTCAGTATGTCTGGGTGACAAAGTAGCTCCACGAGATGAAAGAACGGAAAAGTATTGTAGTGTAGTGAGGATGATGTACCCGATCTTCATCTGAGATGAAGTATGCACCCCACATGGCACCCCCACTAAACAAGCTCATGTCCGAGCTCCGACCGAAAATGTACGTTGACATCACCTCATCTACATCTCATCGCGTGTTCAACGTTCAAACATCTTTATCCACCAACTGCGATTGCGATACGGCGTTTCTTTAATTAGACACGCGACACCAATGATAGCTCAATCATGGTGAGACAACATGGCAGCTTGGAAAAGGACGCAGAGACCAACGAGGCGGCTTGGGAAGCTGCAAGGGGTGCGTTGATCGGTGGTACGAAGGTATGCATACGTTTTTTTCAACATCCTTCTTATGATACTGCCTGTTGGTCTTTCTTTTGGATGTACCAGAATTTATCGACAAATGTGGCAGCATGACAAGAAAGAGAAGGAAGACTGTGTGCGTCCGATTACTATGTGCACCCGTGGATATCATTGGCCAAGATGTGCGCCTGGCTACAGATGAAGTTTGCGCGATCGGTTGTAGATGGATCAAGAGAATGCAAGATTTCTAATCTACTAGTACGATGGCTGACTTGGGGTTACAGTGGGGCGCTTTCTTCGCTGTGGCAGGTGGTGTCGCATACGCCTTCTCCCCTGTATACAAGGGACTCACCGTCCAATTCAAGACGTATGTGCTTTCCAATATTTCCCTACTACTCTTCCCTCACACAGACTAGTTACATCCAAATGTCCGGAATGATACTGGGTGGTATGCTCGAAGCAGATAAGCGCATGGTCGCCTACCAGCACCGCGTCCGACATCACAAGAGAGTAGCCAGAGACATGGAAATATGGAGACGATACGAGGACTCGTATGAGGAACGGGGAACGCCTGGCGTAGGGGGTGAGAGTGAAGTTCATGGAACTCAAGACAAGAACAACTAAGACTTTGCACGACCGTTTTGTATATGGTGTGAAACACAGTCTCAGGCTTCCATGCAAGTGTTTGTGGAGTGGAGACAACAAAACGGATTGTCATTGCTTTCACCTTGTATGAAAATGGCTTTATCTATTTAACTACCTTACTTGCGTTCTTTATCTCACCTACCTCACTACGCACAGCGCCCATATTCACAGACACAATGAGAACACCCTCCCCCGATAAAAGAGAGCGCGAGCCCTCTTCCTCTATCGAGGTGACACCCTCACCCGGCTCTACCACCACCGAATCCACGGCTAGTCAACCTTCGCATACCGGGTCTACAACCGACGGTTCTATAATCCACTCCTCTCCGACTAGCAACGTTTCATCCACGGGGTCGACAGTTGTCGAATCTACACCTTCTGAATCCACAGACAACGAAGCCTCAGACAGCCAGTATTCCGAATCCGAATCCGAATCCACAATGACCGAAGAACGCGGCCGTACAGATGCACAATGGTGGGAACTTCGCGAGCAGTGGATTTTGCATCGCTACGAAAAGAAGACGGAGTTTACGTGCCATCAGTGTAACAAGAAGAAAACAGATATTCTTGTGGCGATGAAGCCGGAGAAGAATTGGAATAACATGTGTTGCAATGCGTGTTTTTGCATGAAAATTGGGCAGGACTCCGATGAATGGAACTTAGTTCATGTAGATGGAGTCGATCATATTTGGTAGAAGGGGGGCCGATGATTACTGCTGAGGACCTAAGTATCATGATGTTCGTGTAGCTTCAGAATGTTCCAGTGTGTGCAAGTGAGTAATGAAGCTCCGGTAGCCAATGACGTGATTCGGCGCGATGCAGTTTAGCGGCAGCCCCCACCCGCGCCGCGGGCTTTTAAGCCACCTTGCGAATTCGCTTGCTCCTCTTTTTCCAGGCAGCACTCGCTGGTCCTCATTCACGACACCTTCACGCGTACAATTGCTATAGCTTCACGTAACGATGGATGTCTTCTGGACACTCCCGCCGGTCTCTAGGTAAGCGAGTCTCTTCCTCATCGAGCTCTGCACCACTCGAAGCTTGGAGCTTGCAGCTTGTCTCAAGCTCTCAAGCTACTGCGCAAACACCTGCGAACAATTGCTAACCCTCCCCCCCAGGACCATCACAGCTGCAGCAGTCGTTGTATCAGCTGCTGGCTATGGCGGCATCATTAGCCTCTACCACTACATCTTCGCGAGCCACTATGTCTTTACGACGAAGGTGTTCCCTCAGCTCTGGCGAATCTTCACGGCGTTTCTGATCACGAAACCGAAGTTCGGCATCCTGCTTGATCCATACTTTCTATACCAATACGGCAGCTCCATCGAGCGGGAGTCGTCTCGCTTCTCGCAGCCTGGCGACTTCTTCGTATACACCATGTTTCTCGCGAGCGTCATTGCCGTAAGTACTTATCTGCAAACACTCCGCGGCCACGCGTACATAGAAACTCCCCATATCGCATCGACACAACTGTCTGCGACGACTTCGGTCACCAAATCACCTCCGATTATCTGCCCGCCCAGCCTATTATTTCTAGCTGAAGCGGTTCCTGGAACGGAGGAAGAATACCCTTGCACATCATGCGGTCCCGTCATTCGCAATCAATCAAAGGGACTTGTGTGGTGTGTAGGCATGGTGGGATTGTCACTTGAGAAAGCTTTGCGAATGCTCTCCATTTCGCAAGGCGGTGTTGGCTCCCTACATACTTTTGCGACTTCTCGCGCCTTTGTTACCTTGTTCGCCTTGTCGCTCTGATCCAAACGTGCTGTGGAATGGACTTGTGCTAACAGTCCCCGTAAAGGCAACAGCAGGTGGCATTCTGAACCAGTACACTTTCCTCCCCGCGCTGTCCCTCGCATACGCCTACACGTTCGCCCAAGATAATCCCACGCGCTCCGTATCCTTTTTCATCATCACCTTCGAAAGTAAATACCTGCCCTTCGCCATGCTCTTCATGACCTTCATCATCGACGGTCCTGATGCAGCTGCCGGCCAACTCACCGGTCTCATCGCCGCTCACTTGTACGATTTCCTGACACGCATCTGGCCTACGTTTGGTGGTGGAACAAACTACATCCGCACGCCACAGATGGTCAAGGGCTGGTTCAGTGCGACGCCGGGCAGTGTGCAGGACAGGGGATTCGGTCATGTTGTCGAGGGAAGGGGCAGGACGGCTGGTGCGGCTGGAAGTGGTGCACCGCCTAGTGCAGCGAGGGCTACGGGGAATGCTTGGAGTGGCATGGGTCCGGGGAGGAGACTGGGAGAATAGATGTGCCGACTGAAAATGTCGCACGTTCTTGACTCTTCAGAGCCTTGGTGTTATTGCGGGCTTAGTGACATATCCGCACCTTGGCCTTTGGCTGAGGAAAGGCTTGAATAAACAATACATACTTATTCATTCCACTGCATGTGCAACCAACTGGAGTAATTGTGTACTTTCAGGGTCTGAGGTCGTACTGCGTCCTTGAGGAGTGGCGCACCCCCTTCTAAGACAAACCATGGGTTCTGTGAATTCAAGTGTACCCAGTCTTAGTCTTGCATATTTCCCGTTGTTCTGTTCCAGTCATGGTGAGTGGTCTCTCTGCAGTAAGCTTGCAATGCAGGCTAGCTAAGGCATTTATGGGTGCATAGGGATGATTTGAATGCCCGAGGAAAGCGTCCCCACTCCATTCAACACATGCTATCCAATCATACTTAAACACAAGTACGGCTGATGTAGTACGACAGACACGTGCAATATCGACTAGAGCATGGGTTCGTGTACAAGACGAGGGTTCTGGGCTACGATTATGCCAAAGCAACCACACATGTAATTTCTCAGCCTTGCATGCATTTCACTAATATCTCACGGACCCACCCGATACACCACAAATAAATATACCGTCGGCATTCTCCTCATTTCATAGCTACATAGCCCTCCGTGCTACTCCAAGAAACTTTTCCATTCTAAAGTCACCCACCATTGTATCGTTCACCTTTGAACAACTCACTTTACCGCCACAACAACACCTTTCCAGAACAAAATGTGTGAGAAACATACCATCGACTGGTACTACGGTTCTGCAAATGCGGCAAGTGGTTCAAGGCAACTACAGAGCTGCATCCGTGTCGAGATCCTGGGGTGAGGAGTTGTTGCCGGTAGACGGGCGGGAAACTGCGCGATCCACCGAGGAAGAAACATTCGGCTACGATGCCGTTGGGGTGGACAGGTAGTCATTGTGCTACCTGTGAGGTATAAGCGTGGGGAAGAGGGTATCATGCCTGTAGGCGTGGCTGAATACCTAAGGGTTGCTTGAAGTTCGAGCTACTCAGAAGTACATCTATGAGATGGCAGTCAGTAGCTAGATACTCAGCAGTAGCAGTGATTTCAGGACCAGAAACAATAACAAGATATGCACACATATAATAACAACAATTATGATGATTATGCTTCTTATATTGAATGCCTCTTGGCTATAATACAGGTTCCTACTTCTTCAATAGAGTAGAACTTTACTTTGAACTCCCAGCAGGGTTGCTTGGTCCATCGACAGCCCTCTCGACGTGTCCAGCGATACCATTCTTGCTCGCATCGAACTGGCTTCCAATGACACCGTCCTTGCTGAACGGCCCTCCAACCTTCTCGCCAATCTGGCCAATTGCGCCATCGGGGTTGACTGTATAAACTGATTAGCATCTGTACATTGAAGAAGACATGTGGTTCAAGATGTGAAGACATACACTGCTTTCCAATAGCACCCGCTGAGCTAATCACACTAGGGTTCTGGCTAGGGATGGCATTGGTGTCCTTGTTTGCGCCGAGCTTGTCAGCCGCTGCGGTGGTGTTGTCGGTCATGTTGTTTGGTGTGGATTGGTTGGCAGTGCCGAGGCCGAGTTGTTCTTGGAGGGGACCGGTGGATTTGGGCATTTAGTTTTTGGTTTGGAATGTGTTTGAATGAAATTACTTGGGGCGACAGGATAGTTATCTTATATGCGGAGATGAGATGGTGGTGCTGATGGGGTTACGCGCAAATGGTACGTCACGATTGTGGTGATGTCATGATGAGGGTGCACATACACATGCGGAGTTTGGGATACGCATACGGATTCAGACAAGTCGATGATGTATCTAGTGAATAGCTTCCGTGGATCTCGATTGTACGTGGGGTCGGGATCGGGTTTGGGTGGTCTTGATTTGTTGGATGGGTGACGATGGCGTTATACACTTGTCATGCTGGGAGATGGTCTCCACGCGTGATCTACAAAAGGTATCCGCACGGCTGAAATGGACATGTTGGACTACTGCGAATGGAAAAATGACTTCATAAGTGTAACTGTTGGTATCATTGCTGGTGCCTTGTGGTCTTTAGACCGTAATTACATGCGCGTCACGGCTAAGCCCGTCTCTTCGCTCGTGCTCCGCCTACCCTGGGAAATGACAATGGCAACTTGAGCTTGGCGATGAAGTGGTTGGCGCTTTCGGCCTTGGTGAGCTTCATGCGTGTGAGGTCGGTCTGTGTTGGTGCGGTGAGCTTGCATCCAAGCTCGGCGAAGTATTGCTTGATTCTGCGCAGCGTTAGCATAGGTAACATTAACAAGTCCTTATGTGATGGCTTACTCCTTGTTCTCGAGCTTGAGATCGTCTCGGAGATCGTTCACATCGACTTCGAAATCGTCAACGATGAGTGCTGCTGCCGCAATGTGTGTCATGAGGTTATCGATGTTCCAACGAGGCATCTCACCGTTCCTGAAGACGTCAGAAAATACTCAATGGCAGGAATCGGATGCAACTCACCCTGCCTCGGGAGCAAACTTCCTCCTGATAGCCATGATTTGACCAGCAGGCGTATCCTCACCCATCGCCGTCTCCAACTTTCCTTTCATGGGTATCTTCTTCGGACGCGGTCCACCCCCTCCAAACAATGCAGAGTTGAAGTTGATACAAAGCAGTATGAAGCGTAGTACCTTCAACTTCTGTATCTGCTTGTTCTTTGCGAGCTTGACGATACGTTTTGCAACGTATTTGCTGGTGACGTTGACACCCTGACCAGCTGATGAGGCCTGCACCCAGTCCTTGACATCCAGAATAGTCATCAGCTCGCTTCCAACCACGACGTCTGTGGGGTAAACATCGGCGGGGTATTCGGCTGTGAGGTTGGGCATCGGGCGAGGCTTGGAGCTGTCTACGGCTGCTGCGAGATCGTCCTTGTTTGGCATAACGGCCGTCGCAGAAGACATCTGCTGCAGAACGTTTTCGGCGATCGCATCGGTTCTCGCGGCATCTTCGGCGCCAGTTCCGCTCTTGATGGCGTTGAGTGTCCGGTCTTCAAGCGCCTTCCTCGACTTCTTGGATCCGAATTCTGCTGCAAGAGCAGCTCTCTTTGCTGTGACGGTGTTCACGGCCGCATCCAACCTCTCCTGCTCTTCGCGCATTTCTTGTGCCTCGCTTCGCAGTGTGGTTCGTACAACGACTCTCTTGACGGGAACAACTTGCAACTTGCTTGTCGCAGGGTCGAATACGCCGATGTAGTCTTGTAGTTGGCTCTCGGCGCTGCCATCCTGCTCTTCTGAAGCGGTGTAGTCTAGGCGGGGATGATCGGAGGACTGGAACAGTAGTTCGCTGCTTTCGCCTTGTGGTAGGATCTTGGTGCGCTTGTATGGCTTGAAGGATAGCTTCGATGGCATAGAGAGACCGGGTGTGACAGCTTGATTGTGTTAGAAACGACTCATAGAAGCGCCCGGTATCCTCTTGTCTATTCCGATGGCTTCGAACGCTATGCGACAGTCTCCAGAGTAGCTATCATACCTAGAAGTGGACCCAGAGTCTCTTTGTTCTCTACCATCTGAACGCGCACATTTCCTTGCGGCGCGCCGGATGTCTTCTTCTTGGGCCGCTCGCCATTCTGCTCCTGCCTCTTTCTCTTCTTTTCACTCATGTCGTCGTTGCGGTTGCGATATGGCAGCATTGGTCGCGAAATGTCAAAAAAGTTCAAAAGTCCAATCGCGAATTGGCAGAACTTTCGGGCGGTGAACTAGCAGGCATAGCCGAGCGACAGGGATGTTGCACGGACTAGTGCGTTAGTGCAGGCGCGATGACGTCCACGCGACAGACGCGTTCCAGACTGCCGCACTCCCGCACAACCAAGTGCGATCACGGCACACACGGGTCTTTCTGGTTTCCGTCTGTTGTACCTAGTCAATGCAGCTGCCCCAAAGCAGTAAACAATTCAATCCCTATCTTCATCCTTCATCCTCCACTCACGTCATCTCCATCATCGATAGTTCCATTGACCACTGAACTTGCTTCCAATTCCACCTATTCCCACAACCTCCACCATGCCTACCGTTCTCCAGACCGCGGGCGACATGGTCGACAATCTGGGCAACAAGATTCACTACACCACGAGGAGAGTGGGTGATCAGATCGAGACTACCACCAATCAGGTGCTACCGCCCAAGCAGCGCGAGCACATGCTCGAGAGAGCCCGAGACTACGCTCGCCAGAACCCGAAAGCAGCAGTATGCTATTACGCGTCCTCTGAGAAATACTTCTAACACCCACATGTAGGCCTTTCTGACCACACAGACCGCATTGACTGGTCTCCCGCTCGTGCTTTTCCTCGCTTTCGCAGCAACAACCCTCCTCGTCTCCCTCTCAACCTGCCTCTTCCTTGGCATCCTCGTCTCAATCGCCATTACCTTCTTCCTAGTCGGCTTCGCCCTCCTCTTTGTTGTCCCCACCGTCATCATCGCCAGCTGTTCGGCTACCATCATCTTCATTTGGGGCTTCGTGGGCTACATTATCCTACGCAGGTTCAATGAGGGTGAGGAGCCAGCTAAGCTTGGCACCCGCGTTGGTGACAAGTTGCACAAGTTGACAGGCGGTAGATCGGGATATTTCCAAGGCGATCAGACATCTGAGGAGAGCAGTCGCGACCGAGACGTGGTGGGTGCTGGAAAATCTGCAAAGGGCCATGATGGTGGTGCTGGGCACGCATATGGTGGTGTATCGTCGAGTGCGCGCGACGGCGGGCCTGTAAATGGCGTAAATGGCACGCAGGGTACTGTTGAGTGGGAGAGGAAATGGGATGGTGTCAAGTCTGAGCCTGTTGTCTTGGATACGGAGAACGTCTTTGAAGCTCTGAAAGCGGTAAGTACACATGCAGATTGCGCACAATACACAGCTAACGATAAGTAACAGGAGACTCCAGTCGCCTAGAAGCGTGCCTGGAACAAAAGGTCTTGAAGTATTACTATTCCTATAGCACCTCTATCTGCTATTGCACTCTATCATGAATGATTTCAGCTTACTACGAGATTGGAATTGAACGTCATGCGTGCATGCTGCCGTATTTTGATGTTTCCTCACAGTATGTTCTCCACAGTCTAAATCACGTGCTTCTATGCTCTCCTCTAAACACCGATATAAAGCTTCTCTTCTAGCTGCTTCTCTATCTCTCTATCGACCTCAGTACCTTTCTATTCCCCAAAATTCCTTGTCCAACAAACCATGTTCTGCGGCGGAGCTTTCCAAAAATGTACACCATGGTCTACAGGGACCTTTTGTTCAAAACCACTCGACGACATATAATCTACACACCATTTCGTCCCTTGCCATAGCCTTCCAAAAGTCTGCGATCCAAATGCTTCAAGGACAAAGCGATGTGCGGCATCTAAAATGTCGAACACGCCTATTGTGATCGGTTCGAAGAAGTGACGTGATATGTCATGATCAAAAGCATGAGGCAAATCTTCCAGTTGCGCAGAATCGGAGCACAAAATCTCCAGCATGTTGCGGTCGGCGAGCTTGGCCTAGACTCTGTACACCGTCTCCACAAATTCGAAAAAGATATCAAAACTCATCATAGTGTCTCCGGTTCAGAGGAGCATTGTGGTATATCTGATTCCCGGGAAGAGGTCGATATTCGGCATACGAGTGCCCTAAATACATTAAAACTACTATCATGTGTGGCGGCCGCATTTTGACCTACAATGCTATTTACACGAAACAACATGGAAAAAGAATACCCAATTTTTTGGGAGCTTAGGGTCATCAGCCATTACGACTATGTAAACCCTTCCTTCCACCGTTGTCGCCCTCCATCATCGCCATTGCCTCTTTTTCCAAAACGACTTATAAGTTGGCCATGTTCGGTGCCTGCTGTTGACCAAAATCACAACACCGACCTCTGATGTCCTGCAGCACTTTCGCAGTCCAGTTTTGTACCTGGTGATGGAAGGCTCGGAGTACTCAAAAATCGCTCGGGCAGATGCATGCTTCTGTCTTTTCTTGGTAACTACATCGTCAAAGTCTCCTCTCACGATAGTATATTTCCAAATCGGACTACCAGAATGCGATGGCAGCGCGAGCGTTTAGATCAAACTGGAGAAGGGGGAACGATCCCGCTTTGAGATTCCGGAATTGATCTAGCCCGTAGACATGTCGCTGTCATTGTGTTGTTTCGCTTCATGCACAACAAAAGAGATAGCGGGAGCACTCATGGACAGCTGTCCCTCCCAAATTTCTACTCTGAGTTTGTCAGGATAATCTTCCAAATGTCGAGATAGTACGAAACATGGGTGATACCAAAACAGATCGCCAAAAATGGCATGTCGCCTGGTATACAAGACCCGCAGCTACTTTACCATACCTGTTTGAGCGCTCTCTTCTCGGTAAACAAAGCAAGTCGTCTAGACAAGCGACTATGCTGCTGTTTGCACCGCTACAGTCGCTTTATAATTTCTCTTTCTTGCAACTGAGAGTCTACCATCTTCTACACCATTCGAAATCAACAATTAAAAAAGATCTACGAAAGGGTCATGTTTGCTGTTCTTGGTACAAGAGTGATGTCTCATGGGGGTATCGGTAGACACTTTTGTGCGGACTTCGGAAAGAACAAACTACATTCGTGATCACAGCATGATGCCGCTCTTCTGCAGCGGTCCGCGAATATATAAAGTCCCTTCTCTTACCTCTTTGTCTCCATCCAAACGACATACTGTCTTGTAGAACATTCTCAAAAACACGAGGAGAAAGTCGATGGTTTCTAGAAACACCAAAAAAGGCCGAATGGCCCTGTTTCTGCGAGTACCTAGGTAGACTTTAGCAGTGTGCAAAATACGCTCTTCTACTGTCCATGTCCTCTACTCATAAATCATTCTTCGAACCTTGTACTACCACGAGAGGCTAGTGGGATCGGTAACTATTGTTGCCTTCTTTGTGTTGATAGAGATATGTGGTAATGGCCAGATAGAAGGAGTTGTTGGATGACATCAGTGAACCAAGAGCCGAGTAGCCGATACAACCGTCACTTTATCCGAGCACGCGGCCTTGAACAGTCATGAGAAGTAAAACATATCACTTTTCAATCGCTGCAGGCTGCGTGCTTCAGGCGTCGGCTTTTCTGGAGATAGCGTCTTAAGAAACCTAGGCTAAGTACTTGGCTGCTGCCTAAATTAGCAACCACAGCAGCGCCATCATAACATTCACGCACCAAGTTTCCGCCCACGTCTACATTCTGAGATAGCTTCGTCGATACCAATACTCAATATGTCTGTGGTTTCATCAAGAGACTTGGCTCACACCAGAAGGCGTCTGCAAAAAGAACTGCAGAACCTCACAAGCGATCCTATAGAAGGCCTTTCCGCCGCACCCACCGATCCATCGAATCTTTTCTCATGGAAAGCAACGATTAGAGGACCGCCTGACACTCCATATGAATCCGGTACTTTCCACCTCACCATGGACTTCCCAGAGATCTACCCACGCGCCCCACCAATAGTCAAGTTCGTGACCAAGGTCTATCATCCAAACATCGATAGCGAAAACGGATGGATTTGTCTGAACATATTAATCATGGACTGGAGCCCTGTGTTGACGGTTTCGACGGTTTTATTGAGCATAAGGGCGTTTCTGGATAGCCCAGATACGGATGATCCAGCTTGTCCTGGGATTGCAAAGGAGTATGTGTATAGGAGGGAGGCTTTTGACCAGACCGCGAGATATTGGACAGAGAGATTTGCGAATGCTGGAAGCGTAATTGAAGATGCGACTGAGGAAACGGCACCAAGTCAAGGGGTGGCTGAGAATACGATTGAGGACTGGGAACTTGTGTGAGTTGGTCACTGAATTTGGATACGATCAGGTTTACGTAGAAAGCAAATGTTGACATTTCATTATTGTATGAAGCCCAGTCATATCTAGACCAAGTTGCTTATATCGCGAGACAGGAAGGCATGGTACCATCGAACTTCACTAAATATCTCGAAAAGGAGCATCCGTCGAAGTTATAGCTCAGACCGTACATGTCACTTCCGTCAAGCGACAGTGCCATCCACATCTGCATCATCAGTCACGATCGATCTAGTGGATAATTCAGAAGCTTTATCCCTTCAGGCATTGGGGTAGAACGGATACATAGCCCGAACGGTAGCTGCATCACCAGCAGAGATATCAAAGTGCGGATAAGGTCTACCGCCTTTGAGAGGCAGGAAGTGAGCTTCATCTCCCGCCACGTTGAACGCATACAACGGGTACAGTAAAGGGTTCGTTGGATCTGGCCCCCATATAGCAGAATTAGCCCCATGGCGACAATCGTAGTGCATGATAGAGTGGAAATCATATTGTGAAACAATATCCGTGGCTGAAGGTGCAAACCTGACGAACTCTGCGCCACCCCATCCGTACATCTGGGCGACCCCTAGCTGAGTGCAGAGCTGATCCTCGGTGTAGCCATCAGCTCGAGCTTTTGCTAGTGCACTATCGAATCCGATAACATTCCTACAGTTGTAATTAATGTAGAAATCTCGGTCGGCGCGCTGATGTTCGTGTAAGAGGCCAAAGATATGACCGAGTTCATGTGTAGCAACATGCTCGGAATTTCGGATCATTGCGTCATGGGAAAAGACCATCCAGTGTCGACCCGGTGTATTCTCGGTCCCTTTGTAGCCGACTGTCGATCGTGCCTGAACACCCGGCATGTAGTAGTAGTTGAAAGATATACAGACGGTCTGCGGAGGTATCTGATGGTTCCATTGGCCGTTCGCGTCATAGCAGTAAGGGTAGCTATCTCCGCTTGCTGACAACCAGCGGCTGAAATATAGGTTGTGACCGTTCTGAATGGAAGCTACCCCAAGTGTGCGGGTCCAGGTTTCCCATGCGCGATCGATGATATGTGCGCCAATGGCTTGCTCCGAGGCAGCATCTTTGAAGCACCATGGGATCAGAACTTGGTAGTTTGGGAGACGAGGCCACCGCATCTGTGAATTGACGGGAAATCTGTAGGAGTGAGTAGGCGAAAGTGCATGATTTGTTCATGTAAACAGTGACTCACCCGGCATGAGCACCTGTGTCAAGCTCATCTGTAGCGTTGATAACACCTCGGCGTGCCAAAGTGTTGTTGTTGAGAGGGTGTGCTACAGGAGACGTAAAGACGAGCTCAAAAAGGGTGAAGAGAAGGAAGAAAAGCTGCATGCTTGAAGGTTGTGTCCTGCTCTAGTGCGCGGTGTCTGAGGTTGATGCAGTTGTGTACTCTCCGGTGTACGGAGAAGGGCAGAATTTAGGCTCACAAGCCAGATACGAGGACTAAGTAATGGAGATGAGGGAGGTCATTGCGTTCAGCACATTGATCTAAGTGAAGGTAATAGCCAGTGGGGCGTGAGGATACCGCGAGCCACAGTATGTCCGTGAAATGAGTCCACTGACGTGGCGATAATCGACATAGTCGCAAAATTGCTGTCTCTAACACTCAATACATGATTAGGGTCCTACCACTGCGGGGAAACAGCGGGCAGCATCCACGAAGCACGATATAACTATTGTATATCAAGTGAGAGCGACTCGGGTACGCAACGATGATGCACAGTGTGGTGATCCGATACGTCTCGAGAACTATAACCCACAAGATTCTTTCGGCATTAAAATCGTCGTGGTCGCGGTATGTCGTGTAAGAGCAGGAGCACGGGGGTTGGCCTCCGTGTCAGTTTCGCGTGGATGTGACATGCTAAGAAGACGAAAGTGTACTAGCGTCGCACGCCGCCACATTACTCAGGGAGCGGCATCTATCTCCGTCCGGGTCTCTATAACGCACCTCTTCCGGTCTCTTTGCATGAACTGCAATAGTTGCAAATCATAAGCTACCTCGTTCTTATATCTTCGAGTTAGGCGCTATAATTGTCATAGCGCAATAGCTATCTCCCGAATGCAACCTCGCATTTACAGCAACGCTGAATATGGAAGCCTGGTCTCAGCCGTATTTCACCGCAAATGATGAAGTATATAGCTGATGCTTGGCGTGCATGGTAATGGCCTTGTAGGTCATTTCAAGCGACCGTTGAAGGCTGTGCTGCGCAGGATGGCGCAGGGGAGGGGCGCAGCTGAAGCGAGCAGATCTTCATACCACTATTTGCACTTGCTTCGCTACTTGATCATCACGCCCGAGACGCGTTCCCTTTTGACAATCCATATCATTACTCCTGGCCATACTTTGAGTCGTCGCGAACAGTTTCACGAAACTACGTGCCTTTGTGAGGTCGCATTCCAGCAGCACCTTGTCTAGCAAGAGCCCCCACATTCTCCGCCCCCAACAAGCGCTGAGCCAGCGCTGTCAGACTGCAGTTCAGATGCGACTTCTGAATGCCAGGACTTACGAACTCCAAACCTTTGTCGGCAAGGATAAGCCGAACTACGCAATCTTATCGCATACATGGGAAGATGGGGAGGTTCTCTTTGAAGATATCCAGAACACATCAAGGGTCGATTGGACTGCGAAAAAGGGCTACTTCAAGATTAGGAAGACATGTGATCAAGCTTTAGAAGATGGCTGCGACTTTGTTTGGATTGACACTTGTAATATCAACAAAGACAGTAGCTCAGAACTCTCGGAAGCCATCAACTCGATGTTTAGATGGTACAAAGACGCCACGATCTGTTACGCTTATATATCCGACATCAAGATTGGAGACGAATGGTCATTCTCGAAGTGTCGCTGGCTTACTCGAGGTTGGACGTTGCAGGAGATGATCGCTCCTGACCGCGTGCACTTTTATGATGCGGACTGGAGCTTTCTAGGCAGTCGTATATCCCTTGCAAACGAACTGTCGGGAGTTTCTGGGATACAAAAGTCGGTGCTGCTCAGAAGGAACTATACTGGTGAGCGCTTAAACATACTGACTTTCAATTATTCATACCGACAGAACGTCTAACTTCGTATAACACAGAAGAAAATTGTTCCTGTTGCAAGAAACAAGGGGATATGGACGCTAGGTTCATGCTGGAAGGATTCAGCGTAGCGCAAAAGATGAAATGGGCTTCTGATCGAACGACGACGCGTGAGGAAGATGTTGCTTACTCTTTGATGGGGCTATTCGACGTGAATATGCCCCTCTTGTACGGTGAAGGTACGAGAGCATTCTTTCGATTGCAAAAGGCCATTCTTGAAATGCGACCAGATCACTCGATCTTGGCTTTCCGATTCAATTTGCCCAATATGAACGGCGGGGACTGTCCTCGTTTTCTAGCACCGAACCCGACTGCATTCTGCGACGACTTCCAGAGCATACCTTCATCGACTCTTGTCAAAGATGCGAGTTTACTTGGAACCACACTATCTATTGATATGCTCCTCTGTCCGGTACAAGGAGGAGCTGTGTTTCCAAAGCCATATCTTGGCATTCTGGACTGCTCGATGGCTGATGATTCTCATGCGAGACCGGCTATTTTACTGTTCGCCATCGACCACGAGGTCCGTAAGACATTCCGTTGCACTTCCTATACGAACAATCTGTACCTTTTGCATTCAAGCCATCTCGGTGTGGCTAGGGCCATGACAGCAGATACTCAAACGAAGCTAACCGACCAAGCGGTGCTTTCATACAAGCCCAGGGATATTGAACGCGTTCGCATCTCCATCTTTGGCGGAGATGTAGCTAGTGGGACTCTTGGACTCCACTCTGCGACGGGATATGTACAGGTCAACATATCTTCGGTCTTCCGCGACTTGGGGTACAAATACGCTTCATCCCTACCTCTAACAGAACAACACATGATATTTGCTACATATCCCCCTGGTGCTATAGAAATCGTGCACGAACGGGCTGGAAAACTTAAAGTTCACTGGGACCTACACAATGGTCTACTTTATTTCAACATATCATCTTTTTCGAGCCCACCAAATGAGCACACGACACAAAAACAGACTGCTCTTCGATGTCAAACAGATTCATGGTCCATAAACGACTCTGTAACCACGTCGCACAGTGAACTAGGCAAATCGAAAAGCATCGTAATCGAAGGTCCTGGAGCTACTACCCTTGAAGTGTGGATCTCCATATCCAATGAAACGTTCATTGGGAGTAGTCGTCTCGTATTAGCCGTTCATGGGAAGATCAAGAAACCAGAAAGTGACAGAAAGTGACAGAAAGGGAAAAGCTGGGCTAATACTGGGATTGCTTGGAACGTGATCACGGTCCAAAGAAGTCTGTCTAGAAGAAGACAGTCGAATTCTCATTCCAAAGCGCACTGATGTTGATAAGCGCAACAATGATTTAGCGATTCTCAGCCTGCTAACCCTCATCCGATCTTCCTAAACTTGCGCCTCACCCTCTTGCACACTAGTCACCACACTCTTGATCATCCTCTCCCAAATCCTCCTCACAACCCTAAACCCCTCAGCCCACTCATCATAATCCTCCACCGTGCCAAAATCCAACCACCTCCCACCTCTCGCCCCAACATACTCCATTAACTCCGCGTCCGGCTCCTCACCCCCTTTCTCAATTCCCACCTCCTCCGCTCCCTGACTTCGAGAACATTCTTTACCCGCCTCCTCAAGTGCCTTCTTGGCCGCATCATTCAATGTCCTCGCCTCATCAATACTACCCGCGTCATAAACCCAGTGCACTAATCCCCAGCGCACCAGGTCCTCTGTGTCGCAAGGAGTGAAGAGTAGTTGTACGACGTTCTCAGCCTCCAGTCTCATCGATTTGTCTCGACCAGGCGCTATGTCGTAATAACCCACCGCGTGCTTGCCATCTTTGTAGAACTCCGGTAAGAAGAGGATAGTCATGAGTTGATCGCCCTTCTTCTTTTCATACGGTAGATCGTCCGTGAAGACAGCCTTCTCCTTGCCTTTCCACTTTCGATTGGGAGCGTTGTTGAATGGAAGGATTGGTAGAGAAGCGTTTACGGCTCGGTTGGGCAAATGCGTGATTGCTGAATCGAAGTTTATGAACGGAAGATTCTTTTCTGCGATGCGTATTATGGCGAGGAAGACGGCAGGGTTGGTGGTTGTGGCGCGGTACCAGTCATAATTGAGACGGTTGAGTTTGGGTTTAGGAAGGCGAGCTTTGCCGTCCCAGACCTTGTGTCGCATATGTTCATCGTTTCCGTCATCGTTCTCCTTCTCATTCTCGTCATCGGAGGATAGTGGAGATGAAGAACAGGGCACAGGGAAGGCATCTCTAGGAACGAGCTTCTCCATGTCCTGTGCAAAGTCTGTGGTGATATGCTCATACGTCTTCCGCAAAGTGAGTTGGTGTCGATAATGGTCGATTCCTAGCTTGCGGCCTGCTGTATCTAACTCAGTACTATTGACGACAATATCGTCTTGGTGGGAGTCCCAGGGGTATTCTTTCTCTTTTGAGATCTTCAGAGGTCGCGTGAATGATAGCGGCCTGTTGGGTTGTGGTGGAAGGACTGATGTAGGCCCGCGCATATACGGCGGTGCTTCTGGTATGTGCGTTTGTCTTGCCATCAAGATAGTCGAACGTCAGACTATCGATATCGCACGTATAGCACTGAACGCTGCTGTTAGAAGTCGCGAAATTGGTCTTGTCGGTAAACACTAACAATCACAAGGTCAAAGAAAACCGTTGGTTGGTGAGAGATTGAAATATGTCCGTGCACAGGCTGCGTTTGCAATTACCACTTCACTGCCTTTCAGCAAGCTACAATAACTATACAATTACCGCTACCACACAAACTCCTAATCCGACTCATCGTCTGTGTCTTGACCAAGTACGAGGGATATCTTGTCGTCGTCACTGTCATCGTCATCGCCTCCTTCACCTGGCTCCGGAAGTTCAGGCACAACTGAGGCAGTGCTGGTAGCGGCGAAATCTGAGGTAGCGGGTGCAGTAGTATCAGAAGCTGCACCACTTGATGAAATTGCAAATGCCGAAATAGGAGGAGTGGGGTGTGCTGTGCGCTGTTCGTCTTCGTCGGTCCTCGGTCGCTTGGATGGTGAAAGAGGCCCATCTTCGCCGATCGGTCGCTTCGTCTCGGTGAAAGCAGTAGGTTCAGAGATGTTAGGGCGTTGCGCAAGTGTACCTTTACGAACCGATCGTGGAGTAGATTCGATAGGCTTGCTGGGTGTTGGCGCATCCTTCATAGCAAAGTCCTTTGCGACTGTATCTGGCTGGCTAGCTGTCTCCAATAGGTCGTCCAACTCTTGTCCAGCAAAGTGATCATCCGCCTGTTCCAACGATTGCGTCTCTTCTTCCTCCGCCTGATCTTCTTCAACTTCCATCTCTTCGTCGTCATCGTTCTCATCTTCCATCTCCAAGTCCTTACCACCCAAACGGATCACCGGCATTCTTGGTCGCAGCATGCCTTCGACATCCTTCTCGGCCGAGAAAGACCGGGCCATAAGTGGTAGGATGCTTGCGGCAGGCTTTCCAAACTTCTTGCTTGGTGGTGGATTCAGCACGCTAGCTACCATTGCGTCCTTGTGTTGCGTAAGGACAGCGGTGCGATCTAGGCGGCCTCGCATGGAGTCGGAGAGGTATTGAGCCGGGATGTTCGAAAACAAAACGGGAAGCAGATTGTGAGCGGCTTGTTTGAGACCATCAAATCCAACGTTGGGTCCGCTAGTGTTTTTCGTAGTGCCGAGGAAGCTATCGGCATTAGCAGTAGTTTGAGGCTGACTGTTGCCATTCGCCTTGGCTTGTCCGGGAGTTTGTTGGGTAGAAGGTGCCGCGATTTCGGATGGTAGCAGATCATCGCAGCAAGTACGGATGAGCGGTACGAGAGAGTCGATAGTAGCCTTGTGTAGAGCGATACCAGATCTCTTCAGTAAAGCAGCAATGGCGGTGTAACACACCGTTCGGATCTGGCTAGTCTCCTTCTCTGCGCCAAATACCCATACGAGCTGGTCGATGATGATAGGGTCTAATGCCAATGTGCTGGTCTGAGATCGGTGTGCTAATGCGAGAAGCACTTCGATGGCTGCAACGTGCACGTCTGGTAGTAGCAACCAAAGACTTTCACGCTCTTCCTTGCTAACTTGCGCGTTTAGGCGCACAGTGTTTTGGAAGTTCTTGCTCGCGGACGCTGGAACTGTAAGAGAAAGCATCCTTGAGACCAAGTCTACTATCATGCCAACATTGAGATACACTGTATTTACTGTGGGGCTCTCAATGTACTCCTTGATGACGTAAAGAAGTCCCGCCAAACGCTCACCACCAGCAAAGATTCCTGACCATGGTGAAAGATCGGAGCCAGGCTCTAGATCTTGGACTTCATCATCTAGTGTATGTCCGTTCGAGAAGGGTGCTTCCCGCGCTGAAGATTGCCAGTCCTCTACCACGGCACGGAACACGCGGTCCGAAGTCAGATGAGTCAGGTTTGTGATATTCTTCACAGCCTTCGTCCACTCTTCGCTCGAAGCGCCCTTCGGCGCACAGCAGGGCAGCTGCACATAAAGCTGGCGCGCCGCGTCGGTAAGTTCGGAGCAAGTCCCAAATCTAGCTCCGGTTTGCTGCTCTTGACTGGTCTTGTCAGAGGGTGTGGGTGCGATGAGACGTCCCAGAAGCGGGTAAAGTTGCTTTAGGTAAGACCTGAAGATAGTAGGATGTCGGGGCAATAGCTCATTAAAGCTCTCCAGGATGATCTGCAGCAGACTGACGGGAGTCGCTTTGGCGTTCGCTAGCTGCAAGCAGGTCTGGAGAAATGGTGGCAAGGACGGAGTGGTAATCTCGCGAATCAACGTCGGGTATTCCCTGGTTAGGAGGAAGATCCGTGTCAAGATGATGATGCACAGCTTCTTGGACGATGGCGAATCTGGCTTGTTTAGGAATCCGAGAAGACCGCGCACCCACGGCAAACTCTTTTGTAGAGTCTCCCAACCTCCAACTTCAATAGTGGCCTTGATCAGCACGATGGCACACCATCTTCCATGGGGAGTCCGATCTTGGAGCAAGGTGGAGAGGAGAGTCCGGAACTTGTGTATGGCGACAGATGCTTCAGAGGATGTCGCCTTGGTGCCTGAGGCCTGAGCCGAGGAGAGTAGAGTTCTGCAATTGGCTAGTGATGCAGCTATGGCAGGCACGTGTTGGGGAAGCTGGGATGTTGGCGTGGACGAGATGCGGAAACTAAGCGCGCGCAGTGTTGCCAACTCGGATGCGACGGGCGCCATGATGATAGCGATTCCTTCTTTTTCTTCTCTTTTCCCCAGCTGGATTCTGATCAGCGGACTTGTTGCGGAAAGATGATAGGAAAAAAGTTCGAGCCTCGGAGTTAGCGTCGGACCGTATGGCGCTAAGACTGCAGGGATGTGCGGGCCAACTGGGAAGAGTGGGACTGGCATAGCAGTCGGTCTGTGACATGTGTACAGCCATGGCAGGCGGCGTCGCATTCAGTATTGCTCGTCGAACATGATTCTACAAGTATCGCGACTTTGTCTAGTGCCAAAGGCATATTCTTAACATCATGGTGGTATGTCGTCATGACTCTTCTTCTTCGCCAGGACCCCTAGCAACGTCATGCTCGACAACGGTAGCTTACTGGACATACAGAACGCCCCCGAAAACGAGAAGGCCAAGCGCTACATACAGCAATTGGATGAAGCAAGATGCGCCGGGCGATGGACCGACGTCCCTGAGCTATGTCGCAAGGTCGAGAAGCATGCGCCGCACCGACGATGTCAGCAAACCTCTCTATTTGGTCTTTCTGAAGACTAACGGCAATCCAAGGCCTCACCCTCACAGCGCGATCCGACGCTCAAATAGCCACCCATAGTTCGCAAAGGCCCTCGACGGCCTCCTCTACCGCGTCTACTGGCGACCTATCCAATATCATACCCACACTACTCGCTACAATCGAAGAAGATGGCACACAGGGCCAAGATATCTTCCAGGCCAACGTCTGCCTGGCTTGGGCTCACTACGTACTGGGTGAGCCAGGACAGGCAGTTGCGCGGCTACCGCAAGACTTTGGGGCAATGGCGACCCAGCTGTCCGGGGAGTCAGGCACATTAAGTGGCTGGTCAAAGGTCTGTCTGGTCAAGGGCACATATCTGAAGGGTACGAGTATAGGGAAGCACTCGGCGGCGGCTCGGAAAACTAACACACCACAGGCTCTGGGCTAGAGAAGACAGGTGCCATAGATGAGGCAGTCATGACCTACTCGTCCATGATACCTTGGCTATCCTCCAACACCACCCCAAACACTGAATCAGCCCAGTTCAAAGTGTGGGGCGAACAGTCTCTCGTCCGCCTCTGCCGGCTCTCGGATCAGTCCGCGGGCACCAGCGAGAAGATCAACGCGTCCGATGCTCTCCGTACCTACCGCTACTGGGCAAAGTTCTGGGATGCAACCTCCAAGAATGCTGCATCAGACACCGGCAGCTCAGCACTATACCGACGATTAGCATGGAAGGCATACTATGACTCGCTGTCCACGATCCTCCGTTACGACCTAGCCTACGAACCTGATTCGACACCTATCATCCAAGAGAAGCCAACACCAACCGCCCAGTCCGACGCACGTCTACGGCAAAGAGCAGAACTGAAACGAGTAGAGGCTGTCTACGAGAACTTGTTGATAAGGGAGACCAAGTTTCCCAAAGCTAGTGAGACCAACCATGAAGTCGAAGCGTGGGTAGACTCTGTCATGGACAACTGGCGCCTTCTATGTGGTCCTAGCTGGAGTGACGATGATCTGGGCGAAGGTGGAAAGGAGGGTGTCGCACGAGGTGTTCTTGATGTAAGACACCTGTATCTCATGACAACCTTAGACTGACAACATCTAGATCCTCTACCGAGCGGCCACCAAGACATACCATTCTACGCAGATCTTGCGCAACCTTTTTGTTGTCCACGCGTCCCTCGCCGAGCCTGAACTGGCATACAAAGCTTACGATTCGTATGTCGAAATCATCACACGCAACAAGGATCGATCAGAAAAGTCAGGCGAAGTGGAGGCGGGCATTGACGACGATAGTACCGTCATGAGGACCTCCGCTGAGGCAATCAGGATGCTCTGCCGTTGGGGGTCTAGGCACGATGCTGAGCGGGCTCTTGAGATCAGCCACAGTATCGAGCACTGGCTTGAACAGGCGGATCACCTCAGGTCAATGTCCGATGCCGGCTCTGTCGCCTCTTCCGAGTCCGTGGTCGAACCTACAGCTCTAGCTGCTGCTTACTGTGCCATCGGTGTCAGTCAGGCGCACTGGGCACGACTGACATACGAAGTTGAGGCGCGTGCAAAGATCCAGGCCAAAGCTATACAATACCTAAGGAAATCATTGTCACCGAGTCTCGGCGACGAACACAACGTGGAAGCCCTATACGCACTGGCTTTAGTTCTAGCAGAGACACGAGATATCCCTGGAGCCATCAAGGTTGCCAAACGTGCACTTTCTCCCTCGACAAAGGGTACGACTATTAGTACAGATGGAGTCATTTCTGGTGGCATTCCGACTGAGTTTGGACGCGAAAGAAAGCTAATACCCGTATGGCACCTTCTCGCTCTACTTCTCACATCGCGATCCGAGTTTTCCGCTGCTGAGAAGGCATGCGAGGCAGCTTTCGAGCAGTTCGGTGATCCCGCTATCCTCTTCGGTCGTGATTCGGGCGCTTTCCGAAGCGAACACCTCAACCAAGCTGCTGGGCAAGACACGCTCGAATCAGGTGTTGTAGATCGCATGGAACGCTTCGAGAAGAGCAACATACTGCAGATTAAGATGACGCAGCTGTCTTTGCTCGAGATCACCGATGGCGCCACCGCCGCAGTAGACGGGTGTGACGAACTTCTTGCGTTATATGGCAGACTGTTCGGTGACCCGGCAGCTGACAAAGTCAAGCCCGCACCTGAACCGGCAGCACTGGTGCCCCCAAAAAGTGCTGTGGGAGCTGGTCGAGGAAGTATTTTCCGCGGACGAGGATCAGTCAGAACAACTCAGCAAGAGACCGTCCCTCGGAATACATCTGCGGTCAGTGGGAACACAGCTACGACGAACCCAGAAGTGCCTCCTGCGATTCAAGTCACCGACGACAAAGGTGCCGACCACGCTAACGGCCACCACCGTCACCATCTATTCCATCACCACAAACAGAATGATGGTCATGCAAGTAAAGATCCCACATCAGAGGTACCACCGCTTCCAGGAATCCCTACAAATGGCACACCCTCAAAGTCTCCGCACCCAACTTCTGTTTCTAGTCCCCCAAGGAAATCCCTAGAAAGTGGTGAACGACCGTTGCGAGATATTCCTCACAACCTAGATCATGTCTCCCCACCACTGGGTCACGAAGAACATCCTCCTAGACAAGACACCCGCTTACCTTCTCGCCTCCCGCATGCAAGTTATATCCCTGCGGATCCTTACTTCTCCAAAATCCAAGAGCGTCGCCAGAAGGTTTCCTTATTGGTCAGCATATGGATCTTCATCTCTGGGCTGTACCTAAGGGCGCACATGTTTCAGGATGGCCGGGAGGCTGTCGCTGAGGCATTGAAGCTGGTGGAAGCGTTTGAGGCAGAGGTGTCATTGGAATCCTCAACAGCCAAGGCGCTCGTTGAAAAAGGATGGGGTGGTGGTAAGAGTGTTGAAGAGCTGTGGGCTGACGTGTTCGCTGCTGTAAGTTCTCGAATGACGTTCGTACCACTCTTTACTAACAGATTCCATAGCGCGCAGAACAGCTCGTAGCCCAGTCGCTGAAGCATGAAGCTCGTGTAGACTTTGAGCACGCTCTACAACATTTCCCCGACCACCCTGAGGCCATTGTCGGCCTGTCGAACATTCTCTTAGACATTTACACTGAGACCATACCACTGGAGCCTGCCAATGCCGACGGTGTTGTGCATCCTTTACCACCATCGGCATCTCCCGACCAACCAAGCATAACCAAATCGAAGACACAATACCTGACTTCGCACACGCCATCAGTAGAGAACCAGCTCTCCTCCCCAGAGCTTACCCGTCTCGCCGCGCGAGACCGTGCATACGGTCTACTGTCCACACTCACCAAGCTTGGTGCTGGTTGGGACTACTCCGAGGCATGGTATGCAATGGCTAGGGCATACGAGGAAAGTGGGCAGATCGATAAGACGAAGGATGTGCTCTGGTGGTGTGTTGAACTCGAGGATACGCATCCGGTGCGTAGCTGGAAGGTCGTTACTACGGGTGGGTTTGTGCTGTGATTAGTTTGAGTTGGTTGTACGTAGCTGGGTCCAGAGTATAGTCTAATACTTGATACGTGTATCTCCTTATTATATCTTGAACGATATTGCAGTATGTTGGGTACTAACCGAGTCGCTACCCTCATCATGTCGTACAGACGTTTCCATATCCATGTACATGGTCAAATGCTCTCAGCAGACCAAACAGGTGGGCAATGCCAGCACAGACAACCAGGCAATGCATAATCTGGTGGCTCGAGCCCCAGATGTCAAATCGATAGGGATACCATTTCTCTGGGATCTACACATGATCAGCCTTCCCCACGTATTGACGAGAACAGCATAGTCATCAAGCTCTTGAACTTACTCTCATGGCGTACAACGCGCCGCCGGTAAGGTTGAATGCCGTCATCAACGCCATCCAGTCTAGACTCATCCTCCACATCTGCGTCTCCCAGCCAAACTTCAACAAGCCATGAACAATGGGAATGATGAACGAGAGGCCAAGCCCAGAATACATGGCTGCGCGGTATGGGCGATACTTTGGACGACGGAAAGCTGGGTGAAGCGTCGCGTAGATACAGCCTGCTGCTAAGACTGACACGAGAGTGTAATATGTAGTTTGTAGTCGTTGTGTACAATAGAAGCCATAGTAAACGCACGGAATGGTGGAGCCCCACATGAGTATCACGATACCAAGCTAGAGGAGTCAGTGGCTGGCTGGCATGCGACATGGTGATTACTTACGTAGTCGAGCTGATTACCGAAGACGTGGATGCTTTCGCTGTGGTTGTTGAAGACGTGAAAACTGCCACTCATGTCAGCTTTTGGATGCCAGAAAAACAGAGACGCGGAGCGTGGTACGTTGCAGATAGCGCAAAGCAAATTGCGACACCGAAAAAGAAGGTAGAGAATACGACAACATCTGCTGTGGTTGCCGTGCCGTATCTCGGCTGCAGGGAATAGTATACCGGTATTGGAAGTGCAAAGAATAGTACTGATCCTACGAGATGCGAGAATATGTTTACTAGAGAGAAGTTAGCTCACCCACTACAGGCGCTGCATACAATTTTACCGGTTTCGTTATGGATACTGATGATGCTCCCGAAGCATTTTCTGTAGGATCCTGAGACTGCTCTGTGTTTCTTCGCGTTCAGAAGACAACCACGATACAAGATTCTCGGAGACCTTACCTGTAGCCAGACAAAATATACTCATTATCTCTAAGTCTTGTGAGCGCATGTTCGTGACAAGTACCTATCAAAGGGTGAATGTACTGGTACCAATTGGCTGCAACATCGATTAGCTATAGAGACTTGATTCAGTGAGTTACTTACGAATCTCATCCCACATGAGCAAGGAACGCGGCTGCCTTTCCTTTATCTGTTTGCGAGACACATCCTGGCGACCATCAACTTTGGAATTCGCATGTGCGGTAGACATCTGCGTACCTGGTGCGCCGCTGCTGATTCTGCCTGTTCTGCAGGCTTGCGAGATCGAACACTCATCCTCGAATAGATGTATCCTTGGGCGTATAAAGTTGAGGTGAGATGTCTTCGGAGAGTACAAGTGGTACGTGCTATGTTCATGTGATCTAGTGCAAGAAAGGAAAAGTCGATGCACGGATCAATCCATAAATACGACGCATGTAAGCGCCTGATCTCCACATCGATTCCTTCTCGTTCGGTGATACTTGAATCAACACCCAGCCCCAGTCGATTGCGCCAAATGGCATATTAGCGCCTATCTGGCGAATGTCACCGATGGTTTAGCAATGACTGCGCGTGATTTGCAAAAGTTGGGGGCCGTTTGTGCAGGAACCCGGCAATTATGCAGACGACCGGCGCGCTGTACGTTTCACTTTCCTGCGTGAGGACTATCGCGAGAATGTTCTTCCACTCTTATTTGTTGCGCTATGCATGGGTGCGCATCCTGATATGCAAGATTCCATGTTCTCGACAACTTTTGCTCACACAACCTCCTGCCTCACACACATGTTCAAAGCGGCCCCCATTCGCACTGCCGCCGTCATGCAGGCCTGGCATGTAGTTGAACATCATGGGATGATTAATCCTCGAACTCTAGTATAAGCAATGTGCGCCTTTGTTTCTCGCCCTACTCTCGTCGGTCTGATGTACACTAATCGTCTTGAAAATCATGTTAATGTTGTTTAGCTTTACATTTATTCTCATCATTGTTCACAATGTGTCCGCAATAAGCACCGGCAACGTCAACACTACAGATACTGTAGGCTTCGTAGCAGAGGACAATCAGCGCGACACGATTTCTCTGCTTATCAGCTGCTTAGCTACCCTTGCTTTATGTGTTTATTCAGCTGTACACTTGAACGTACCACGCAATGCTGAAGGCTATCTCAAAGGCCTGTTTAGAGAGATTCAATGGTGCATCCTTGGCCTGTTCGCACCGGAACTGATACTATACGCGGCCTGGCGACAACTAGCTTCTGCGCGACAGTTGTATTCAGAGGTAGAAGAGGCAAAGAGGAAGAAAGAAGACAGCGCGAGAACACAAGAAAAGGTAGCTAAACGACCCTTCCTTGGGCACTGAAACTAAGAAGTACTAGACAGTAGTATCCAGAAATCATGACCAGCACCACCGTAGCCCCTGGACTATCGTACATGGATTCTACGGCACGATGGGTGGCTTCGCCCTCGATATTGACGATACCAACTTTCGAAACGCGGTCTTGTTCAATGGCGCGAAACGTCTTACCCTAACTGCAAAGGGAGTTGCACTACTCGCCCAGTGCGGACACATTCCCGACATCTCTATCGATGAAATCAAGGATAAGAACAAAGCAGATGGTCTTGCTAAGCTTCTCGTGTGTATTCAGGCCGGATGGATGATCATCCAGGTTATCAGCCGGACAGCAGCTGGATTACCAACTACTTTGCTCGAGGTGCACGTTGTAGCTCATGTCGTTTGCGCGCTTATCATGTATATGCTCTGGTGGCACAAACCTCGTCAGGTAACTTCTCCAACAATACTCAAAGGAGACTGGCTACCTTTGACTGCTTATATGTATCTAGCGAGTCAAATGAGTGGTAAGGTACCACAGGGCAAGTTTGCGATGTTTCGATTCGCCACTCCCGAACTAGAGAAACTGGCTTACTTCGAAGCTAAGACGACAAGGCCTGAAGACATTGATCAAGTCAATCATTGTGATAGAGCGCAATCTCGTGGGACCGGTCATCTTAGTATCCGTCCAACTATCCAGAATTCGGAACAAGCAGGCGAAGCAACCTTGCAGGACCCCGAAACCGAAGCCAGCTCCGAGCTAAAGCGTCTCGCGGAAGAAGCTTTACTTCTGTATCCGGTCTTACAAACTCACTTCGCCCCAGCTCGCGAAGGGAATATCTCGGGTACCACTTATAGGATACCCTACGTTACCGAGCTACTACAAACTCATGCACTCGACTGGCCAAACGACGGTTTACTTCGCCGCACCCAATCTTTGATCATGGGGATGGTATTATGGGGAGCTTCAACCGTGTATGGTGCCATACACGTTGCGGCTTGGGACTACTTCTTTCCCAGCAAGCTGGAGCAGCTGTTCTGGCGGCTGAGTTCTATATGGGTGACCTTTTGTGCTGCGTTCTGGTTGATCACCAATCTCTTAGCTCATGTTTTCCCCTTCATCGACAAAATCTGGGTTGCCTACAACAAGCGGACACTTGGATGGTTGAGCACTGTTGTCATCTCGCTCTTGTGTATATTGTGTGGTATAAGTTATATTGTAAGTCGCGCATACATTGTGGTTGAAGCTTTTGTCAGCATTAGGAATGTCCCAAAAGGCGTGTATGATACACCAGCGTGGTCGCAAGTTTTCCCTCATCTATAGACCTTTACTTTGCGCATTCGCCCTTAGCAGTTGTCAATTCATGCAGTTTTCGTACTATGAATATTCCGTACAATGCGATGAAGAAGTGGACAGTCCTCTGACGAATAGTAAGCCGATACACACAGCTGTCACGCACGAAAGATCTCAGAGCGCGTTAGGCTCCAATACTAGCCTCGAAAAGCTGCTACGTCGCATCGGACGTATTTCCGGACCGCGTATACGTGAACGAGAAAAGTTACGGCAAAACCTCCAGGATCGTAATTTGCCAGTATTTAGGTCAAATCTCTTCCTCGATTCCATCTTGCATCAAACCTCCGTAATACAATGATCCTTTCCCCGTGCTGCGAGCTGCTCTAACTCCTTTGATCATCTGCACATGAAGCTGGTCTTCCGAAAAGAGATTCCATAACGGCTGTCTGATCTCCGCTTCGTCGGCGCCCAAGAACCTTAAACGCACGTTGAAAGAGATGTCGTGGCGGTTGTGACCAGCTATACAAGCGTGATAAGCTAATCGATGGAGCAACCAGGGTAGATCGCCATAGCCGCTGAACACTCGTCGTGGTGTGGGGTCATTAGGACACATTATCTTGAAGGCCATTCTCTTTGCTCGGGAGGTCGTCGTGACAACAGGCAGCCCAATGAAGCCATCCGGGACCTCGACGACGACTGTGATGGGAGGGTATTTGTACATGGGTTTTGGTTTTGTGCCTGCGTATCTGATCGTTCGTAGGAGGAAGCTAATCAGAGCCTCTAACATCCTTGCATCCATATGTTTCCGAGTGAAGCTATTCGTGCAGAGTTGTTTAAGCAATTTGGTGTTCGATAGTCTGCCATCGCGATAACGGCGGATATCTTTCACGCAGCTGGACAGTCGGTGTCTCAAGAGGCAGGTCAACCAGCTCCAGAATACGCGTGAGATGGCGAAAGAGTTGTTGAGGTCTATGAGACCAAGAAGGTGGTTTGCTCTGATAATGACTGTCGGCGGTGTTGCTAAAATCTTCTTGAGGAGCGGATTTAGTATGTACCCTGCTTCTTCATAGATTTGTCGATTGGTTGCTAGGATTGATACACCTGGTACCGTTGTACAGGCTAGTGTCATATGATCTTGGCCCTCTTGTAGGTGCACTTTATGACGCCTTGTGGCTGGGTGTAATTCTCCATAGATCATCTGACGTATCTCCTTTGGTAGATCCAAGAACCTGAAAGGTTTCGTAGCATCGATATGTAGCGGTGAGAGCGCACATGATTTCGGCAGTGATGTTGTCGCCACTGCTTCAGGCAGCGAGAGATGAACTGGCGCTGTGCGACCCATGGATGTATTATCGCAAGAATTGAAGAAGCAGCAGCACGGCTGTCGTTGGGTAGGGTTAAAATATAAGGTTATCAGTCTCGACCTTGACAGAGGGGGTATTTTTCCAGATACACATGTGGTAGTGCGTGATTGCAGATGAGGACTAGCTTTCACCGTGCTGGGTAAATACTACTTCCCCTGTGAAGAATTGGAGACCATCACCGATATCCTCTAGGTTATTGTCCTTTGGGTGGAGATGACACTGAGCCGACGAGCCAATCACAACTTATACGAAAATTCATATATCGCAACAAATATCATCGCAAACTGGAGGAAGCCTCACACTTGCCGTGCATCTATGAACTTGCCCCTGTATTAAGCGGCCTCTAATGTTGAGTACAATTCGTCTTCTGCTTCAAGCCTACCTACTGTTCCTCGAATGCGAGCTTCCAGCCAGGATATGCGCTCTCCAGCCGAAAGCTTGTAATAACCCGGCCAATTGATTTCCTTGCAAACAGCATCAATACAGGTCCTAATGGGTTGCTGAACATCACACTCTGCAATATCACAATGCGCGTCGTCCATGTCCTCTGCGGAAGCAATGCGCCAACTTGCGCCTGCCTCCACAAAGCGTGTATAATAGTCTGCTTTCTCGAGAAACCAAAGTTCGGCCGGATATCCGAACTGTTCAAGCGTGAAGTCCGCGATATACTGTTCGCGACTCGCAGTGGTGATTGCGAATACCGAATGTCGGCCATTCTTCGTTACAGGTTCTTCGTCAGAATAGTGAAGTATGGAAAGAGGTCGGACAGGAACGATCATGAGCCAATCTACTGTAGCACAAATTGACCGAAGCGCATCGCGAATCCAACACAAGAAACTGAGAACGCTCAGGTCACACTGGTTGAACTTCAAGATCGCTGTTTGCATATCGTAAGGAATGCTTGGCGGAAAGGCTGCTCGACCCTTTGCACTAACACTAAAGGTATTTCCGTTGGCAGGATGAAGAGTGATAATTGCGGGGTTGGAAGTCCGGTCTATTGTGAAATGACTTACGCAATCGTTCTCTGCGTTCTCCAGTATATTCATGAAGATCTGTCGGAACGGTTCTAGAACACCCTTGATCTGATCGTATTCGGACGCATTAGCTGTTGCGAGGTCTTTGGTGCTCAATGTGAATCCCATCGTCGCTGGTTCCACTCTTTATCCAGAGATTCTCAGTTTCGTTCTTTCGGCGATCACTGTTTACGAAACTTCATTTCGATTCATGGTCGAAATTGAAGAATAAGAGCTCAAGAAACGAAAGTAGAGTAAAGGTGCGCTGTGTAGTCATACTGGGTGGGTTGAACAACCACTGTCTCTTCTGCTTCAAGTTGGAGTTCGTTCGCTCGTTGTTGGGCTGCTTCGCCAGTACAGCCCGCATTGTACAATCTGGTGTTCGAGGCGAAGTTGTTCAGCGAAGTCAAAGTGACTAAGTGAGAGTTGTCTCCTAACAATGGCGACGGATTATAACAGTAGTCAAATCGCCACTTAGTTGCCAGGAAGATACGGTGAAAGACGTTGAGATCATCGTGGCATCACGGGGTGGAGAAGGCACGGCCCGTGCGATATTTAGCGTGATCTTAGCGTGTACCCTGCATCTCCCTGTTAGCTGTCCCCCTCCTTCCACTTCACCACCACACCCCGTACCTCTGCCAAGGAAAAACCTTCCAAATCGCGACTTCGTTGATACCGAGGGATTTAGTCCGCAAAAGAGATGCTCTGCGCCAACTGCACAGCCACAATTGTGCTTGCATGGCGTGGATTGCAAACGATGCACGAGACCCACTCATAATGCACGTTACGGTCAGGCCACTGCTGTAAAGCCACTCACACTCAGCCACGGGGCGCAAATTGGGGCGCTCGTGCATGGCTATACGCAACCCCGGCTCTTGGCAGCCGTTTACGCAACTGCTCATAGACATTGTGTAGGACGGGGAATTGCGTGGTTCGCCTGTTATGGCAATTTTGTGTAAACAACCACCACTTCCAAGCCGGCACTCGGCACAGTGTCATGAAAGAGTCAGCGGCAGACGGTAAGATGCAGGAGTGGAGATGGCTCTCAGTGATCCTGAGGAGTAGCACAAGCGGTGGATCTGGCCTACGTTGTGTTTGTCGGCTGGGCATATGGGTCACTCTTACTTCCATTCTGGCCGTGCGGTGACCGGTACTCGGCCTATGCTCTTTCCATAAAGCTCCTAGCTTTCTCCTCATACTGTGGACCTCTCATCGACCTCTTTCCTCACCTCGCTCAACTTTAAACTGTCCAGCTCCATACTACACTCTACATCAACTCTATCACCACTCAAAACCCTTTCAATATGACCTTCTACCACACTGCTGAGGACATCCGCATCGATGACGGCCATATCCTAAGGGCTCGTCTCCAGACCGCCGACGGCGAGTGGAACGATGCTGAGATCGACCTCAACAACCACATTGGTAACGACAACGGTATGAGAAGCGTACAAAGTTTACACAACTCTTGCTAATCTGTAGTAGGTCATTTCATCTGGGACGGTGACAACTTCTCCCATTCGGCAGAGGATATCGAGTTCGCGCTTGAGGGAGACGGTGACGTCCCTGTCCTCCGCGCTACCCTCAGGGATGAAGATGGCAACGGTGAGACTCGCGACATCAACTTGGGCGAACGCATCATCAACAACGATGGCAACTTCCATTACGGTATGTCATGATGAGCAGACACTTCGACAGATTGTTGCTAACACATCTTACAGAGTAGGCATCTTCCTGCGATGGGCCTAGTACAAGTTCCTCGTGCCTCGATCAGATCCTATGACGAGTGTCAGTCCTACGATATGAGCTTTGGGTATCTTCGTGTACTTCCCAAACGAGATGAAATGATACAGTGATTCCCCATGAACACTCTCATAGCCTACCTGCTATACTACCGTCACGGTATCCGACTGTCGCTCCGATACCTCGTGCTGTTTCTTGTCCGGAGAGATCTCAGTTTGTCTCGTCCATTCACTGGTTAAACCTTTCACCCACTCCTCCCTCTACTAGCAGTGTTTAGCTGCTTCAAAACACATCTCTACATAAGCTGTGACCCTGCGCTGCACTGCCCATCAACTTCAACGGCCAGCTTGACTATTAACGTTTCTCAAAGTTGAGGCCACCAAATAATCAGCTAATCTCTCACACCACACACGTCGCAATTAGCCACCATTCAACACTTACTTCATTATTTCAAGACTACAATGGCTGATGAACCGACGACACCATCTCTTGCACCCTGGCAGATTCACAACAGATTTGTCGATATCATCTGCAGCGACGCCTGTCCAATTCTTGATCTGATCCCATCATACGATCGTTTTCGGTTTGACTTGAACCAGTCCGAAAACACCGTCGTCATGTACATGGGCGAGTATGGCGACAGCGAGATCATAGCGTATCCCGACGGCTCCGTGACGAAGCGCGTCATCCGAGACTCCAACATTCGCAAAGCAGGAACCACCATAAAAGTCATCAAGCCCATGGGCGGGCAGTTTAGAGCTGTCGCGCCGTTCAGCTGGAGCGACAGTTTACGACAGGGTATCATTACCCCCATGAGCGCACCAACACATGCTCTGGTATTGGTGTATATGCACATCTGGGTTCTGAAGACTGAGGAAAAAAATGTTGATCTGCCCCTGCCGGGGTATCAAGGGTTGTATGACGCATTAGTGTTGATCCGGAATGCGATAGAAACAGAGAACATGTTGCCGATTAGGCAGCGCAGAATTCCAGCGGAGGTACTAAGTGCCCATCAACTTGGAAAGATCGACAAGGATAAGTCAACTAAAGGCGATGTGGAGATGGAGGGGGCTTGAGCTAATCCGTTCGTAGTGACTCAATGTATAGGCCGTGTTTCGAGACTTTTATGTAGACAGGATAATTCGTAAGATGATTGATTTGAATTTGGAGAACTGAAGCTTTGATAATTATGGTGACGTGTCGATGTCGAACCTTAAGTTCCTGACGGTTTTCACATCCCGGCAGACGCTAGTTCTGAATTTTGTTATTATGAAAGTTGTTCTCTCCGAATTCAAAAGTAATTAGAACACTGTGAAAGCTCATTTGAAGCGCTGGGGGTAGTTCAAGGCCGAGAAGATGATTATTGGGATTGAAACATGCTACTAGACAAAACAGCTTCTTCGTACGCAGCCTGCATCGCATACTACGAAACTGACTACCAGCACACATCACCCTACCCTTTTGTATGGGCAACTTCGAAAAGCTTGTCACCATCTACAACCATTCGTCTTTCCAAATCTCTTGCCATCGCTGCCCTTCGAGATACTGTCTAGCTTGCGCTTCTTGCTTGTTGTTCGACAATGCGTCATCCGGTCGTTCTGGGAAGCGTCGTCACCGAAATTACCAATGACACTGTCCACATCGTCTCCAATCACGCTGTCGGCACTGTTTCCATGCACGCTGTCGCAAAAGCTGGCGACAGCTCCCATGGGTTCATCCTGGTCCTCGGGCAGATCGAAAGTTTGATTGATACCGGTTATGTTAGCAAGAGCTTGTCGATTCAGCTTGAGTCTGAGAATGAGTGAATCATAGTATCGGTGATCTCTGTTCGCAAAGTTCGTTGGTAGAGCGCCGCGATCCCCACCCTCCGGAATTGGGTTCATCACTAAAGCGGCGCCCGGAACCTTCCTCTTCCATGCCGTATCACACAATGCCATTGAAAGCTTGGATCGAGTGGCCTCCGTGGTCTCTGAAGTTTTTTCATGCTGAACTGCTTGCTTCGCCACCGACACTCCAACGGTGGTGCTGATGTAGTCGAAGGCAGCCATAAGACACGCGTCGAATCGCGGCCATCGCATAGCACAATCGCTTGATCCCGAGATTAGCCCATAGTAGGAGACAACTGCGCATAGCATACCGCGCCCGTCTTTGGCGCCCTCATCAAGTTCCTGTTGCAAGAAGCAGAACGGCGGTCGAAGTTGAGAAGCTTTTCGTAGGAGCGATGATGCAGCGCGTGGATATAGCCGTGTCGTCGTAACACCTTTGAGGTTGGTCGGTACCCCATCGCGGAACACGATTGGTGGCTCGCCCCCAGTAGGATCGTCGTAGATGTACGCCCATACAGTAACTGTTTTCCCATCACTCTGGTTCCTATATCCGAGAAAGACTCTCAATGCCCAACGACCGGAGAGAATCGATTGATGAAATTCAAAAGTAGCATGCGAGAGAATTTCATCCATAGCGAACAAGAGATCGCGCTGCTTCAGTAAAGCCTTCAATCTCTGGATATGACGCTGCGACCCGCACGGCAGTGTATTCTGAGCTTTGTCTAAACTGGACATCAGTCCTTATCTGAGGTTCCCTGTGGCGCTTTGATGATATTAAGGTTGTAGATAGAGGCGATAGAATGAAGAATCGTATGAGGCAGTTCGATGTTGACTGGTATAGGTGACGCACAGATGAATTGTCCATTACACGCCCGAAATTACGACGACAACCGTGTCATTCTTGATATTCTCAAAAACTATTTTCACCATTCTTACATTACATAAGCTTACATCGCCTCTTCAAGCCACCTTGTTGACCAAACTCCAAATGCCAGTCATGTCCGTCATGCTCTTGAAAGAAAAGAGAACTTATAGTGTGCTATAGACAATGCACCCCTCTGGCTCTTAACAGAAGCTTGTCAACTTTGACCCATAGCTTCCATCCGATAGCAATACATGAAACATGCATGGTTGTACAAAAGAAGTGACCGCTGCGACGCGTCTCGTACTAGTTGGCCGTAGCCATTCATTTTCACACGCTTCTTGTACCCAATCGATTCGCTAGCGAGGTCTTGATGAAACAACGCGAAGGGTTTCAAGCTGAGATGATTGTCATGGGACTTCTCGATAACATCATTTGTGAATATTTGGCTCGTAGGTGCCCGTTATCACTTGGCATCATCCGGGCAAGCCATAGTCTACATCTATTGGTTATGAGCTAGGCTATCATGGCCAGTCCTGACGAGCAGTGTGTACGTCCGGGGAAATTTTCACCTACGCTGTCCCACTTGATTCACTGGCCCTCTTCTGTATAGCGCGCTAGTGTCACGCTAGTCGCGACCCCATCCACACAGTGCAAACAATATGATCAACACACAACAAGACGCGACTTGTCAATTTTGAAGACTTTGAGATCGCCTACAGAAAACTCCGCGCCACTACAAAGGACTCCAGTCACCACCATGAATAATAACGATGCTTCTCTTGAGGCGATTCGGGCTGCCTTGGGTGCCAGTGCCCATCTCCTCCAACATCTCCCGAGCGACAAGGTCAGAATCAAGTCCTTCGATCCCAAAAAGGGAGACCGCCCCAATACTATGCCCTTTCGTATGCTCTTCGGCCAGATCAAAGAGGGACAAGACAAGGACAGCACTGTGTGGATATTGCTACAGCACAACCACTCTGCTGACCGCTCACCCTGTCACTTCTTCAACATTTTCGATCGCTTCGACTCTATCGTAGGGCAGATCAGTATGGAGGGTGCTGTACGGCGCACGAATCCAACGGCTCCTTTCAAATGTCTCAAGAAATCAGGCGACATAGATGAAGATCAACTGCGGGCAGTAACCAAATACTACTTCATCTCGAAAGAAGTGAATACGTCTTCTCCATGGACAGTTGGATCTCACTTCATAAAGTCGCTCACGGCAGCATGTATATTGGCGAGAGAGTATGGAGTAAAGGTGGCTGCGAACCAGGAGAGGGAAAAGAGTCGAGAGGCAACTGCCCAGAAGGTATGCGGAATCAAATTGAAGCTCCAGCCTTCGGCAGCCAGACCCAGGGTAGTGAAGAAATGCGATATCAACTTGAGTGTCCGGCCTCCGGCATCCAAGTCCTGTGTAGGAGAAGATAAGGGTGTCTCGGTCAAGCTGGGTGAAGGATCAGCGAGCATCACTTCATCAGTCACTAGGGTTACTACTCCTCTCATCACCAAGGCTAGGAGGACTCCGCAGCCTCCGAAACCGCAACGCGCTCCCATAGCCTCCATGATGCCCTCAACTCAAGAATCATCTGATTCATCTGACTTGTTCATTCCAGAGAATGGCCATGTCAAGGCTGCTTTCGAGCCCTCCGTCAATAACACCCGAGTCAAGATTCCGGACATCTCCACAGTCCCAAAAGCCATGATAGGTCCATCATACCATACGCCTCCGCTTTATACAACGGCCAATATCTCTGATGCTTCAAATGTCAACAAACACTGCGATTCTCTCATCCACTCAGATTCAGACAGGACGAATAATGACAGCGCAACCATGGACACTTCAAGGTCAACGCCTGCGCACACAGAATCTAGAGAGGTACTTGCGAGTCTAATCAGTACACTTCGGGTGAAGGCACATATACTAACAAGATACTAGAGCGAGAAAAGCCCCAACTCCCAGTCGCCCGACAACTTCGTATCCGCTTATCGAAAGCATACCAGGGACAGAGACGCTATCAAAAACGAGATCAAGGCCATTGAGCGAGAGCAGAAGGCTGTACAGGAGGCAATGGAAGCTAAGTTGGCCGATCTTGAGGTTAGGAAACAAAAGCGGAAGGAAGAGCTTCGGTCGACCGGAGTCGCAAAGAAGCGCCTTCGGGAGTCACTCTCTGAGATGGAGCGCGGGCTGCTGGTACTTGGAATGGAACTTGCGGAGAAAAGGTTGAAGCGGTTGAAGACAAATGCACAGTCAGAAGAAGGCACCAGTGAGGATGAGGACTAGACCGCCTTGGAAATGTCGCAGAGAGGAGTATTGGGATCAGTTGTGTTGACAGCCCTGTCTTTGTATGTGCTTCATCAAAGGTCCTTCAGAATTTTATGCAGTAGGTACTATACACCAAAATGCTCAGTTCTATTAGGATCTAAACTACATAACAACAAACTCCTCAAAGCATCTGATGTGCTTTGTACAGTGAAACCACAATGTAGCTCCCCTAGTCGCACGTTCCCAAGTAACTTTGCATGCTCAGATCTGCCTAGCCTGACTTGTCGTTCATAGTCTCGTACATGTTAGACCGAAAATGCGTCTATCTGATAGTAACGTTCGTAAGCGTTGTACCGTATACGTACGTCTTTCAGAACTTATTCCATCCTCTGGCGTTTAGCCTCCATTCTCCGTCCTGCTTCAAAGCCGAAGTCAAGATGCTCGTCTTCGTCCAACTTAATTCGTAGCTTCCTCTTCTCCGCTCGCACGCGAGCCTTCTCTCCTTCCAGGTCTCCTTTGCGGTCGTCGATCGCGTTCATATCCGCTTGAAGCTCTGCGACTTGATCAGCGATATTAGCACGCTTCATCTCCATGTCACCAATCCTGCCGTCGAGCTCTTCTTCCTGAGCCTTAAGCGCGATGTACTGATCCATCATGGTGTTTCGATCGATGTCGCCCAGATGGCCTTCGTCCACTGATTGTCCAGACTCTAGATTGCTCTCATTGACTTGAGCTTCTTCCATATTCTCCCCAAGGGTACGCTCGGGAAGAAGAGGCGGAGCAGTCACAAGGAATGGCGAAGGTGGCTGTGAGTAGGAAGAAAAGCCGCCGGCCTTGTCCTCGATCGCGTTGCTTCGCCCTGGCTGTTTATGAGACTCTTGGTGCTTGGAAAACTGGGGTTGGTCAGGACTTGCGCTATGCTGGCGCTTACGACCCTCGACGCCACTCAGGCTCATAGCCCGAGACGAGCCGCGCGACAGCGCTCCTGATGACAGTCGTGACTGGACTGGAGAAAGCATCGAAGAAGCTGACGAAGAATGACCTAGGAAGGGAGCCTCTGAAGCCGCGCGCGAGGGCTCTTGAAAGCCGTGGGGTCGCGCAGGATCCATCTCATGGTTACCGCCAGTAGTCATGATCGATGAACGCCGGCTTGCTGAACCTATGCTCTTCAACTCTTTGTACACGTCCTTGTAATGGTGGCACACGCGCACAAGACTGTCTCGAAAAGGTGTGGACGATACTGGGAACTGGAGTTGCTTGTCGATACCTCTTTGAATGAAGAAGTATTTGGCTACTGCCTCGAATGCTTGGTAACCTTGTGCATGCTTGAATACCCGTGATGCTAGTGCAACCTTTGGGACTGTACCTGGACGCACACTCGCCTCGTGATTTGTAGCGCCCTTGATGGTCTGAAAGGTCAACATACTCGCGTAGTTGCTCTTTTGCTTATGATGGGAATTGAGGGTAAAATAGATCCAGAGCTGATCCTTGTTCTTGAGCATGTCGCCATACAGGAGTCGCTCGGGTGCTGCTTCGGGGATCTCATTCTGTGACTCAAAGGTGGCGCGCCTGTAAGGCAGGTATTTCAGGAGAGCCGCGTCTTCTCCAAGGTCGCGCCAGAGCTTGTCGAGGGAAGGGTTGCTAGCGGATCGAGGAGGCAGAGCTTCCATGGTCGTGAAGATTGAGCTAGATGTTCTTCGAGTCTCAATGCGGGGTAGGGTAGTTGAGAGTGTGGGTGGAGGAGAACTCAGGCAGTAATGATCAGTTTTGAGAGATTGCCACGTACCTGGCGATATACGCTAACCGCGATTATGTTCCAGTGTGTGCAGGTGAGACTTCACGTGACGAGAGGCTTTGATAGCTCCAGACATGGATGCACTTGCACACCAAAAATGCTGCGGGTTGACGCTGGTATGCTCCAACATGATCCATGATCATACTACAAGAGTCGTGTATGTATATTACGCCGCCATGTCAATCCGTATCTCTTTATCCGTTTCGTGTCATATCGCTAATATGCGTTATCCCTTTCCGCCCACTGCTTCATCGGCGCCAGCTGAATTTCACCATACCCACTCTGCACCGGCATACCAGCCACCAACTCGATGCTCGTAGGTTTCACAGCCCCAGACTCAAGTCCCCAAATACTTACAGCAATGTAGTTATCGCCGCGATAGTTCAGTATACCCTCGGGTACCGGAAATCGTCGCTGTGGTCCGATACCGTTTGCGAACTTCCCGAATTGATATCCGTTAACCCAGAGCTGGGCGCGCCACCCTCGACCTTGGCCATTGAACGCGTCGCCATTGAAGATGAAAGATAGAGGTATGTCCCAGCCGCCGGGTATATCGAGGGGAAGGGTAGTACTGTAAAAGCAGACGCCAGCGTGTGACAAACCAGTACCTGGACCGGCGCTATCGACCCAATTTGAAGTGGGTGCTGAGGGGAGATGGTAACCTTTTCGTTCGACCCAAAGAGCGCCTTCGTTGAGCGGGCCGCGCGACTTGTCCGAGTAGTCTTCACCCCCGAGATTGCCTGTTATCTTCCACCTGATACCATCATCGAGTCGCGACGCATTGAAAGGAGATGGGGTGTGACCTGGGAAGCTGTATCCAATGATGCCACGCGGTGTCTTCATCTCGTTGTATCCAGCAAACCAGTTGCCATACTGTCCCATATGGTCGCTCAACACTGTCAATACATAGTGCTCGCCGCGATGCAGTACGGGCATGTTTAGTGTCATGTTGGCGATGGCCGCATCCTTAGTTCCCGGCCACGATCCGATAAAGGTCTGGTTTACCCAGGCTGAGAAAGCGAACGCTGGTCCTCCGGAGACATTGAGATGAATCACATCCTCATTGCCTGTCGCGATGAAGTGTCCGCGAGTTATCAATGAGCCCGTATTGTACCCATATTCAGAGCCCCAGAGTACGGCTGGGGTGGTCAATGGCCAATACGTATTGTTGGTATCCGTGCGATCGGCAGCCGTCCACATCGAATCGTCGTACGATGAGTCGAGTTCAGGTAGCGCATCCGTGTATTTCCAATCGAGAGTACTCAAGCTCGGTAGCTGGAGAGCAGGAGCTTGAAAACCTACAGCAGCCTTCAGGAAGCCGTTTCTATCGAGCTTCGACTGGATCGAAACTCCGTTGAAGATGAGCCCCCCACTATGTGCATGGGCACCCCCAAGTACCTCAACATCTGTTGTTGCATTGACGTCGCCAGAAAGATGAATATCCGCATCTGTCATCGTAGCATTACGAACAAGGTAGCCAGAACGGACGATAAGATCGCTAGATGGTGTCGCGACATGGGAGTAGCTACCTTCTGGTGACGTACTCACGGTCCAGTAATCGTATGCAGAATTGCGGTCGAGTATGACGATGTACAAATCCGAACCGACGCGTACCGTGCGACGATTCTCACTAGTGGTCCAGTGCAAGATGGTGTTGCCGTTGCGATTCGAGAACTTGACACCTGAGCCCTCCACTGCTGTTGCTCCACTGGTCTCAGCGACGGCCAACTCATGGGTTTCACCCATGCCTCCATACACAATAAGAACTGTTCTTTCTTGGTAGATCTTCCATGTAAAGACTTCGGCGCTGGAGTAACGCAAGTTGAATTCGCCTATGTTGTAGTCTGCAACATGGATCTTTGAGTCACGACCGTTGATGGACAACTCCCCTCCAAGCTGCGGTACTGTGATGTTGCCCTGACTGGTTTGAACCGTAAGCTTGTATGTCTCTGATGCGAGGGAGTTGTATTTCGTTTGGCGTGCGACGTAAAACCTGGTCTTTTCGCCAATGAGCGGCGTCACCGTGATGGCCTCGTTGGTCGCGTAGACTCCTGTGGTATTGTATCCAGGTACTGCTGAAGCTAGCGCGGGCGACGCTTGCACAAAGTGTGCAATCAGCTTGGCTTCGCTGTATTTCTCACGATGTACCTGACGTTCTTCTGTAATGACTGCACCGTAATCGTACGACATGTAGTTGCCAGCACCCGCCAAGTTGCCCCAGTTGGTGCCACCAAATGTCTACCAATGGTTAGTACGAAGACATATTAAGAAGATGAGGAGATCTTACCATGTACACATTCGATATTGTAAGCCCTGCAGCGATGTTGTTCTTGTAAAATACGCGCTCAAACTCTTTTCCTGTGAAGAGGGCACAACGATCAAAACCGTCCTGTCCCCAGCTTTGATACGCCCCGCCTTGAAACTCTGGAATTGTGTATGGTGTACTTGCGCTCTGATTGAGATGTGTCTCCCTCCAGTTTGTGGGCAAAGCATCATCGATCCAGTAAGTAGGATCAGTACAGTTCATGCCTAATGGATACGAGTCATGGCCGTAAATGTCAACCGGGGCATCTGTGCCAGGCGCGTTAACGCCATTAGGCCAAGCAACATTGTTGATGAAAGGCACCACAATGCCAAGGTCCCGAAATTGGCGCATCAGTGTGTTCATATAATCTGCGTCAGGAAATGTTACGTTATTCGCACCCATGGAATACTCGTTCTCAGGCTGGAACAATATAACTGGGCCACCGTTAGTTATCTGCGCTTTCGCGATGATGGGTGTTATCGATTCGATGTAGTTCTTGGAGGCTGCCTGATAGTCCTCATCTGGCGTCCGAAGATTACCAGAGATGCGCTGCAGCCATCCCGGAAAGCCACCTCCCGATACTTCGGCATTGATGTATGGGCCGGGTCGCTGCCGGGTCAGTAGAATACGCTCACAGTGGAAGTGCTTGTCTTACAGCAATGAGATAGATTCCGGTTTTTTTCGCAGCCTCAAAGAAGGGAACCCAGTCAAAGATACCCTCAGCACGGAAGTCTCCCGGCTTGCCTTCATGGATAACCCACGCAGAGTAGAAAGAAACACCATTGTATCCCATAGCCTTGATTTTCTGGAAGACGTCTAGCCAAAGGCTTGGAACGGGAAGGCTACCTATGTTAGGACTAAACATAGCGAATAATACTTGACTTACCGGAAAGGATGAAATTCGCCGCCCCAGAAAATGACACGCTCGCCGTGAACAAAGAGCGAATGCTCGTCCCACGTTACCTGAAGCTGCTATCAGATACTTGGAAGCATGACAGGATTAATAAAACCCACAATGTCTTGCAGCGGTGCCCGCTCCTCCACGATTAGACTGCGTGGGTTTCCGTTTACTGCTCGTGCTGCCGCATGATGTGCGTAGACGGACGCGAGCGCAAGGCTCACGAGCCCGCGCAACATCTTCATTGTACTTGATCAAGCTCAAATGCAACGAAGAAAGAATCTAGATCTTGGATCAGGGAAAATTGGTCGTTATAACCATGCCTACTGGATGCTATAAGGTCGATCCTGAGATTGTCAAACGGCCGCTTGCCGTCTTTGGCGTGGCCGTCGTCCGTTTCCAATAGGGTTTAAGTCCATTTTCTTGCAGATTTACAGCCCGCCATGAGCACGTTGACGCGACGACATCAGATGTTGGAGATGCAACTTAACGACGGAGAAATAAGTTCCAGTGCGGGGTAAGACAAATATTATTCCGGTAGCATCATAAACCAACTACAGCGAACTATCTTACGATGCGATTGATGTGGTCTAAGCAGAAGATTGTTCATGATGGGGAGTGATGAGGCACGAACGGGAAGAAGTGAAGGTGGCCAAGTCGCTTGTAGTTGATGCCGACGCGTTGAGAACGCGTGACGTCAGCGGAACGCGCTGCACCAGTCTCGGGGCTAGCTTCCCAAAAACCGAAGCCTACCCTAAAGGTATTGCTCGTGAAATATCACCAATTGCATAAGACAATAATCTCATCTAGTCAAAGGCATTATGTCCACGATGGGCGTTGTCCTAACACGCACGAGATCCTTCGTCTGCCCAATAAAGTGAGACAACCTACAAAAGACTTCGTATTTTGCGGGTTCTATTCTGCTTCTTTGGTACTTGGGTAAAGCCAATCTTGATGTATGCATGGTAGTCTACAGCTTCTCCGAGTATCGTACGGAGCGTGCGATAATTTGCTGACCAGGCTCTGAACTCTTTCTCGTCGCGTAGTTTCTCAAAACCTCATCGGACTTTCAGCGGTTCTTCATCATCTCCCCGCCCAGCTTGTACGCTTCCATGGCACTCATGCCCTCCAATAACTGTTCTCGACGAGCACCAATCTCTTTCAGCTTCTCTTCAATCCCTCGATTCTTCTCTTCATCCTCCCGAAGTGCCTCGCCTATCTCTTGTAGGGCAAGTTTCGACGCCGCTATCTGTGCTACTATCGTGCTCTGGGAATCTAGGATTTTAACTTCTTCGTGCTGGAGTTTGGTGAGATCTTCGACCAACTGAGAAGCTGAAGCGCTGTAGGTCTGCTGAGGTGAGCTCCATCGTACGGGAATGTCAGCGTGCTTACTTACAGAAGCAGGTACCGTTGCAGGAATGATCGGCTGGGCGGGCTCAAGCGGATCCTCTGGAGCATCACTAAGAACGCTATCCTCATCATCATCCACAAGCGTTGCCGATTGGGATCGCGACTGCGTGTCCGAGAGATTGGCTTTTGCCTCCGCCTCAAACTCGCGGCAAGCGGTCTTCAGCGCGTCGGTAAGACTCTTCGTGATGGGTATTGGTATTGCTAGGTCATATTCGCTTTCCTGTCTCGTCCAGTTTGATATGATAATATTAAGAAAGTAGTACTTTGCCAGTGCTACATACTTGTTCTTCGAACCTCTCCTTGGTGTTTTGAAGGCATCGGCAATCGTGGTGATTGTAGCGCTGATGTTACTGTCGTCGTGCCTGATCTCAGGATCTAATGAGTGAAACTGCACCTCCGCATTTCCACGTTCTTTGTTTGGTGGGTATAGCAATATCCAGACATGTAGTAATTCCTTGGTATACTTGTCGGTGATCTGGCCAAACAGAAGCTTGAAAGGGACAGCGCGCTGGTCATGTGTCTGAGGTGCATATCTGATCTTTGAGTGCGGCGCGTAGTCAAGCAGGGCTTGGCCTTCGACGCCTAGCTCTTTGCGTAGCTGAGCCAGGTTTGCGACAGCGACAGTCATGGTGGAGGCCTCTGGCTGAGTGGTTGTGCGTCGAGATGTTGGCGTGATACTGTTGAAGATACCAATGATAAAGACCTGTGCGAGGGAACTATGATGAGATCGCGTCTAACTTCTGGCTGGTCGCGGTCGTGTTCTTATACTGCATGTGCTTTGTTTACGCGGCAGGAGTTGCGTGTGGACTTAGCCCCAAGAGTAGCAAGCGCTTGACTCAAACGCGCTAAGGATAGCGGTGGTGAAGAAGGAATGACGGATAAGTGCACCCAAGACTTGAACACCATTAGCACATAATCCGTCGCGCAATTCGTGCAGGCATGGTAGAAATGCAGTCGTGATATAATTCTGAAGAGGCTACAAATTCTAAATCTCGCACACATGCTTGACTTGCCTTCAGCATGATTCTGTTGTCTCATTCACTTGCAACATCCCCCCTCGCGAAGACGTCCTAGCCGCTACGCAGATCCGTTTGGTGAAGGAGGCTCGCCAACGTCTTCAGTGTCATCCTTGTTGTTTTCACGACGCTTCTTCTCTGCATGCTCCGCACCGATACTGGCATCCAAGAGGTATAGCCGTCTAAGTCGGGCCTTGCTACTCTTAACGGCTTGAGCTGCCTTCTCGATACGACCATTCATAACCCTCCTTTGCTCTCGAAGCAGAGAGGACGATATGAGATCATTGTACGTCGAGCTTGGACGGAGATCGACAAAGGAATTGGGAGATTGCAATGTTGACTTTGATATAGAACGCTCCTTGCGCTCCTTGAAAGCTCGTGAAGAAGATGACATTGAAGCTTGAAGTCTTTCCCAGTGTATTGGATGGTTGTGTTTGACGGGCATTGGCTCGGATATTGCATAGCACGGCATTTCCGTGTGATCTCGATCCATCTCTAATGAGTGTCGATCTAGGGAAAAAAGGCCGTCGTCGCTTGGAAGTCTGGAGAAGCATTGTGAACCATATGTGGCGACGAAATCTGTGTCTTTCTCCTCAAGACCATGACGCATAAATCCATTAGAAGGTCGATTGATTTTATCGATCGCAAACTGGTGGGTTCCACTCGATCTATGTCGATCTGTCGATCTGAATTTGTATGACACGTTATCGCTTTGCAATTCTATCTCTTCAGATATTGCTTCCAACCCTGATGGTGCATTGGCCCGCTGGTTGAATGATTTATGAACAGTACCTCGATCGCGCCAGGTGTAAGGCGATGATGGGGACGAAGTACCGCGTGTGTGGTATCTGAACGCTATCTGGACATAGCCATCTCCCTCGTCATCCTTGCTTCGATATTCCGCATCGTCAGCATCGTGGTAAGCAGTAGATGGCTCAAATTTTGGCGATCGATCCTCATCCTCTCCAAGCGGGTAGAGTCTCAGTACACTAGTTCCGTTATTACTCTTGGCTGGGTTGAGGTTTGATGTGTCATCACTGTCTTCCCGATTTCGTTTAACCCTTGCTACGCCGGGTCGTTCCGCATAGCCTGGCGGACGCCGGCGGTCACGTTCCTTTCGACGCTTCGGAGGTGCTTTCAAATCATCGCTATACTCCGAAAATGAAGATTCCGGAGTGAGCAGATCTGGATCATAATGCTGGCACAAGCTGGTCAGATGCTGTACAAATGACCCATTTACTGGGATGAAGTCATGTTGAAAGCCCTCCACTCTCGCCTCTACTGCCAGTAGGAAGTAGTATTTCACTACAGCATATAGTTCATCGTATGTCATGGCTTGTTTGAAGGGAGGTTTCAGTGTAACCTCCGTCCCATGTGAGACTTCATCCCAGCTAATCTTCACGATATTATGCCCACTTCCGTACTCTTCATCGCCTTCCATCGTGAACATGGGTCCTATGGAGTGATTTTTGTTCGGACGCAGATATGCATATACAGGGTTGCCCCATCTCGTCAGAGATCTATCCGCAAAGGTACCAAGCAGTAAGCGTATGTTCGCCGTAGCCGCTGGCTTACTGTGTCTGGAGAACTTCATCTCGCTTAGAAAGGGTAGCTTGGCAAGTAGACGTGCTGGAATGTGCTTTCGAAGAGCGGAGATCGCATGAGGACCCGCCGAGATGCTTTCGATGTGAATGGTAGGTTTAGTTTGTGGAACAAACGAGTCGTCCGACCTAACTCCAATATCCGACTGTTGGTCATCTCCTCCGTTGGTCTGCGGTGTAAGAGTTTCCATCTGATCCATAGCAGCTGCTCGCATACGTGAACGGGTGACTGGGCCAGGTCCTACGTCTCGTGGTGGGATATCGATGTTGTCAAAATCTAGCTTCCTGATGTCCGCTTGGAGATCAAAATCGTGGTGGTCAGGTTCTTCATCCTGACGACTGTGGCGACGGGAACCAGCTGCCATGTTCTCTGTAGAATTGGTAACGTGATATTGTCGTTCAGAGATTCACCGGTGAGTGTGTTCCGGATGGGAGTCTTTGGCGCTGGATGGTCACTTCAAGCCTTTCTTTTCGGTCAACCGGATAATTTGTAGTGATAATGGTGGCTTGACCGTTTCGGATCTGGGTGTTTTAGCAACTATTCAAGCTATCCAGGTAGGTCAGTTGTGTGTTCCGTGAAAGGTTGAAACAACAACTTAGAAAAGCAAGAGTTTATACAAGAAGCGGAGACTCTTGAACAAGACCCGCAGAAGCCCTCTTCAGGTTCATTCTATTGGAAGTGGCGAGAATCCTCATATGCAAGGTTCGTTCTTTCCACTGGATAGATCGTGCTTCGAGTTGCCTACAGATACAATCAGATCTGCAAGGTCCGCGTTATGCGCACGAGCCAGAGTCCCGGAACTGCCTAGAATCCACGCTGAGTTGCGAAGCTCGCAGAAACTTGCTTAACTCTCTTGGTACGCCTCTTGGGGGTAACGCTACCATCAATGACAACCCGTTTAGCAGCTTCAGCAAAGCGATCGTTTGACGAATGACGAAGCTAACGAAAGTGGCAAAAGATCAAATCTCCAGGATTCGATGAGCGTATAGCCTTACTGCGAGAAACTTCTCTAGGATGTGGCACGGCACCTTATGCCTGATAGACACCCCTTCATCGTTGCCAAACGGAAGACTTAACCCTCATTAGGGCGGTCTGTGGGTGCGCTCTGGTATCTGTCTAGCAATATCGTCGAGCTTCCTTTGAATCCGCTGCGCCGGCCGGCATCCGTACCATGGGGTCACTAGGCGTCGATTGTAGATGTTCATGGTTCTGCGTCGAAAAACTGATAAGCTTCACGTGTTGAGATCGGTTTGGTACACCCGCATGCGATTTCGGCTACAAAGTGAACTCTTTCAGATATCGATGAGCATCGAAAAGCATTCGATAGTTCGAGTCGTGTTAGAAACCCCATTTAGGGTGAAGAGAAGAACTGAGTTGATTGGCGTGTTCTCGTGGGCGTCCCTGAAAGTTAACCTGAGCCTTTCCATTTCAGGCACTAGCGCGATTCGGTAAGATCGCGACATCATCGATCCCGAGATGCGGCTTCGTCGCGTTCTCCTGCTTACCTCGCGACATTCTCACCACGGTGCGCGGAACATCATCTCCGCCTCCCGCCAACAATGTCACCATCATGCATAAAAATTCCGCAAATGGTTCCGATAATTCTGTTCGACATGCCCGCTTCACGCAACTGAGCTGTCGTATCTCTCTAACATAGGAAATATAATCCGTATCGCAATGGACGAACACTGTAATTCCATTTTGTATGTAGCATCTTCGATCGCCCAGAAGGCATTCACTGACTTGCCAAAGGACACGTGATTATAGATAGACCGTGTACATGCAGGTACAATCATTAAAGACATAAGTTCCTCCCCACAACCTTCATTCGTACGATCCAACGCACCATGCCACACCGTAACGCGCCGAAGCGCACCGAACCAACCCCAACTGCAATCAAGCCACTTCCGCGTGTAGTTTCTCCTCCTTCTCCATAGCCGCCGATGCCGCTGCTGGATCTTGCAGTGCATGCGGCACCAGCTGATCACCGAAGAGTTCGTCCATCTGTTCCAGAGTCTTGCCTTTAGTCTCTGGGTAGAAGAACCAATAACACAGGAAGGCGATAATGTTGAAGCAGAAGAAGACGTAGAAATACTTGAACTCTATGGAGCTCAATGCTTGCGGAGAGAACTGGGCGAAGATGAGGTTCACAACCCAGTTTGTGAATGTCGTGATGGCATTACCAAGGGCGCGGCACTCGATAGGGAAGATCTCTGCGGGGTACACCCAGGATATAATACCGAGGGGTGTGTAGAAGAACGAGAAGAGGAAGTTCATGGCGACCATACTGCGCAGTTGTGGGCCGTTGTTGGGATCGAAGTACTGTCCCTGTACTGCGTTGACGAGCAGGGCTGTCGCTAGGCCAGCAGCTGATATGAGAAGGGGTTTTACACGTCCAACCTTGTCGACTAGCGCAAGTCCAATGGTACACCAGACGATCGAAAGCGCACCGCTGATACCGATGATCATGAGCGATTCTTGTGTCGATATTCCCAGGATCTCGTAGATACGTGGGCCGTAGTAGTTAATAACGTTGATTCCGGATAGAGGTCCAAATGCTTGCACACCGCAACCGAGCAAGAGACGCTTACGCCATGAGGTCTTAGTGATGATCGAGGTCCAGCTAATGTTGCCCAGAGCCCGATCCGCGATGATAACGTCCCGAATCTCTCGGAATTCGAGGTCGATAGTCTCCGCGTCGTGGCCCTTGCGGAGCTTGTTCAGCGAGGCCATAGCATCTTCATGGCGATCTTTTTCCATGAGCCATCGAGGTGATTCCTGGAGGAAGAAGATGCCAGCCAGCAAGATGAGGCCGGGGACGTTCTGGAACGCAAGCGGAAAGCGCCCTTACATGTGTTAGGTCAAGCAGCACGTCGTGTACAAAGCGACTTACATGAAAATTGGGTGCTGTTGAAGGAGCAGCCATATCCGAGCCATTGGGCTACAAAGAAGCCCCAACTCAACATCCACTGTAGCAGACCCGAAAGGGTGCCACGATACTTTGCCTCCGAAAGCTCACCGGCATACATAGGAATGGTCGAAGTGAGCTGACCGACTGCGACTCCACCGATAAACCGACCGACGATAAGCATGGCCATGTTGACAGCGCCTGCCTGAAGGGAACTGCCCAATATAGAAATGACAGCCCCGACGAAGATAGTCCAGCGACGGCCTAGCATGTCCGCGAACAGCATATTGAAAATGGTTCCTGCAATCGCGCCACCCTGAAAGGCAGACACGATGCCACCAACGACATCATCCGAAGGATCGCTGAAGTACTCTTTGAAGGTGTCAAGAGCGATGGTCGAGGTAATGATACCAGAGTCGTAACCGAAGAGGAAACCTGGGTACAAGTTACTTACTGATCTCAGTAGCCTGCGACCTGCCGCATGGATGTCTTACCTCCGGTCGCTAAAAAGATAGCGGAGAAGACAGTGACTGCGAGACCCATCTTGAGTAACGATGTCAGATGCTGTGGAAAAGTGGATCTATCGCCATGCGAGACTGCGTTTTATGTATCAAAGGCAAGCATCGTCCCAAGTTGTCTCTAATGCTATCCCGGGCTCTACTACTCCGAAGCCAGCATTGGCTGACACGTGCATGTCTCTAGCCGCGTATCAGAGAGACTCTTTGTCAGGGGCTGAAAAGCTTGTCATGCGCATTTTTAGTCAATTTTGCACGAAGAGATAGCGATGAACAGCAAGGGTCTGCTCTAAACGTCCGGGGCCAGGATCGAGGTGCAGGCCAAGCGGCGATGCCTCTTGGTGGGGTCCCCGCGTTCGCCTCGGCAGCCTCTTCGGCACACATTATACAGGCTGGATGCGCGATCTCCACTTCGGGACCACTTCGGAGCCAGATCTAGCTCAACGGTCGCGTTAGGTCTGCCAGCTGTGTTTGGTAGAAGTCGCAGCGAATTCACCCGAGCCTCGCGACGATATTGTCACGAACAGTATTTTGATTAATGAACTGAAGCTGTAAATGTCGGGTTGAGACCTTCCACCATGAAAGCCACCAAATCTCCACCCTCCCGATATCCTTATCCAGACTCGATTGTATTTCGCTCACGGGGAGCAGTCTGAGTCCGCACGAAGCTGTTGCCTTTTTACGATCAATCAACATGGTTCTGGAAGTCACACGATGCGGCATACATGCTTTTCACGAAGTTCTTGGCATCGACACGGACAAGATACGCTTCTTCTGGGTCCTGCATTCGGACCGCGAGGATAGTCAGCAAAAGGCGTATCGCATCGAGGTTTCAACTCAGCAGTCATTGGAGACACTGATATGGGACTCTGGTAAAGTGGAAGGCGATAGGCAACGGAATGTGCTTTGTGCACCCGAAGGAGGTTTTCACTCGGCGACTTTCCATTACTGGAGGGTCACGGTGTGGGATTCAGGTGACCAGGCGACGACGAGCACAGTGAATGAGTTCTTCACTGCATATCCAAGATCATCTGGGCTACTACCACCTTACAGCATGAACCAGACCTACATGCCCCATACCAGTCTCATCTTTCGTACATGGTTTGAAGATGAAGCAAACCGATGGGAAGGCGTTTGGATCGGCGACAACGGGGACAAGCCGCTGTACGTGCGCAAAGCGCTACGTCTTGATCGAACACCGTCTCGTGCTATCGCCTTTGCCTCGGGTCTTGGTCATTGCAACTTCGTTTGCAATGGCAATCCCGCAGCCGCCAATGGCCACGTACTGGATCCGGGCTGGACTAACTACCACCGCACCGTACAATTTGTGGCATACGACTTGTCAAACATACTGAAACAAGGGGAGAACGTAGTTGGCGCACACATCGGCAATGGCTTCTACGCTGGTGACCAAGGCGACGACCGTTTTTTCTGGCCGTGCTACGAAGACAACACATATGTCCGCTATGGGAACGAGCTCTGTTTCTTCATGGAGTTGCATCTCTTCTACGAGGATGGCAGCCGCGAGACGATCACTACCGGGCCAGACTGGAATATCCGGAAGAGCGCGACCACGCTTGCTAACATTTACTCTTCAGAAACCAAGGACTTACGCAACTACCCAACAGGGTGGGATGCGCCAGGCTTCCAAGAAGACGAACAATGGAAGGCTGCGACGCCTGTGACAGGTCCAAGAGGCAAATTGAAGTATCAAAGTCAGCCACCCGTGGTGCTCCATGAGACATTCGAACCACGATCGAAGAAGACTCTTGAGCCTGGCGTAGTCATGTTCGACTTCGGACAGAACATGACGACGATGGTGAAGATCCAGGTCAGCGGGCCAGCTGGCTCGGAAGTCATCATCCGTTTCTCCGAGACGATTGGCGAGGATGGCAAGGTTCTCATGCCAGATCCACTGTTCAAGCAGTTTGAGACGGGCGTTTTCTGCAAATTCACTCTGGCTGGTACCGGGGTGGAGACCTGGGAGCCTGACTTCTGCTTCACGAGTGCACGATACATACAAGTCGAAGGCGTATCACTTGAAGAGGCACAGGGACTACCGGTCGTACATTCGTTGGTCAGCAGACACGTATCGTCCGCTGCACGTCGTCTTGGCTATGTTAAGACGGACAAAGAAGATGTCAATCAGCTCATTGACATGTGCTATTGGTCTTTCGTTAGCAATCTCTTCAGCTATCACACTGACTGTCCTCAGCTAGAAAAGTTTGGATGGCTCGAAGTAACGCACCTTCTTGCCCCGGCCACCCAATACATTCGCGACATGGAGTCGCTCTATTCCAAGATCCTCGATGATATCTTCGATGCGCAGGAACCAAATGGTCTTTGCCCTACTATGGCACCGGAGATCAGATACATGTGCGGTCCTCTACACGACACAATCACCTGGGGAGGTGCTGTCGCATTACTTCCCGAGATACTGCGCTTCTACTACGACTCCACGCACGTGTTCGAGAAGCTGTTCGACCCCTGTGTACGCTACATGGAGTATATCAAGACCAAAGAGCGAGACGGTGGGCTCATTGAACACGGCCTGGGTGATTGGGGACGTGATATAGCCTTCGGCAACAACCAGGCCAACATCGAAACAGCTGTATACTACCGCTGCCTCCGGAATATCCAACGCATGGCCCGCGAGCTGAACAAGCCGGAAGCTGAAACGCGGTTCCGCGAATGGGCAGATCGCATATACCGCGTATACAACGAGCGACTTCTTATCACCGATAAGGAAGAGTATCCCTACGCGTTCTACACGTCTCGCGATGACCCCTCAAAACATGATCGCAACATGGTCGCACAAGCCTTTGCACTTCAGTTTGACCTCGTTCCCGCATCCCACCGTGCTGACGTACAAGCTGCCTTCCTAGCGGATTGCGCTTCCGCTGGCAACCGGATCCAGGCTGGCGAGATCGGCTTGAAATACCTCTTCAATACACTCTCTGACCTGAACCGACCAGACATCATCCTAGAGATGGCGCGAAAAGAAGAGCATCCAAGTTACATGCGCTTTATTCGGAGGGGAGAAACAACACTGAATGAATTCTGGCAAGATAACTGTAGGAGTAAGTGCCATGATATGCTGGGAACGATATACGAGTGGTTCTACGAGGGTGTATTGGGTGTCCAAGCGGAGACGGAGGCATATAAGACGTGGAGGGTTAGGCCGCCGTTGGGAAGCGAATTCGGGATGGTGAAAGGGAGTGTGGAGTGTCCGTATGGTAAGATCGAGGTCAAGTACGAGAAGACAAGTGGAGGTGGCAGCGAGAAAGCGAAGATGTGGCTTACTGTACCCACAAGCACGACAGCCTATCTGCTACTTCCTAGTGCGGACAGTAGCGCTGATCTAAGAAGACTTGGTCAAGGCGGGAACCAGGTACGGAAGAAGGGAACAAGGATAGCCCTAAAGCCGGGCAGTTATGAGTTGATGTTACATGCCTGAGCTTAAATTACTGAACCGTGGTAATGCTATAGATGGCACGAGATTGAATACTACAAATCTTATCAAACAGTAATTCATGGCAAATTGTAGAGACATGATAGCAAGCACCCACTTGTGCAACACTAGAAATCCATCAACTACCAGAGCTGGCAAGTAGGTTCCTTAACCTTGCACTGGAAGCTCTCCCTGAACTCCCTTGAGTTCGCCATAGTGCCCAGAATACGTGCCCACTTAGGGGCATGCGGGTCGGTGTAGATGCGGTTAATTGCGGTATCCTTGCGAGTCTTGCCGCACCACCAGTTGCTGTAGCTGACGAAGAACATCTGCTCTTGAGAAAAGTGGTCCAAGCCAGGCAAGTTCTTGTTTGGTGTCTCAGCTGAGCGGCGCTTCCAAGCCTGGAAAGATGCCGACAGACCACCAGCGTCAGCGATGTTTTCACCAAGAGTAAGACGACCGTTGACGTGTAGAGGCTTATCGTCGGGTCCGGGAATGGTGAAGTTCGAGTACTGTTCGACAAAGCATTCGACCTTGTGCTTGAAGGCATCCACGGTCTCCTTGGACCACCAATCAGTGTAGTTGCCATTCTGATCGTAATGGCGCCCGGTGCTATCGAAAGCGTGGCTAAGTTCGTGGCCAGCAACAGCACCGAAAGCGCCGTATGACATATAGGCGGGTACATTGACATCGAAGACCGGGAATTGCATGATACCAGCAGGGAAGACGATCTCGTTACCAGGAGGGTTGTAGTATGCGTTTACTGTGGGAACAGTCATGTCCCACTGGTCGCGATCGACGGGCTTTCCGAGTGCAGACCACTCTTCCTTGACAGCGAAGCGGCGCATCGCAAGGGCATTGGCAAAGAATGCATCTGATGATACGTTGACAGTCTCGTAGTACTCCTCAAGTGTAGGCGGGTCCATGATGTCAGGGCTTTTCGTGGGGTATCCAATTTTCTGGACGATGTTGTGCACTTTCTCAACAGCCTTCTTTGTGGTATCCTTATCCATCCAGTCTGCAGCGTTCAGCTTCTTGGCGAACTCGGTCTTGATGTCCGTGATGATGGTGTCACCAAACTTCTTTGCGTCAGCTGAGAAGGCCTTCTCTACGAAGAAGCGGCTCAAAATCCATCCTAAGCCATTGTCTACATGGCTAACGCATGTGCGCCAGCGTTCAGGGGCGGAGTCCGGGTCCTTGCCCGAGAGCACGTTGACAAAGCGACGGTAGGGCTTGACAGCTTCCGCATCGACGTAAGAAGAGAAAGATTGAACCGCCTTCCATACAAAGTAGCTTTGGAGGACATCTTTTGGCGTAGCTGCGAGGATTGCTGATAGGTCCTTCAGGTAATGCGGTGTCATTACAATGACACGTTTGATGTCCGTACCGTGAGGCGCCTGGTCCGCGAGAAGCGCTTTCAGCTCGATTTCTGGAGCAATTGCAGCTGCTTCGTCAATAGACATCGGGTTGTAGTACTTCGTGACATCTTCACGGTCTTCTTCGCTAGGAGACGCAGCCGCAAGCTTCTTCTCAAGATCGATGATACCTTCAAACACGGCCTTGTCTTGATCTGGGTACAGAGCACTCAGTACTTCAACAGTCACAGCACGGTACTTTTCAACAAGCTTGTCGTCTTCGTAACGCTCTTTGGAAGGTAATCCGAAGCTCCATGGCGCACTAACAGACACGACGACGGTGTCTGGGTTGGTTTCGTCCGCACCTGTGCCAGCTGAGACAAGTCCAGTGACACCGTACTTAGCGAGAAGGAGAATGGCGTCTTTGATTGAGTGTGAGTCTGAGGTCGCAGCAGGGTAGACCTTCCTAATCTCTTCGAGAACATGCTTGAGAGGCTCAGCGCCGATGCTCTTGATTTGATCTTCGTTGAGACAGGCATCGTATGCAGCCTTCATCTTGTCAAAGTTGACCTCATCCGCAGACTTGGCGACTGACATAAGCTGCATAGGCGAGAAGTAGGAATGCTATGAGATGTTAGTCCTGTTCGACGCATACAGCAAGACTAGACTTACCTCAGAGTCTTTTGGGTATGGTGCCTCAAGAATATGACGAAGCAGCATTTGCGAGTTTTCAGACATTATAGTCCCGGTGAAGGCATCACCCTGGTCAGCTCGCAGATCATGACGTTCCCTCCATCCGCCGCACACAAGTTCTTCAAAGTCATCGCACGGGTCAAGCTCTTTGTATTGAGGCGAGAGGTTGTAAAGAACCTCGGAAGCCGCATGGACACAGGCAGGAGTCATGCATAGTTCGCTCTCCTCTGGGTAGTTGCCGAGAGGCTCATCATCCACTAAACATGGGTTAGCTGCGACGTGTGATTGAGACAGCGATGTACATACATTGCGGGAGTCCATAGAGTATGATCGAAGCCGTCGCAGCGATGGCGAGCACCCTTCCCAACGCTTGACGTTTGGAGTAGCGTTGCACGTGGCCTGGCTGTACGGTGGCGGACGCGTCGGATGCGAGCAGTGGCGCCTTTTCAGCCATGATGGAAAGCTGACGACGCTTGGTCAGAATGAATGCGATGGTGAAACAGTGAGAGTTTGTATGATGCCAGCCAGCTGAACACCGAGATGAACTGGTGATGGAGAGGAGGATTGAGGGAGGAAGCGGCGATGTAGGCAGCAGGTGGCTAGAAGTGGAGATCCGGGGTGCAGCTGACGCATGTTGACGCGGAAACGCTAAGCACGGGACCTTGCAGCTGTATGACTCGCGTATCTCTCCAACGTCATCTCAGATCACTCCATACTGCTCATCACAACACCAGAAATCCATCACTTGCCATCTTGTACGCGCATCCAGCAGTACGTCTTTACCTTCATACCGTACAACCGCGTTGCTGTATCATCTCGGGTCTTCTAAGCGCAGCGCTGTGCACCTCCCGGCAACCACCGAATAGGTGGCCTGTGCGCTTGCGGCTCCGGTCCGGATTGCCTATCGGTGTGCCCCCAATTATCTAGCTCCGACTGCTGACTCTGATGCACCGTGTGAACCTGCTCTTAAAAGCAATGTCGGGGTGTGGACGCCTCAGTCAGCTTACGTTCGTGAGAAGCTCATATCACCGGCATCAACAATCACCTGCTCGAAACTGCTAGTACGATCTATCATTCTGCAGCACCTATGGGCTCAACGCCAGTCGTAGTGCCATTAGCCCAACTTAGGCGGAAGCTATGCGGACACTATTCCAGTCCGCGCAGAAATATATACAAGAAGAGTTGGGTGTGATCGACCAGCTACCTATGACAGCCAACAAGCTTACTCGCCTGAAGGTCCGGCAATCGTAGTACCCGGCTTCACTGGAGTTCCAAAGTTGGGAGTGCCGTCAGAGTTCCAGTTGACCTTTTGCGCCATTGTGTATCTGTTACCATCACAAGCTCCGGTCGTGATAGCAGTAGCGTGGTAAACGTTCCAGATTTCCTTGCCATCGGGGCTGACAAAGAACCTGTATATTGGTTAGCATCTGATGATTCGAGGTGTCGGTTATCCAACGCACCCATTGTGACCGGGACCATAGTTGCCATTAGCATTAGTGAAAACTGGTCCGCTGCTCTTCTTCCAGCTGGCGGCGAGCGCTGGGTCACCAGATCCGTTCCAGGTGAGTAGACCCAAGCTGTAGTTCGGTGTCCAGCAGAAACTCGCCGAGTAAGCGATGAATGTTTTGCCGCCGTGGTACATAGCAACAGGGCCTTCCTGAACAGGGCTGCCGTTTCTTTCCCAGGACTCAGTAGGTGTAGAAAGAATCTTGGTGGCGCCGATCTTTCCAGGTGAGGTCATGGGTGCGATGCAGAGCGATTGGAGGTTGCCGGACATGCAAGACCAGGTGAAATAGTTGCCCCATTTGTCGAAACGCACGATAGAGCCATCAATACCCCATACGTTGGTGAGCTGGGAAAGGTAGGTGTACGTGCCGAAGGGGTCCGCACCACCTGTGACTTTGTTAGATTACGCTCCATGTCGTCGTCAAACTGTCTTACCCTTGAGCACGTAAGGACGCTGAAGATCCAGGTTGTCGACACCATTGCGGCCGGCGGTGTAGTAGATGTACCAAGCACCATCAATGTAGTGCAGTTCAGGTGCCCACATGTTGCAGCATCTGTCTGGGTTGCTATCCGTCCAGACTACTTTTGTCTCCCCTGTCTTCAATCCTCCCAGCGTCTTCGCCCTCGTGATTGACAAGTTCGTCCATGTCGTGGTCATCATGTAGTAGTAACCTCCGCTCCACGCAATGTGAGGGTCTGAGCCATCTTTCTGCTTGAGCGGGTTACTGAAGCTTGCTGCGCTGACGAGGGAAGAGAGGGCGAGCACACAAGTGCCAATGGACTGAAGGAACATCATCGTTGCGGAGAGTGAAGAAACAAACTGCAACTGGTTGTAAGATACGATGTATGATCGTGAAAGTTTATCTTATAGAGTTCGCTGACATCGTGGTCTCGTTGCACGAGGAGATCAAGGCTTGCGCCACAAAACCGGTCCTTCCGCCAAATGCTTGGAATGTCATGTACACCAAGCTTTCCACGAATAAATACAAAGACTAGGAAGTTGCCAAGATACGTATAGTAACAATCCGGGGTAATGGGCGGAATTGAGAATAGACTGGGGAGCGGACCGCTAGGTGTTTCGATCTTGGCCGCTGTGAAATGCTCCGATTGGTGCAAATTGCTATAGCATGCCCGCATCCGGCACTTTTCCGCCCCACACAAAAAGTCCTTTCCATGCGCCGGTCAAAATGGTTTCTAAGACAGCTGTCAAGCGTCAGGAAGGGCTGGGGGCGCTCTCAATGGGCGTGCGGAGGATTCTAAATCCTGAGGCTGAAACGTAAGGCTGCTGCACAAACCGGAAATCGCTCGCCCGAGAAGTGCCGATCGACCGAGGTTTCCACGCTTCTCAGCACTCTTCATCATCCACTACCTGCCACCTAGTCGCATGTGCTTACGCCCTAACCGTTGACACTGGCACTCTTTGGCATACCAATACCTACCGCAGCTGTTGCACCAGCGTCAACAGGCAGTACCGCACCTGTCATCCATCTCGCATGGTCTGAAGCGAGGAATGTTACTGCGCAGGCTGCATCCCATCCGTTGCCCTCTGTGCCGAGTAAGCTCCTCTTCTTCCGAGCTTCGCGAGCTTCTTCGCTCATGCCACCTGCATACATCATGGGTGTGTAAAGCATCTACCTGGTGTCAGTCCGCTGTCGTACGGTAGTCATAGGGTTCATACGCCAGGACAAACACAATTCACCCTGATGCCATCAGGTGCATGATGCGCAGCCATTGCCCTCGTCATGTTTACCACTGCACCTTTGCTGGTCGGATACAACAAGTGTGGTGTTCCTCCTTTCAGCCCGGCGACTGAGCCCATGTTGATGATGCTGCCTTTCATTTCGCCATCGTTTTGTTGCATAGCCGGTATGCAGTACTTCACCATCTGTACCATGCTGGTCACATTGATCTCAAGTCCCTTTGCCCAAGTTCCCATGTCAACATCGACCGCGGTTCCTGTTGCACCAGCGATCCCGACATTATTGACCAGGATATCCAGCTTCCCAAACTCTTCCAGTGCTTTAGTCACTGCTGCTTCGCAATCACCAGCTTTGGTGACGTCTGCCTCCATTGCGATAGCTCTTCCTCGGTGTGGTTTCGACGCTGCCATCTCTGCGGTCTTCTCCGCCCAAGGCATCTTGAGGTCCAAACACAGGACATGGCAACCCTCATCGGCAAGCATGATCGATATCGCACGGCCATTACCAATGCCGTCACCGTCGCATCCTGCCCCAGTCACGATTGCGACTTTGTCTTTGAGACCACGTGGGGGAGGTTCTGATGGAACTGCCGCCATTATGTTGGTCCGGCTCAGGTGGGGATATGACGTTATCTCCAGGAAAGTGTCGCAGATGCCGTCCAAGGTCGTTACTTACAAGAAACAACCTCTAGGTCAAAGATGTCGTGGTCAATGCACAAGCTTATCGCAGTGAATTAACAACGTTGAGAACTTACAACAGCCAATAGTGGTGTTGGTGGCATGTAAGTGTCAACCTCGGTACATGCGGGGTGACGCTAACAACAGGGCGCATATGTCGCAGCTACCTAGGTAGACGTGACGCGTTCATGCGAGGCTCGTACGAAGTCAAATCACTTATTGACATCGTCTCGCTGGAGCATCCCCTCTCAACCCTATCACTCTTTCCACATCGAAAATGGCTTTGGATTTCTCGCAGTATGGTGGACCCTCCGAGGAGTGGCTGGCAGTGGAAAAGACATTGCCCGCGCGAACCTACGACGTTACAATGGATCCGCATGTGCTCAAAGAAGCTGTCAATGCTGAAAGAGAAAGTCGAGCCGCAGAGGTGATGCCGCTGTTAGCACCACATGTTCAGGTCAAAGACTATACCATCCCAACTCGCGATGGCTCAACTATCGAAGCTAGATCGTATAGGTCAGTCAAGACAGACACGTCAGAAAGGCTTCCCGTGTATCTCTACTTCCACGGCGGAGGCTTCATATTTGGTAATGTCTTTTCGTGTGTAGAGTACAAGATGGTGTAACTAATGGTTACATAGGCACACTCAGCAGCGAGGATCCTCTATGTGCGCAAACTGCCATTAAGACAGGGGCAATAGTGCTGAACGTCAACTACCGCCATACGCCAGAACACACCTTCCCAACTGCTTGGTACGATTCTCAAGATGCATTCGCTTGGCTGCACAAGAACATAGACGAAATTGGGGGAGATCCATCCAAAGTCGTCACGGGTGGCATTTCAGCAGGTGGCACATTAGCAGCATCCCTCACACTCGAGCAACATCTTGGAAAAAGTGAAGTGATTGCAGGTCTGCCCACTCTAGCTGGACAAATCTTGATCATCCCCATGGTTGCCCACCCAGCCACATACGACCAAGGGCCCGGCAAGCTGCTCAAAACCTCGTCTTATGTCGAGAACGAAAACGCACCCATATTGCCGAAGAAGACTGTCGACTTCTTCACAAAGCTGCTGGACACTGCTAAGGATGCTTCACCAGATTTGAAAGACACTAAGTTCAACATGGTCAACGCGGCAGCAGAGGAAGTCAAAGGTTTGCCTCCTACAGTTTTTGGTATCGCGGGCTTGGACCCGCTTCGCGACGAAGCTTTGCTTTATGCGAAGCTACTTTCAGAGGCAAATGTGCCGACAGACATTACAGTATTCAAGGGCGTTCCGCATGGTCACAGGCGATTTGGCAAGGCACTAAAGGCGTCTGAACACTGGGATGAGTGTGTCGACGGAGGCATACTTTGGGTACTTTCTAAGCCGAATGCCACTGGGAAGTTTGACGTGAAACTTCCGTAATTCTCATCAGATGACGATGCGGGCTGTAGTAGCCGATTGTAGATAGTCCCGTGTCGCATTAATGGCGTGTACCGTCAGGAAGGCATCCAATAGATTCGCGTCGCTTAGATTGAGGATGCATGCCCAGGCGTCCCAGGGGTTTGCCAATTTCCAGCTGTAGTCTTTGTGACGACAAGTACACACATGTGTCCACAATCTTCGGTATTGTTTAGCACTCTTTTCTTGTGCTAAACTCCTCCGTGGATCACATTTGGATCTCACGCAGACAAGACTGAGCTCAAGACACGCTGAAGGCGGGGTCAAAGGTACGCTGAAGGCTGAGCTGAACGCACACCCAAGGCTGAGTTCAATGCGCAATCCAGAATGCAACGCCAGCTCAATCTGGCGAAAGCGCATAGCCACACTGCGCTGACATTTCAGCCTAGAGCGTGCCATCAACCACCATCCTCCTTATCTCTCGTTCACTGTTATGTCCTCATTGCCCACATGGCAATCACCTTCGGCTCATTTGGCGATATTATCGCTGCAGTGCAGGTCGCGTACGTGCTGATTGAAGCACTCAACTCCCAAAGAGGTGCGAAACGCGAATTCCGTGAGGTTCTGTTGGATCTAAGACTTTTCCATCGCTATCTCGAACAGGTAAGGTCTTCAGAGCCCATGTTGGTCATGCTTTTAGGTCCAACAAACTGCAGCTTCTGTCTTTCTGGCAAACTCGCCGAGAAGATCCTCGTCTCGAAGGTCTCTTCAATGTTTTGCAGCCATCTATTTTTGATGCGAAGGGAGAGATAAGTTCGTTTCTCGAGCACATGATATCTCGATATGGAAAGAGCCTTCTCTCTAATTCAAAACGCAATCCAAAAGATGTGGGGAAGATGCTGCAATGGCGTATGCTGGAACATGACAACGTTGCGCGATTGCAAGACAAACTTCGGAAGAGCAAGGAAATTATATCCATGGTTCAGAGTCAAGCTAACATGTACGTCTCGCTCCAATCAACAAGATTGAAGTGTGAGCGATTTGATCTAACCTGAAATCTCCCAAAGGATTATGGAGGAACAAGACCAACTGATTGTGATGGAGAGAATGGACGCTCTCGCAGACGCTGAGGCTGAGACTGCAAGACAGCTCAATGAACGCATCGATGATCTTGAAGGGAAAGTTGAGAAGCAGAGTGAGGTGCTCGGTCTGATCTCTCGTAGCATCGGAAGCATCAGTTCAACGATGTAAGTCAAACTCATAGAAATCGAATCACCTGTAATGACTTATTCTACCAGCGCCCCGATCGCAAATCTTGTTGTAGACCTTCCAGGCATGTTGGCGAAGATACATGCCGAACAACTGTCTCAAAGGCTCATGTTTTTCAATCTAAATCCATTTGCCCAGAACTCTGCTATTGTAGAAGATGCTCTTGGGTGGAAATTCTCAATACCTCTAGAGTTGATTAGTTCTTGGAATGTGAGTAGGTATCAAGAGAGAACATGATGTGCATCTCTAAGTCTAACGACATACAGACACTCCACTCTATCCTCATTGATAGATTTTCCAGTCGACCAGGTTACGACCTCGTCAGGGATCGCCGCTATGCGATAAGGGATGACGTCAGCGGATTGGACATCCGTCAGCACAAACCCCTGACCTATATGCTCCGTCCTGGTCAAAAAGTCAACATGTGCATGGTCTACTTTACCGATAACAATGACACATTGACGTGTCCTAGATGCAAGAAGTCGACTCTCTGTGCAAATAACCTAGCTTTCAAATGGTAGGTGCTCTATCGTAGATTCTGTCGTTTTACAGATGAGTTCGAACTAAAGTTCTGGTCAGCTCAGATCCAAGGTGCGAGATGGAAATCCAACGCATCGAAGAAATACACGATAATATCGAAGAAACACAAGATGATACCACAGCTCTCAATGACAAAATGAATGGCGACGCTACCCAATCAAAGTTCAGAACAGCTGGCAACATGACGCAGCCTGATTTTGAGGATGAATTTCCTGCTCATCTAGTCACCATGCCCAACATAGAAGAAAGCCCAGAGGTGTTCAAACGAGTGCGATTTCTGTCTCGCTGGGAATTTCGACTTGAATCACGAGGACCCTTGAGATACAAAACTGGTCAATACAATTGGTGGAAAGCGCGTGGTCCTGAAGCCATGCCAATGAAATTAGCTCTTGCTGCTGCCTTACGCGAAAATCTGGATGATCGGATATATGCGGGCGCAGGACCCAGCAGGTTGGCGAGATCTATGATGATTGGCCTATGGTTTGTTGGGTCGACATTGCAACAGTCGAGACCAATATTGGTCATATACTCCATGACGAAGAAGGCACGTAGGGAAGCCTGGAAATGCTCTACAGGAATCGACTGGATTAGAGCAAACCCATCGCTCATCGTTCTCACAAGCTGGAATACCGTCTTCTACCCTTCCATCAAGAGGTGTTGTAAGAGAAAATATGGCACGCGCTTGTAGAAAGATGGTTGGAAGCCAGGGGAAAATGTGCCCGATCAAGTACAAGTTTCTACATTCACCCTGGTGTAAGGATCCTCTTCACTGCCAGACCGACCTGGATGCAATGCAGTAACTATTTCGAGACTGGAGCATTCTCAATATTTGGCAACAAACCCCAATACACCCTTCACGAACCCTTCAGGGTTCTCTTCAGCGATGTAATGCGCACTGTCCTCGACAATCAACATTTCCGCACCTTCATGATACTCCTCAGCCATGCTTGCCGCAGACTGGGCCAGCATGAACTGTCCTCCATTCATCAGCAGTGAAGGTACTTTGACCTTCCCATATTCAGTCACCCAACTTCTGTTCTCCTCTGCGTCTTTCTCAAAAGCGCGATAAACCTCAAGACCGGCTCTGATAGCACCAGGTTGCGAGTAGGCAAGCGCATAATGTTCCAGGTCGGCAGGTGAGATAGCTGCGCTATTGTACGAGATCTTGTCGAAGAAGTGCTTGAGATATTCTCGCTCTTTCCCAGCGATCAGAAATTCTGGTAGGTCGGGTACTCGGTGGAAGACGAAGTGGAAAACGTCGGGAGTGCCTTTGACGTTCTCGTAGCATGATGTACCGGGCAGTGGACATTCACCCCAAATAACGCTTCTCACGTCGTTGGGGTAGCGTGATACATAGGCGAATGCGATCATGCCACCAATGTCGTGGCCTACGACGTGGATTTTCTCTTTGATGTCGAAGTGTGTCTGAATCAATATGTGCAAGTCCTCCGCCATCTGCGTCTTTTGGTAACCGGTTAAGGGCTTCGAGGATTGTCCAGCGCCTCGGTAGTCGGGCGCAATAATTCGGTAGCCGGCGTCTGCTAGAGGAGTGATGACATGGCGGAACTGATACGAGGTTTGAGGGAAGCCATGAATGAGCAGTATGACACCCTTCTCTTCCGTCTTAGATATCGCTGGACACTCGATGTAGTTCAAACGTATCTCCTCGCCGGACGTTGCAGTGATTGAAGCGATTCGCTGACACCAACGTGAGGTATCAATCGCTGGAGGCTGCATGATAGACATGATATGTGAAACTGCTTAGAATGAAGAAAGCGTTAAGAGGTATAGGAATCTCGAGACGGCATGTTATACACTTGGGTATACCCGGTGGTGGAAATCCATCATTGGATTTGTAAGACATGACGCTCTTGCAGCGTCATACCAAGATGCGAGATACATGGCTCGAAGCTGGGATCAGGTAGCTATCCTTGGACCATGACCTGAGAGATTGTTGTTACAAGAGGGTGAAATTCTACTCGAGAACTGCAGTGGCTTATATCGTAGTAGTAACTTTACTCGGATCCAAAGCGTTCTTCTTGCGTGGTACGCGCCATTCCGTTTTTGGTATGGTATCTCCGGTCTGGTCGAAGTAGTAGACGAATTGATACATTGCTCAAAAACATCTAGCGCTATCATCAGTTCCGCACATTCGAGATCCATCGCACAAAGATGTACGGTAGTCGGTAAATTCTTCTTTTGATCTTGGCTTTCCGATGTAGGCTCCTACCTATGTGCTAAGCCATTAGGCCACGACACTTGACCTCATCCTTTGCAGCGACAGCAATTGACAATTCGTTCGCTATCTTGTTCAACTACCTTCACAAGGCATGCCTAGGCTGGGTAGATGAGATTTGTCCGCTCACGTCTCAGAAGCCATGAGTCAGTCCGAGGATCTCCCTTCCATGATATCCAGTTAGGCTGCGACCGGCATGACAACAAGACACGGGAGAGATCGGGAGCTGGATAGAACGGCGCGAAGCATTGAACCGTTATGAGAGAAGGAATGAAGGACGGGGATCAATGGAAGATCTGAAGATGGGCCTGCCACACGCTAGGGGTGTTGCCCCACTTTTTGGCGACATGCCTGAGATGCGCCTAAGGACCCTGCGGGAGTGACCAATCAAATCATGCTCTTCTTGGTGCCACTGTGCCGGGAGACGTGGAGCTGCCGTAGAGTCTGTCGCATGTCGTTCTTCCATCAACGCCAATTGTATCAGTTCAGTAAGATGGCGAAATTCACCCCCGCGATGTCGCGACCCTACCGAGATGCGAAAACTACACGGCGCTTAATCAGATAACGGCATGGCGATATATAAGGTCGCAGGCCGAAATGATACATACCACAATAACCCATCACAACTACCATACGTTCTACTAGCCCCATTACCGACGATGCCGACCCACGGAGAAAGAAACCTGGAACTCGGGAATCAGGCGTATGCTGCCTCTTTCGACCAAGGCCATCTAGCACTTCCACCTAGCCAAAGATACACTATCGGTAGGCACAAACCAACGGTCTCTATCGTCATAAACTGACTTGATGCGACAGTAACATGCATGGACGCTCGCATCGATCCCACCGCTGCATTTGGTATACCTCTTGGAGCTGCCCACGTAATACGCAACGCCGGCGGTTGTGTAAAGGATGCCTTCCGATCCATCGTCATATCGCAACAACTTCTTGGAACAAGAGAAGTGATACTAGTCAAGCATACAGGATGCGGCATGCTCACATTCGACAACGACATTGCGAGAGCCACGGTCATGAAGAAGAGAGGAGAAGTGGCTGCGAGAGAGGTGGAGACACTTGACTTCCACGCTTTCCGTGATCTAGAGATACAGGTCAAGAAGGACATACAATGGCTTCGGATCAAAGCGATTGAGGAGAACATCAGGTTCAGCGGCTGGATCTATGACGTGGAGACAGGGAAGACAACTCGGATTGTATGAACTGGCTGCTTGGTCGTTCATTGAGTTTTGCAAATTATACCCAGGATAATGTAACAACATCTTATGAGCTTTCCTAGCAGATGTGCGCAACCGCTCTGTGTTCTTCGAGGTTTGGAGATAATGAATTTGGAGCAGTTCTAACAGCTCGCCCATTTCCTATTGGGGGCTAGCTTCCCCGCGGGCTAAACTCCCCGCAGCCTGACGCGTCGCGAACTCCAGTGACGTGTCGTAGTTTCCAAAGTTTGCTCTTACACGCGACGACAAGCTTCAATCTCCCCTGCCTGCACTCTCCACGTCCGCTCTTAATGAAAAAGCATTGCATCTTTGTATGGCAGCCAAGGCAGCGTCGCTTGGCGGGCTACCAGACGAGCTGGTACTGGAAATTCTGAATCATTTCCATACCACTCGCTCATATGAGACGCAATCCACAGCCTTCAAAGATCAAGAAAAGGAGAGAACACGCCAGTCCGAAAATCGCATGCTCAAAGGATCGCTACGCAATCTTTGTCTAACGTCCCGTCATGTTAGCCGAATAGCCACCCCAATTCTGTACGCATCGTTCACGGGAGCTGTTACTCGATACGGTCTTACGCCTCTTAACCTGTTCCACAAAAGGACGTCGGCCTCTAATGCTTCGGGTCGCAAATGCATAGAGTATCTGCAGTATGTAGAAGTCCGACTCGAAGATGATCAAGGCAACAGTCTTCGCGCCGATACTCTTGAGCCGGATGCCGTTTACCAGGCAGCATATTATTTTCAGTTACTAGCACATATCATAAACTGCGCGCCAAACTTACAACACCTCTCTCTTGTTGTCATCGAGACTGACAATGTTTCCTTTTGGAAACACATTATAACGGAAGAAGATGCAACGGCTGCGCTCACACAAACGACAGCGATCAGACAGGAATTCCGGAAGCTGCGAACTCTGTGTATCCAGATGCATATAGACGTTTCCACCGACCATAGTTCTGGATCGTTCGACCAGATCTGCTCCGTTATGTCGAGGGCTCCCGTGCTTTCTGACTTCCGAGCTCATGGTGTGGCGACATTCGCGCTGCCAGCACAGCCGCCCGAGCTTAGCATTTTCAGTATGCTCAAACGTCTAGAGATCACCGAGTGCATGCTCGAGATAAAGGAGGTCGTCAGAATGTTATCGGCGTGTAACGAGCTACAGCATGTTGTTTGCTCATGGGCTTTCCTCGATGACACGACCGGAACAATATCAGACCTCTACATTGCTCTGCTGCATCACACCGAAACTTTGGAAAGCTTACGTCTCGATTTGCGTCAAGTCAGAACCATCGACGACGATTTAGATGAGTCTCAATGCTTTGGTAGCTTTCTGCCGTTCAAAACTCTTAAGACATTGGCTGTATCGGATTATTGTTTTCCTGCGCCCTCTGATTCAATTTTAATGGCTGAGCTGCTACCACCGAGTTTGACAAGCTTCACAATGCTAACCGGGGAATCCGACGAACTTTCAGGCCAAAGCACAGATCTTACGCCCGACCTATGGGTTTGGGCCAAGAAGTATGCTTCGTCAGGCCTAAACCTCGAACACTTCATCGTTGAAAGCTACAAGGATGAGATAGAGACTCCTGGTATCACGAAGGCCTTTTTGGACCTGGGTGTGCAATTTGAGCTTAAGGAGGTACCAGAAAATATCTAGACGGGTTTGGAGATGGCAAACGGTTGAAGGGCCGGAAGATAGTAATGACGTCCGCCTCTGAGAGCCGCGACATGTACACTGAATGAGGAAAGAAACACGGCCTACCCAAACGCACGTATCGCGCTGTCATTCTATGCTTACTTGGAGAGGCAGTGTTGGTAACGCCTGGCGATACAGATGCGGGCGGCCTATAGCAAGACTCACGTAAAGATTTACCTAAATCGCACTGCCGTCGACCCGACGACAGAATCTCACCTTTACTTCAAAAGTGACCATTGCGGCCAGGGACTTTCTCACGTGTCAGTGCCCCTCACTAAGTCCTGCACGTCCATATAAGCCTTTTTCTCTATTACTCCAGGCTTTCTTTTCTTCTCGCCACCTAGTCAGCCTGCACCAGCTCGAGAAGCAATCGGTTTTCGATCCAGATCTTACAGCCTCAGCAGCAGCAACAAGAGTTGCTAACATGGCTATCCCGAGCGGTCAAGCCGCTCACTTGGACGTCACTGCATTTTCTAACGAAGAGACAGTTGTCGCGAACATGAGATCTCCCAAGAGAGAGACTTCGAGTCAGGACGACGCCTCAGTCCCCGATTTTGTGCTTGACGTACCCGGAAGCTCTGTGCCCGATTCCGAGAGGTCTGGAGAAGCCAAAGAGCTAGACTGTGTCCAGGATTCAGCAGATATTGGGACACCTACTCTCGATTCTGCCTTCCCATCGCCCAAGCTCGCCGCGAATGGCTGCCAAAGCATTATCTCTATTGGTGAAGACGATGTTGGGAAGGACATGCATAGCAAATCAGCTGTAGCGAGCCCGGTTCCTATACAAGACCAGGGAGAGCATTCCAACGGAAAGGCAGAGTTGAAGCATGGTATGTCTCGATTCTATCACGGAAAGCATTGACTGATTTGAGAACAAGCATCTCCAGTCGCCAAGAAGGAATCTCTCATGACGTTTGCCCTGGAAGCTCGGCGCGAGATCGTCGAGGTCGATACCGAGACTGACACAGACACGACTATCGACGCACCGAAATCCTTCAAGCTGGCCCACAGTCTACCTCCTCATGTGCGACCCGAGTTTCAACCACCACCAGCGCGCCAAGTCGGTCTTAATGACTCAAAGGTATGCTCTTGTAGAGACCTTCGGATACATTTATGACTGACACGTCTAGCACATGGTACCACCAAACGATGTCGCCCGAATCAACGAAAGCCCTCGAGCATCTCGCTCCCACTATATGTCACATCAACCTAGAAGCGACCACGTGGACCGAGAGCAGTTTGCCCGTGTCAGCGCCCAATTAACAAAGATCAAGCATGAACTTGATGTCGAGCGCAATAAGAACTTGCGACTTCGGACAACCATCGAGGCCGAGCAACAGCAGAAGGTTGAAGCCGCGTCTTCGAAGATGCTTACCAACCTCCTGCGAGAGCAAGCTGAAGCTCTCACGCTCAAAGCCAAGGTCGAAGCTAGGGAGCGTGAACTTGACTTTCGGGAGCAAAGAATCTCACAGCAGGAAGTTTACCTTTCCGAAGGCCAGCAGCAGCTCTGGTTTTCTCTCGAAGCAAATGGTGTTCGCCCTATGAGTGCAGTGGATATGCAGCACGCACGACAAGAAGCCGAGCTGAACGCTCAAAAGGCCATGGCTGACCTCAATGGAAAGCTTAACATCAAGATCGAAGGTCTACGTCTTCGTGAATCAGCACAGCAGATGCGCGAACAGCAGTACAAGGCTATCATCCGCGATTCGCTCAAGGACGAACTCGAGAGCTCGCTGACCGATGAGAAGGCTGAAGAGATTGCTGAAATTGAGTACAACAATGGATATGGTGCAGGCAAAGAGGTCGGTAACAAAGAATCACAAGAGAAGTTTCGCCAGCGAGGCTTCTTAGAAGGTTATGGCGCCTGTCACCGTACTCAAATCACCCTGAGTAAGTGTCGCCAGGGTCTGATCGATCGTGACAGCCCTGAGCTAAACTTCCTCTACGATGCCAACCATCCACACAACCTCTGGAACATCGGTGAGCTCGTCGGCCGTCTGGAGCATGAAGACAACGCTGAGAAGATGAAGAACGTGGCGAAGAGGGAGTCTGCAGTTGAGAAGCCATTCATCAACACCAAAACTGCTAATGTCGCTGATGAGCCCCACGACATGAATGGTAAGGTCATCGGGCATACCAATGATACCATGATTCACAAGCGAGAGGAGACAATTAGCAGGTAAACCACCCGCCACTCCATCTTTTACTTGGACTTACACTCTGCAGGATGCCACTCGCGCGTCCTACCTTCGCTGCCGAGCTTCGTGGTCCATCTGCTACACACAACGGCCACATCATTCTCGCTAACAACATCGCTTCACCAGCCGCCAAGAAGACCGAACAATCCATCGTCAAAGATGGGGAGCCTGTCGTGAATTTGATTGACTTCATGTAAGTCGGTCGCTGGAAGGGCTGGGGTGTGGACGGGGAGTATGGGGATGGCTGGACGGAAGGGTCGGGGCATGAGGTTTGAGGGCGACAAGGGGCGCGGAGGTAACAATGGTTGTGTCCAAAGCTCAACAGGATGACTACATTGCCCTAGCTACTCTACCGTCGCCTTGCGTATGCTACTTGGATACCTCCAAGCCCTTGCATAACCTCTACCCCAGCATGCCGCCCGATCGGGTTAGAGTCCGCCTTGAGGATGGCTGGCGGGCAAGGACTAAAACTTGTGTCTGAAATGAGCTACATGATTGAGTTGGCACCATTTAGGTACTGACCATATGGGACGAGAAACTAGATGTATTTAAAGTTATCAAAATATCCACATGTGGAGTTTGACGCATAAATCTTTTTTCCTTGATATGAGCATTCTAAAAGTAGATTCTGACATCTACATTACTTTTCTCCATCTTTATCTTCCGGTCTAGAACATGTTGAATACCCCCATCGCCAGCCCAAAACCACACTTTTATGACCATCTAATATACCTCAATCCTGCATAACGCTCCACCCCTCGCCGCCTCTCCTCCCGCCAATTCCTCTTCCACCCCTTACAACCGGCCCATGGCCCCTCTCACCCAACATAGGTTTCCTCAGCACAGGGCCATTCGGTCCCTGACCAAACGCGTCAGCCTGCTCTTGAGCCTCCTCTGTCAACTTCGGTTCATTCGCACCACCACCACCACCACCCTCCTTTGCCTCTCCCTCCTTAGCAGGCCACTTCTTCGCAAAGTCCTGCGCCCCACCCCCAATAGCCCTCATCTCCTCGTTCTCCTGGCCATCTTCCCTTGCAGCATACTTCCCCACGATATCCAACAACTCCTTCTCTCCCTGCTTCTCACGCTCGCTAGACCAGTTTGCATACTCGTCCCACCACCAGCGATGCGTCTCTCCGTCTTTTCCTAGGTACCCTGCCGTGCCATCTTCCTTTACACGCGCAGCCCATGGCTTATCCACAATGTAATGCAGCACAGCGACCTGATCGTCGACCCATATATTAGTATGCCAATATCTCCACGTCTTCAATGCATTCGTTTTCCAGGACAAAGTACTCCAGCGGCCATCAAAAGCCTCGTTTAAGAAATCCTGATCAGGGAACTTCATAGCGCGGAGTCTAGTGTTGCCAATTTCCTGAAACTTCTGGAGGACAAACTCAGCTAGAGCTTTGCTAGGGCGATAGAGAAAAGTCCCCGAGTTGAAGTTGGACAGCGTGTAAGGTTCTGGTCGCACTTGAGCGAGTTGTTCCGGGGCTGTGAGTTTAGCCATGGCGCAGTTCTCCGGGTTCCATTCAGCAGGGGCCCAGGAGTCATGGTCGAGGTTGCAGACACAGGTGTGTACGGCCATGGTTCGCATTCCGTCGCCACCTTGCAGGTAGGCGTCGTTTTGCTTGTTGAAGATTAGGGGCGAGGGGTTGGAGAAGATCATCATGTCGGCGTCTAGCCAGCAGATTCGTTCAAATTTCTGAGGCATGTCCCAAAGGTCGAAGACGCGCAGTTTGGTCCATGTATCGATGAAGCGCTCGGCGACCATGCCGTGTTCTGTTCCATCTTCAGGAAGGCGGAGGTGTTCTACGGGGTGGAGGACGATGTTGGAATGTCTAGCTTCGGCTTTGAAGGCGTTGACTGAGGCCTCTGGGAGTGTTTCAGGCGTGTAGGTTATGATGAGGGGTGTGTTTGGTGAATGCTTGTTGAGTGTATAGGCTAGGAGGATTGCGCCGGCGAGATAACTGGGTCGAGTGAGGAGAGTTACATATGCATCTTTTCCCTGTTGGTCCGCCATTATGAGTACCGATGGGCTCTTGGACCGTTATTGTTCTCCGATATTTTCAATGTCAGAGATATAATGACAGGGATATCGAGAGGTACATGGAGTCGCAGAGGTCTACACGAGTCCCACCAAAGCAAGAACGCGCTGACGTCACGACTCACGTTCCGAGGCCGGAATGCACAACTCTTGTGATCGGAACCTACTGAGGACCTACACATTTTGGAGAGGGAATGTACTGTGTAAATTGTCGTAGTAGGTTTCACGAAGATATATAATGTTACAAGTTCAAATTACGGGTATCTCAAGAATCCTACTTCGACAACAGCCATTTCACTACTCAAACTTATAATACAATGTCCTCAAATCTTCTTCCCATCCTCTTTCGCTAACGCCTTCCCCCAAGCGTTCTCGAATGGGTCGTCCGACTTAGGAGCATCTACCTGCTGTACATCTTGCAAAGCTGCAACTTCAGGCACCACGCTTGGCTTCGTCAATTGTACAGGAGCGGGACGGTCCAAGGCAGCAGCCTCTGGGCTTTCGTACTCGAAGTTGCTAGAGTAGACCACAGCAGCGAATGCCTCCAGACCACCAACAGCTTCGATAGCAGCTAGATACTCGTTGTTCGCTCCGCTTCCGATACTATGCGCCTGTCTGCAGAACACCGCTAGACTGTTGGCGACCTTGGCCTTGACGTCGTGGCCAACAATCTCCTGCACACGAGCGTTGCTATCAGAGACAGGCGGGATCTTGTATGAGAGTTGCGAGATCTTGACATCGACGAGGTGGGAGAAGGCCGCATCGAGGAGCTGTGTAAGGACATGGGCAAAGGCAGGCGATTCGATGAGGTCGGAGGTTTCATCGATAAGGCGACGAAGAGAGGCGGTTGTTGTGGGGGATGTCGACTCAGATGATGAGGTCATGCCGGACTCTTGAAGGACATAGTCTTCCTGGTCTTGCGGTGGAAGTAGGAAAGCGAGCCACTTGCATGTTCTGTGGGGAATTAGCTAATGTCATTACGCGTTGGAGTGGACTCTTACCTTCGCTCTTCCTCGGTCGCACCTTCGACTCTCTTGCGTACTTCCAGTGTAAGTTCAGACAGCCTTTCCAAGGTCATCTCTTCTCTTGGGTTCACAAGGCCGAAGACGTCCTTGACTGCGACCCTCACTTTCTCAATAAGATCTATGCATCCCTTGTGTAGCAGCCACCAGCTCAAACTAAGGTACCTGCGGTTCGTCTCGAAATCATTGCCGTACGCCTGCTCGAAGTTGTCGTCGTCGTTGTTTTCTAGGTTGATCCTTGAGCCTTCAGTGGTCGGCTGCGGTGCGGCCAGGGACACGACGGATGCGAGGTAGTTTCGACGGCCGAGGAGGTTCAGTTGAATGCGAGTGAGAAGCGTAAGGAGAGACAGGGTGTAGACGAGGGTGAAGGCTCGCGTTATTGCTGGTCATGTCAGCATCACAAGTCCCGATGCCATGTACGGGGCACATACAACTAATCTTCATCTCACTCCATAGCTGTGCTTTGCTCTTCTTGGACCTCCTGTCCTCTCGGGGCTCTGGACTGCCCTCGGCTGGTCCCGTATTGCTATCGCCCTCTGTAGCGATTTGGCTGGCATGGATGAAGCTGTCCGTCTGCAGACTCGAGCTTCTTGCGTCATCCTCGGTCGTGTCGGCTACACTCGGAGGCGCTGTACTCGCAATCTCGCTGGGCCCGACGCTACGTGACAGGCGCTCTGCCTTTTGTCTCTGTAGCTCTTCCAGCACTTGCTCCACGGGGATGGCATCGAGTATGTTCTCGGTCGCGGTCGGTAGGATGGCGAGGACGGTGAAGGTGCAGTCTTCCTGGTTCTGTTCGAAGCGGCGGCGGAGACTGTAGAGCCGTTAGAAGGTGCTCCTTGATAAGAAAGTATGGAGCGCACTTCTCTTTCGCGATGCGATCATCGCTCATGCGCTGCCTCGCCTCCCCGAGCTTGCCCAGCACATACTGCCCCGCCAGATAGCCGGCGCCGAGCACTCCGGCGCCGATTGCGAAGTTTGTGCGGTTGCGCCTGAGCCAGCGACGCGTTCCTTGTATCATGTTGATGGTTGAGAGGGCTATGCAGCCCGCGTACTTGGGGGTGGAGCAGGCGTCAGTCGCGTGTGGGGAATGTCGGAAGACCACCCAAGATAACCCAGGGTCCCGGCTGCTGCTCACGGGCCTGTCAATGCAGCGATGCGTGATACAAGGAATCTCTTTGTTCAAATACTCCCGTCGTAGCAATTGTCGCAATAAGTGATTAGTCGTGACTGATGAAGCAGGTGCAGGCCTTCAACATCCACCGCATGCGAGGTTGGTCTCGGGTTACACCAAGGCTTCGTGATTGGGCCGAGGTCCATTGCCCAAAGGGGAGACCAAGCCCAGCGCCGCTTTCGCTCCGCACATGTTGTCATCGCCTCCAGACGCTATTTCATCTTCCCACTCAAAAGGATAAGGCCTTCTCGTAGCAGTATATCATGTATCAAATTGTACTATAATGACGACCTCCCCCTCTATTGCAGCTCATCGTATGTTGCATCCAATTCGTGATAACAGAAAAGCAACGCGTCTTTCAATGTATTTATGGTATAGACAAGTCGAACAAAACTGAAGCCAAAACATCAAGTCGTTAAGCAATTCGTGAGTCGTAATCCTTCAAACGCATAGCGCGTCATTCAAGTGGGCGGGATGTCGCAGTTGGTGTTGTTACTGTTGTCTCGGGCGAATCAGAAAGAGAAGTCGTGCTCGTGATCGGAGACGAGGCTTCTGAGCTAGACGACCTATTTGATGCTGATAACCTGTAGAGGCAATTAGAACCTGTGCGTGGATTTCAATGTCGCTTTGTAGGCTTGGCCATAACATGGTAGAATGCCAGTCGGAACATATGCTAGGTGTAAGTAGCAAAGAAAGTAGGACCGGAACAGGATAGCCGGTGACGTTGAGCCAAAACATGAACAGGGCGATTCCCCAGCGAGCATACTGAAGACATGCTAGTAGGACTTGTGTCTACTAGCAATGACGGCAGCACGGCCCAGGGCCAAAGCCTAACAGGGAGAAGCCAGTCGGCAAACAGATGTCTGGAAAAGAGGGACGACGTTGAATGAACAGGAAAGGAGCAAAGGTCGGACGATACGAACGTCTTGATTGTAGCGATAACTGCTTGCTTTTAGCCATTGAACATACCCATTAATAACCAATAGAAAGGCTCATTACTGCGTAGCAGCGAACCTCCTAAACTCTCAAAGACTCAATTGGGTATGCATGTACATCCCGGTTTGATGCCCATAGCAATCAATGACAGAAACTTCCGTATCCTTGGGCTATTTTGTGGACCCTGGTATGCTGTGGTCCGAAAATCCTTCCTTGGATCAGAAGTCCTGGGATCAGTCCTCGCGGTGGATATAAGAAATAGAGAAAAGCTTCTTGTATGACAAGAAGCAACGTAAACATGAATAGCAGTGGAGATAGTCAGGATAGCCTATCTCACTGTTCCAGTCAGCGGTAAAAGGTCGTGGCACCCAGCAGCAGTTCATCCTTAGTTAGCTGCAGACATGTAGTCTGTAGATGGGTTCCAAGGTCGTCCATACGAGCCTTGTGAATGCAGGAACGCAGAAGAATCTCCGGGTTGATCCTGAGGGTCTATAAGACCATCATAACTGGACTGAAACGACTGAGATTCGACGAAGGGGGATTGATCGTTCCATTGGATTTCATGGTTGTTGTATGGAGACCTGGGGTAAAATCCAGTGACATGTGAAGGTACGTACCCCGATATCTCTGACTGATTGCCTTGCTGAATTCCCTGAGTCTCTTGAGCCCACTGCGGGCTGCTTGGTGCTGTGACCGACTGCGACGAGTCTTTTGCGTCCTTGCGAGCTCGAGCCAGATCTTGATCGTTGTGCGTGGTCACCATAACCGGCAGCGTTGCCCCGGGTCTTAACATATCGGCTTAGCATCATGATGGCTGACTGCTGAAGTTGAATTTCACTACTGACCTTTGCAAAGTAATGTCGTCATCCCGGAGGGTCTTTCCTACAGGCATGGGGGTTGCGATGACGTGAGTGCACTACATCATGTTAATTTTGGTTTGACATGAACGCGGAACTGGTTCCTACCTTGCCCTTCTGGCGCTTGCACTTTTCACAAGCACCAATTTTTCTTGTAGTCTTATAGGCAGATCGTTCCGCAGGTGTCATCTTGCGCTTCTTCTTCGGCTGTATCGCAAGCCCTCCATCCACAACACTAAACACATGTTGCTGACCAGTTGCAATCTTGGTGATGGTAGGAGATTGCTGTAGATGATGCTCCACAAGTGCCGGCGACCTGTACGAACTGCTATGTGACAAAGAAGGCGAAAGGCTTCTTTGGTGCTTGCAAACATCCAGTTCCTCGGGACCTGGATGGGACGCTTGAAGAAGTATAGCTTCGTTCTGCATCGACTCAAGTTCGCGGTTCAGAAAGTCTATGGCGGCCAAATGCTTCCGCTGGCGCATACTGGTACATTGTGGATATTGGTTTTTCAAAAGTTCGTGTAGAGCATCGGAATCGAGTGGCTGAGTGAAAGCCATGCCTGCCCACGGCGGAGTCTCGTCGCTCGTCGGGTGTATCCGCTTGATGGATCTCATATTGAGGCTACAAAGGCCACAGCAATTAAGTGAGATATATCAGGTCGGATTCAGACAGATATCGCAAGACTCCTGGAATATGATACCCGTATTTCAGCTATGCCACGTATCAGTAATGTTCAAGCAGGGGGCGCTGGCAATCATACATAAAGAACATTTTCATTGTTCCTAGCCCAAGTGCGCTACTCCAGCGTCAGCATAATCATGTTCCCAGGCGAGGCTTTGTGGAGTGATTCTAAGTACAGACCGCAAGGCGTCTTCGCTGTGGTCATGACAGGAATACCCCGCCGATGATCACGAACGAACCGTCGTGATCTCGGCAGACAGCAATCTAGCCTTTCTAATCCACCATAGGTACTTACATGATAAGGTATGGTTCGTTCAGGGACGGTTTGTATTGATAGTGAGCTTGGAGGGGAATCGAATGTGTAAATAAGTCACCGAGGTCACCAGACGTGTACACTACCGAGCCCCAGGCAACGATAGGATATACGGAAGGAACAGAGCTAGCCGCACGGTGTCTCGACACGATCGATCGTAGGTTAGCCGGTCGCAGCGGCGTCCTAAACTGGCCAGACATTCTTTCTACTTCGTAGCAGTTCGGATATAAGCATTGCACCATCATAGCAAGCTTGCAGATGATTCGTGCGGAAGTCGGCATCGTGGATCATGTTCACCGTGTAACTGTAATGGCGTCGACTTGTAGGCGCAGCATCACGGAGGACCATCTCGCTTCCAGAATGAGGCGCAGTCAATTGGCCAACGAGCTTCAGCCTGCTGTCATCTTGGGCACTCTGACCTTAAGATTGGGCAGCGATGCAGACTCTGTGATCAACGCATATAATATCGAATTCTCAGTGGTAGCTGTGCTGCTCGTATAAATGAAGCGTGGTGGGTGTATCGTGATGCGCGTGGATCCCGCGGGAATGTGGTGCAGCCTGGGTACGCGTCATGACAGCGCCAGTTTCTTCTACCCTTTCATGGTAAGACAACGAACACCGCGCGATAGTAGAATGAGGCAGCGTTTGTGTAGATGACGAGCATTAAGTGTATGACAGCTGGTGGCAATGAAGAGGGAACAGTTGAATGGGTCCCGGTGACGACTCCAGTCTGGGTCCGGGTTAGACCAAACCAAGCTAGCGTCAGATTGAGATGAAGTTGCGACCAAGGAACGCGCTCATTGTTCTCCCTCCACTGCCTACCATAAACCTTATCGTCCGGCATCTGGGAGAATTTCGGATTAAATGGAATTACAGGTTGCTTCATGAGCATGAGCGATGTGGTGTAATAATCGGTGGCTATCAAACCGAGACTGATCTTCTTCATGCTGCAAGACCATGCCAACGTCGGAAGGGCTAGGCAGTATGCTCCAAGAACAAGAGAAAGCATATTTTCCGTATACTTGATCTTTTGTAAGTATTAGAGAAGCAGCTTGGGCTAGCATTCAATTTGTGATCATTGAACCCAAATTCATGCGCCTTGTCCTGCGGCCGAAACTCCGCCTACCCTATAACCAAATTTGAGCAAGTCTTGTCCCTCTATCTGTGTCCTCTTTCCTAGCAATTCGTCGATATCCCATGTCGCACCCAGCAGTCGGCCGTTCAGCCACATCCGCTTCTCGGTGCTTAACCAAACACAAAAAGCGCCCCCGAGACCAATATCGTCTGTGAGATCTAGAAAGTCAGTATCCTTCATTGATTCAACAGTGAAGATACACTTACAAGGTCGAAAGCTATCTGGTGTAGTCTTGTCTGCCATTTCCGTGTTGACGGCGCCAGGGTGTACAGCAACAGCCAATATACCATCCGCACCGTATTGCTCTGACAGGAACTCGACAAGACGTGCCTGCGCGAATTTCGAGATACAATATGCTGTGTTCGCAATATGCCCGTTTACGATGCATGCTCCAAAGGAGTTGATAGCGATGAAGGTTCTAGCACCATCACTTTCCTTCAGTATTGGAATGAAGTGGTGCGCAACAAGGTATGTACCCTGTACGTTGACGTCGAACACATCTTGGAAATCTTGTGGATCTCCTTCCTCGACTTTCAGCACTACCGGTCCTGAGTATCCTGAATTGACAATGACAACGTCCAGCCTTCCAACTTCTTGTCTTACATCCTTCGCGAGCTGCGCAACGCTCGAATTTGATGTAATGTCGACCTCCAGGCTTTTGATGGATACTGATGGATTCAAGTTCTTGGCTTCTTGTGCGACTGTCGCTAGTTCCTGGCTTGAAGATGACCTCGCTGCCAGGAGGAGAGACGCAGCACCTGCTTGCGCGTAGGCATGGGCAATACCGGCTCCTATCCCGCGAGACGCACCAACTATGAGTACGTTGAGTGGCTTTGGTAGTTTGTTGGAGGCTGGGTCCAGGACAGCAGTGGGTTTGCTATGTGTCGTCTTTGTGAAGCCGCTGGCGAGCGTAGTATCTTTTATTCGTTGCGACATAGTGATCGGTCCAAACATTCGTGATGGGAACATTTCGACAATTGCTGTGGCCGCCCACTGATATGCTGGCGCGCCTTATGTGCATCCTTCAGGCGACTCAAAATGACTCATTTTGAGCCGCGTCCTGAAGGACAAACTCGTTTCGAGCAAGGCTTCTTGTACTTCGCCATAGAAGAAGCCGTTTCGCCATATCTGTAGATGTTCTTGGGTGCTCGATATTCCGTCTCTCAGAAACATCGTCAGCGCAAACGTGAGGTTCTGAAGCGGAGGCAGGCGTATGACGTGCCACGCTAACCTAGCGTGACTGAAGTGTGGGGTTCACCTTTCACTCATTTGGGAAAATTTCGTCTCCCTCTTCGATACGTGCTTAATCTTCTATCCTACATTCCATGACCGATGATGGTTCTCGTCGCCATAATGTGGTGCTGCAGCTAGCTTGGGTAAGCATTATCGTATGTAAGCCCTATTTAGATATGCATGAACCCAGCCTATGGGATACGGACGACCTGCATAACCATTATTCATATGCAGCTAGATAATAGTGAGCGAGGCTAACGAAACTCTTGACGACATTGTGATTGGAAGCGTGTACTACCACCAGTGAGAAATATAAAGTCGAAGCCTCGCGCCATGAACAGAGACTGGCTTTCCATCGAGCAAAGCATTTGATACTCAACACCTCAAGCATTCCAAGATGACACGCACTCTTATCCTGTTTGGCGCAGGACCCGGCATTGGCGACAATGTCGCCCTTCAATTTGCGTCCAAAGGTATCGAACACATCATTCTTCTTGCGCGCAACACAGAACGCCTCCAGAACGAAGATGCGCCTTTCGTCGCCAGGAGCACATTCCCCGTCAAAGTCGACACACTCCGTGTCGATCTCGCAGACACAAAATCCATCCCAAGTGTACTCAAGCAGCTTGACAGCATGACCTCAGGCGAAGACATAGAAGTAGTGTTTTTCAACGCTGCTCGCATAAAGCCAAGTGAAGTACTCGGTGTCAGTGTTGAGGAGATTGACGAAGATTTCAAAGTGCTTAACTCCCTTTTCCAATATCAACAATATCGGGTATGCTAATGGAGATGATAGACGAGCAACCTCGCCCTCTACGTCATAGCACAGCATTATATTCCCAAACTCCAGAGCCTGGCTAAGTCCAATTCTACGTCCAAACCTGCGCTTTTCGTCACCAATAGCCATCTGCCTTGGGATCCTATACCGCAGCTGCTCTCGTTAAGCTTGACAAAGGCTTCGCAGAAGAATATGGTAGAGAGCTTCAACCGTGCTTTCAGTGACAGTGGTGTGCACATCGGGCTGATCTCTGTTGAGGGATCTGTGGCGCCTGAGAATAAAGTGCTAAACCCGAAGACGATTGCAGAGAGGACAATTGAATTCTGGGAGGGAGAGAAGGGCTTGGCTATTCACGTCAAGGAGGAGTAATGGCTGTGAGATAGGATCATCCATTTCGGGGCGATCTGCTGCAGTTGTTCAGATCGCTCGGCTTATTGTTCATCCTTTCTCGTACCACTCACTTCAATACTTGCGTTGCATCTTTCCTGCCTTCATCCACTCTTCCAATCCTTCTGGGCATATGATCCTAACGTTATAGCTTCGTTCAGGAATCTACTTCAGCCTACCAGCATCCATTCTCTTGCGATCAGCTTTGTCATCTGTCAACCTATTTTATCCTGTCCCCCGGGTCGCGAGTGAACAGCGCACAATCATGCAGACCACTTCCCCTACAGATTCTCAAGTCAGTACCGAGAGGGAAACCATAGTAGAAGGCATGTTGTCAAGTAAACCAAAAGACATACCGATGATATAGCTTGATCCTTGCCTCGGAATGCTCTTCATGGCAGATAGCCGATATGCGCCGCGGATAAGCACCATACTGTTTCTGGTTGAGACTTCGGAGATCATCTTCATCAAACGTTGGCCGCACGATTACATTTGAATATCACCGGGCATGAGCACTATAGTTGAAATTGCTCAACTCAAATTTACCATATCCCCAAAACCTTACAGGATCAAAGACTACCACGTTGTTCTCTTCTGTAACACCAATGTTACCTTCACTTTCTTAGACAACTTTTCGACCACTTCCTCCATTTCTGCTCATCTTGGCCCACTGATTTCAAGGTTACACAGCAGCATCCTTTCCATATTTTGCCTAAACTTCCCTTCCCAGGTCGATGTCCAGGCATTTTCTTGGGTAAGGTAGCCATCATGTGTAGTGACACAGTAACCGAACCAGCCCCCCGCGGGCCGACGCTCATGATCTCGTGCGAGCTCTTCGAAAGATACCGCGCTCTCGATCTTCAAGTCTCCCAACCTCTGCATCATCGCATGCATATCCGCGGTGTTGGATTGTACCATGGGCACGAGATCCTGGAATAGAACTACCACTTCTCCTCGTCATCAACCCCATCTTCATCACCATCTTCCTTTCCGGCATCCCTTTCAAGAACCCCTACCCCACACCGCCAACACACAACCCTGAGCGAAACCTCGCAATATCATGCGCAGCCTTACATAGCCCCTCTCAGCATATTCATCCCATTTCTTCCTTGCGCTAGTTTGACGAAGTAACTGCCTTTGCTCTGCTTACTCCGCCCGTTCCATTCACATAGGCCTCCAACATCTCCATCTTCATATTCTTTCTCATCCTCCTCATCTGTAGTTCTACGACCCTGCATCCTAGCATCAACATGCCCACTGTCATTGTTGGTAGTCTTGGTGGGAGTAGAATTCGAGGTGGTGTCGATGCAGAAACAATCTGTTTAGTGACTTTCGCCACGGGGAAATATGCTTGTTATAGCTGTGTCTGGCGGGAGGTCTGGATGGTACCAATTGGGACTAGGTATAGGATGTATAGCTGCTGGGGGGCCTTTGTAAGCTGGCTAGTGATGGAAGACCAAGAGAATGACATACGGTGTTGAGGTGTAGCAGAGGCAGCTATACGGTTTTCTAGGTCAGACAGCTTTGTCATTTCTGCAGAAGGGGGATCGTAGTGAAACACCGAGCGATGATCGCTGACAAAAGTACATGCGTTGTAGTAAAAGATGGCAAAAGTATGTATGTCTAGTAAGAGGTTGCGAGATTACCATGATCAACATACAAAGTCGATCCATACAATCGTGTGTAGGCTCTCAACCCCATTGGCACGTGCTCTGTTCGCGATGCGAACAGAACAAGATATGCACCTGGATGCCATATGAAAAGGCACAGTAAACTGTTTTCCTGAAAGTCAGCAGGGCTTCTTCCACTTTTCGTTCGAACGTGTTGCACGAACAGCATGATTTGACATGTGATCAAAGACCGTGTTCTTGTTACAATCTCGATTCCATCCTACGTATTCCACACCACCTATTCTGACGATATGACTGCCACACCAACAAGGATATACAGAAGCCTATCCCGCCCTCCCCACTCATCCCCTTTTCTCCGCCATCCCATCAGCCAAACGAACAAAAAGTCCCGAAACCAAACCAGCAACACAGTCAGAATATATGAATAAAAAAAAGAAATATATTACCAATGCACGAGCCCGCTACCACACGCCACAGACGCAAAGGTAAGACAGGGGTGGCTCTCAGAGCCTCACCTGTTCATCCTTTTCCCCCCGCTCCGCTCCGCTCCCAGAATAGTCAGAAACAAGTTTCATGTAGACTCGGTAGATCGGAGCTAGGAAGGAGAAAAAAGAGAAAAAAGACATTTCAAAGAAGCAAAAGGCTTATCAGCTAGTTCATCCGGGAAGCCAAAAGCCAAGCGCTCGGAGCCGAAACAAGCAGAGAAAGAAGAAGAAAAGAAAAACGAACATATGTGTTGTTACATGTTGGCGTGCGTGTAATAGAGGGACCAAGTCCGGTAGTCCTGGTGATGGTTGTTGATGTTTGTGTGTTGTGTTGCGTAGGATGATGGTGATGATACTGTGTTGTTGCCTCGACAGCCGTGTACTTTGAGGAAGAAAAGCTAAAGATTTGCATTGTTCGAATGGGATGGAGAAAAAAAACGCCCTTGGCTTGTCAGGAATGGAAATGCTGGTCAATACGCCTGCTTGAACACATGAAGCTTCCACCCCGCAAAACTCTACGCCTTGCACTCCTTGAATATGTATAAAGTATCCAGCCGTTTCCTTCTAGTAGTAGTAGATCATCAATGGGAAGCGTGTTGGAACGAGGAGAAATGATTATGGCGGGATTCCTATATCTCGACAGTCTTGAGATCTTCTGCTTCGGCGGTCGCCGCGATAGGGCTCTTCACCGACTTTGGGCTTTTCAGTGAAGAAGGCGCTTCAGGCTTGGTGTCTTGGTTCTCCTTGTTGTTCTCCTTATCGCTGCTGAGACTGTCGCGGGGAGTAGGTAGGCGGGCAGTGGGGAGCTCGTCACTGGGCCTTGGTGTGTCCATGGAGATCAGGTTCTCCGAGGGTGTGGCAGCCTTGGCATCGAGGTTCGTGTGGACGCGGATTGGTGCTGGGTTCTCTTCAGCAACTCGGGCGAGCGGGCTTGAAAGTTTGCCGCGCGGGCTGACGCCTTTGGGTGGTTTGGAGAGGCGGTGGGGGCTTCGGCCGCGATCTTCTGGTCCCATTACAGGGCTGTGGTAGGGGCTGCTCGCAGTGCTACTGGGGACGACCATACCCGGCGCGTTGGGATTGACACGCAGACCGCTGTTCGGGCGTCTCTTGGGCGGCCGGCGACCGTGCTTCTGATCGCATCGCCAGCGGAGGACTTCTAGGTAGGGTGGCTCAACGTTCTGCTTCTTGAATGCCAACAGCTTCAGCTCGCCCGTCTCCTCATCCATGTGTACGTCCTTGGAGGCAAAGTCATCTGCGGCCATGGCTAGTAGAGCGCCCCACGAGCGTGCGACGACATATTTGCAATCGTAGTCGCGGCCGAAGATGATGATCTGGCCCCATGTGCCATTGGGACCCGGAGCGAGATCAACGGCAAGGTAGTTGCCTCCCCAGTCGCGAGCCAGAGGGATCCATGCTGGGTGGGCATAGGCCTTTTGTACGGCGTTCGGGGGCTGCGAGTCCTGACGCGCGAGGAGGTCTTGTCGCCAGAGAGGGTTGCCTGTGCTCTGGACTGTAGCCACAGGAGGAGCTGTAGAAGAGCCGGCAAAAGCCTTGACTGGAATTTGCGGTGTTCGGTAGTCGACCTTTGTGGTGAGGTATTCCTCAGCGACCTTTCGCCAGTTCTTCCACTCCATGACAATCTCCTCGCAGTCGAGCAACATGAGGCCAAAGATGACACCAGTCGGGAGACCGCCGCGCTCCTGGCCGTCGTGGACCTGCAACGACTCGCGAATGTCCATGGGGAGCGTCGCATCGAGCTCGTGCTCCAGCTCGTTGACGTCGTTTGATGTGCAGCCCTCGCACAAGTTGTCGAAGAGCTCTTGGTAGTGGTCCTCGACCCAGCGGTCGATACGCCTCCACGAGTGGCTAACAGGTGGTGGCGGAGGCAGGCCCTCGTTGAAGTCCTGCATCTGGATCTGGCCATTGGCGCCCTTGTCGAACGTGTCCGAGTCCATGGTGGCCTGGCGGCTCAGGGAGCCACGCATTCCAGGCGAGTAGGGGGAGCTGGGAGACATGGGGCCCTGGGGGGAGCCGATGAAGCCATTGCTGGTCGCGAGCTCGTCGTGCTGGTAGGGCGAGTGCAGGTCGGCGCGGGACTCGGCGCCGCTCGCCGTGATGGAGGTGAGGGCAGCGTGGCGGCTCTGGGGAATGGGGATGTGACGGCCGGTGCGGTACGGCGAGTCGTGCGAGGCGTGGCGGTCGTACGAGGTCATGGTATGCCAGAAGTCCTTCAAGGACGAAGTTATTCTGGGCAAATGTTAGCCGTGGCTGCCAGGGAGGCGTGTGAGGCATGTGAGGCATGTGAGGCCGGGGTGTCGTACTGTTGTGCCATGGTGTCGACAAGTCTTGGGGGGGAGCGGAACAGCGAAAAGAGCGTATGGGTGCGCTCTGCGCTGTCAGCCTGTGGGCGGTGTTCCGGGACTCAGCGAGTGTCGAGTGCTTGTCGCTGGGAGCAGCGGTCTGGGTCGAGTCTTGTGGTTTGGTAAGCGTTGGCAGGAGCTTGGATTGGGAATCGAGAAAACGGATTCCAGGTGACGTTAAGGGGTGCCGACGCGCCAAGACTAAAGCACGACCGGGATGGCCCTAGACAGATTGACGAGCGTTGAATGCGCAATGCTGGCCCACTGCTTCAGGACAAGGACGAGGAGCAGGTGACAGCCTCAGGGTGAATGCGCTCGAGAGCTTGTTGTGGTCGGCGCCCGCAACTATTATGGTACCAGTCGTGTTGTTGTTGTGGTTCGTCGGCTGCATAACAAAGACCTGCAACCACTCACGCCGGCCTCTGGGCAGCCGCGACCTATCTACTCCCTCCTCAATCTCTCCACTCTGACCCCCCCCCCCCTCCCCTCTCCCTCGACCACGGAGCCAACTTGAACTGACCCCCCGGCCATTGGCGTTTATTAATAGCCCCTTAGCACCCCTATGTATCGCCATTGCCACCCACATCACACTGACTTTCCTTCTACTTCACCAACAGTATCCCCATTTGGTCGCGCAATACCTGTTCGCTTTTGCCGTGGCCAATTCACTCCTTAGCCGACCCCCATGCGGCCCATTTTCGCCGCCTCACATCGGCGCCGTTCGTCCAACCGTGGGCCTGTTTCAGGCTTCGGCGGCGTCGTGCGCGCCAACGAGGGGCTTTACCGGGTGGGCTTCGCTTGCTTAGCTTCTACCGCTCCCTACCCCGTTGGAACTTAGGAGCTGCCTCTGCATCTATGGCGTCCTCAAGGCGGTGTAAAACGAAACGTGCCACTTTTATGCTCTTGCCTCGTCTTAGCAAAAACAATCCGACACATGTGCGGCATATTTCCTCAAACACGACGTATCTATTCAACACTTCTGCCACGTACACAAGCAATTCCTTGACAACACCATCAGTGGCTCGACGCGCGCGCGCGTTTCTGTTTCGTGATTACATCGTCCATCTCCAAATCTTCAGCTATGGAATCCTTCGATAGAGATAATGCGCATCCCCCACTAGTCCTGCACCAGATCTTCAATTTCCGCCATAATCTCCCAGAGGGTTATGCCTAATCTTGGTCCATGATGCGGTCAGCACAACTGCCTGTCCTCATGACGTAGACCGATAGTCGGCAAGCACGTATCGCCTGCGTAACGTTGACGACCATGCATGGTGTGCAGCAAACCAGAGTTAATTGCTATGACCTTGGGTAGGTTTCATATTAACATGGCGGGCAGTTCCGATCAGCTATCTGATCCGTAGCACCAATTGCGACTCGTACTAAGCTTCCGTCTTCTTCTTCAGAGCTTGTCCTTGAACTTTGTACCTCGCCAAGTACGTGTCCCTCCACTAGTAAAGCTTCGTGTTGCGCCCTCTCGGAGCACGATATTGCCGCGCATCCGGGAACAGGCGTTTGTGGGTTGTGTGATGTGGTGAGAGCCGGCGGGGTGCGGGGTGTTGCAAGGCTGTTTGCTGATATTTTTAGCCGCCACGCAACTTTCTCGCCACATCGCATGGTAACCGATGTGGCTATTGTGGAGTAACACTCAAGTCCTCATCACGACCCCATCGCTCGACGTTCAGTTTGACTTCGGGGATTTGCTGCGCTAGCCTGGCCTGGTTTACCCCAGAATCGCACGTCGTATTGCCTGGCGCGTGGGTCAGATACGAGGTGATGTGCGTTGAGTAAGCGCCCTTCGTCCCGACCCGGTACTGTAGCGTTGAGGCGCGGCCGTGATTTGTTTCTTCTAGTCTTCCGCTCGAATATTGTTATTGAAAATTCAGCTAGATGTTGTGTATCGTTTGGTTGCTTGGTGACCACAGTTCTTATGGTCTGTTGTTGGACCTTGAGCATTTTGGTGGTTTAGTCTTGCCATGCAAACATGATCGGAAAACGCCGTGCTGACAGGTTGGGCGCATTTTGTTGGTTATGCCTCTTCTTATTCTGCGCATTTCCAGCATCGTAGACTGAATCTTGCGAACCGATACTGTGTTGGAACTGTTCTAGTCTTGTGCTCAAAACCTGTAACATTAGGCCAAAGTCTTGCCCAAGAACTGGTTTAGTTCCTCCTGCAACGGCAGGACGATATTCTCAACTGCAGCTTGTAGGCAGTTGGTGTCCTGTAAATCAACCGTGGGATCGATAGACTCTTTCATACAATAACTGACTGCACTTTGATAAGCAGCAGACAGTTCCCCAGCTTCGCTTTGTATCCAGTTGTGTACCAACGTAAGGAGGTTGTATTTCTGATCTGCTGAAGCGTCACCACTTTCGTTTTCAAACTCCGACTGGTGGTATTTTTCGGCAGTGGTCCCGAAGTAAAGCTCGAGCAATGCTACGGCTAAAGCGAGCAAGAAATTGTTCTTCAAAACCATTTGCTTGTAGCCTTTTGACCCGTTTTCAGAATGGTCAGCTACGTTTGGAGCGAGGTATGCATGATCGAGATCGATCGGACACGTGGTATCTGATGTTCGGTGGAAAAGAATATCTCGCGCAGCCCATTCGTTGGCAAGCCAGGGCGTTGAGTTAAGGTAGAGTATACTGGACGCTAATGTCAACGCTAGGCTATATCTCTCTTTTCTGCTCAACTTGGAGCGTTTTCCGTTGATGACGGGTGGCTTCTCTAGCAGTGTCTCCAGAGATATCAGTTCTGTACTGGGAATCTGTGCTTCCGCCGTGTCGACTGAGTAAGCCCCTCGTAGTTTGCTTTGACTGTCTAACGAAAAGCCGATGGTCGGGGACTTCTTGTAGAGTTGTTGAATAGATGCGCAAAGGTCTTTGACCTCCTCATATGAAGGTGGTGAAGTGGTCGCCGGATCTTGAACTGCGTAAGGAGGAAGCGATCCGAAGCTGACATTCCTCTGCATCCTATTCGGTTTGGGGGAGGCCATCGGTGAAAGACAGGCATCGTCCTCCTCGTCGACGCAGATCCTAGCGGCTTGAAAAGTCCACGAAACGCCACTGCTGTCAGGCGAAATGGTCGAGAAAGAGATATTGAAACTCGTCTTGTTATTGCGGAGCGCTTCCCGAAATCTCGGCGCAAAAATATCTCCGCGAGGGTCGAGTTGGAGACTTGCTGTATGGGAAGACTTGCATGAGCATGACCAGCACACACAAAGTGCGTCGTGTAGAATCTTGGCATAGCGCTGCAGCTTCTGCAAGCGTGTAGCATACGAAGGCTTGCTCGGTCTATGGTAGGTTTCGATCTTTTCACTCTTTTCCGTGAACCTCTCGAGCTGCCTGTTGCACTCATCAAGCTTCTCCAGAAGTGCGCTTAACTTCTTCTTGCTCATACCAAAACGAACACGCTTGCGGAATTCGAACTTATCGTTGGATTTCTTCGGGTTCGCGGCAAGCAACGTGTCGAGATTATTACGAGTAAGCTACAAACGGCGTCAGTCAATAATGCTCTCAACATACCATGTGTATTTACCTCGGCTGCGCCGTCCAAATCTAGTCTACTCGCGATGCTCTTCGTGATTTGTTCGATCTCGACCATGATACTTTGATACGAGTTGTAAGCGTTTTGAAGCTTGTCTTGAAGCGCCGTTTCCTTGCTCTTCCACAGTCCCCGAGATGCCATGGGATCAGTGGTCATTTTTGTCCATTCAGCTTCAGAGGTGATGGAGCCGAAAAGTATCCGAATCGTCAGCTCGTAGTGATCGTACTGGGCCCTGAGTTTCCTGAGAAGGGCGGGATACTCAATGTCTCGATCCCACATGCTCCTCAAAGTACTAAGTCCTTCTCTGTAGCTGTCGATTCCTAAAAAATAAATTAGTAAGCCGTTCATTGATTGTTGGCCGAAATAAAACATTACATACCTTGAATAATCAGCGGCAAAGCGCCAAGTACAAGGCCAGCAACCTCAATTCCGCTCATTGTAGCTTTTAACTTAGGATTCGGGATAAATGTCGATGTTGCGCGTCATTGGCGAATGGTGGAAGAAACGAACGCCGAGCGGGGTTCGAGTCTGAATCTCTTGACTGGACCTCACGGTAGACACACGAAGAGACGCAGACAAGCCAACTATTACCTACGAGTGAACCATATTTTTGCGAGGGAGAGTAAATAGGACGCGCAAATCTGTAGATTTGCGAAGGACACGAGGTTGCGAGAGGGTGCCACTGTCTGCGAGGCGCCTGAACTGCGCCCCCCACCAATCTGGAAAGAACTTAGCATCGCCTCACCCCATGCAGTCATTAGGCTGCACAATGGCACAGCCGCTTACTAGCCAAATGCCATCTCGTTGCGGACCAGATTGAACAAAGAACATCTATCAGCTTATACGACTCGACTGTCTGGGTTCACGACACCTTTCTACTCCGATGTCTGAGGTCCCTCAGAGCCGCAAGTCCCCGCTCGCTTCCGTCCTCGGCATGCTAAGCTTCCACAATGTCGACCTTGAGGCTCGCAACAGCTGCTAACATACGCGCTTTCCAAATTTTGACCGACGCTCTTAGTGTAAGCGACAGTAAGTCTACGGAAGAAGTAGACGGCGATGCGCTCGAGGACGAGATCGGAAGGTTCAGAGTGTGGGCCGGTAATCTGGGTGCGCTGCAGAAAGGTCACAGCTCGCTAGACTACAGGCTACGCGACTCCCCGAATCTGCTTAGCAGTGCACTCAAGCTTCTGAACGAGCTTGAGCACAACCTCAATGAGACCTTTGCAGTCATATCTGGAGCTCGCCTACCTTACGAGGCGCAAACATCGACGGAAGAAGTTGAGGAAGATGAAAACGACGATGGGTTTTTCAGCGAAGAAGACGACAGTGATAGCGATGGGCCCAGGAGCGAGTTGAAGATGAGGTTTGAGGAGGTGGTTGACATCATCGACAATCTCTACAAGCTTAGCGTACGCATCAGAACGCCTAGCATACACTCAAGATCACTTAAAGCTTCCTCTTATATGCCAAAAGATCCAGAGACCGGAGTGGATATCCTTGATGCTTATGCTGAGTTGGACAGAAAGCATGTCCAGGAGCTACTCCTGCAATTACGCAAACAACATCCTTCGGGGGCTCAAGAAGAACAAGCCTCTCTGGTTGAGAGGCTAAGCTCCTCTATCACGCTACGTAGGCGGCATTTCAAGTACTGGAAGCGACACCGTGACAAACTCGGCGCTTCTGTAATTCCTGAAGAGGCACCGGAGCCTGTCGTACCTGCTTCACGTGAGGCACCTAACACAATCCGTAATGAGAACCTCGAAGCCTTTCCAACAACCCCGATGATCACCACCTCAAGACCGACGCCAAGCCAGAAGACCGGCAAGACTCTCTTGTCAGGCACCGAAGTGACACATCATCATCAGTCTCTAGATGACATAGTGGATACCAAGTCGGTGACAAGCTACGCTGTGACAGTGCGGGATCTGCACGGGAAAGGCATTGAATTACCGCCTCCGCCCAAAGCTGCCAACGGCGACAAAGACTTCGAGTGTTCGTATTGTTGGATTGTTTGCCCTGCAAGATATGGCAAAGGACGAGCTTGGAAGACGCATCTGCTACAAGATCTGCAACCATATATCTGCACTTACGAGGACTGCGAGAGCTCTCAACAGCTCTTCCGTAGTCGCCGGGAGTGGGCTGAACACGAAGCGACTCATCGTAAACTATGGCGATGTCCAGAACACGCAGCGGCCTTGTACAGCTCTGTTTCTGGTCTTGAGACCCATCTTCGACAAGACCATAATGGCAGCTTCCCTGAAGATCAGATAGCAGTCATTGCCAAGATCGGGGAGACGACAGCGATGGATACACGCACCAAGTGTCCGATCTGCTATGTACCTGCAGATACTGCCGGTCTAGGTGATTTACAAAGCCACATCGCAAACCATCTGGAACGCTTCGCTACCTTCGCACTGCCTCACGGGAGGGAAGACGACGCAGACGGCGCAAGCAGCATCGCAAGCCGTGGGAGTTCCAAATCTCAATCCCTACCTGACTCAGTCCGCACAGACACAAGCATTGATGAAATCGAGCTGGAAGATACTGCAAAATTGGAGGATTCCTCTGAGATCCTCCATGTAAAGGAGCCCGGACAGAATTTACTGTCCGCAGAGAGATTGCAGCAACTTCCCGACGAGAGTCATAATCGGTTCGCGTTGATCGCAAGCCAATCGAATGATCTGGAGGATTCGGAAGAGGAGCAACCTGATGATCAGATTGACGAAGACGTATCGCTTTCACACAAGAAACACCTAGACCACGTGGAAGCATTCAGACAACATGTCCTGACCCTTCCAGGGGCCTTGTCCGTTCGATTTTATCGACGCTATGGTTCCTGGCGTGGTTCCATAACTTTCGCTGATGATTGGGTTGGTGAGGAGGCGCTGAAGGTCTTCGATACTCAGCGCTTCCCCAACATGGATTTCAAACCCAAAAAGGACACGAGCAAGTGGAATTTCACCAGGATCAACCTGCCAGATAGTAAGTGAATGAATGAATGGCGACTAGGCCGCTTGTAACTGTTTGAGCATACTAACGATATTACTGCTACAGAAAAAGAGCATACGTTCAATCGCCAGTCAACGGCGGATACACAGGCTACCGAAGATGCTGAGACATTTTCAACTGGATCTGAGTTGTACGATCAAGAAGTTGAAGATTCAGAAAAACAAGCAATTATCTCAACAGCCGACATCCCCACATTGCGTTCCCTGTACCAATCTCGGCGGCTGTTGCAGCGCGATCAGAGCTTTGCGCCAAACGATGCTTATAATCAGATGATCTCGTTCTGTCATTACGATCTGACAAGGATGAGAGTAGATGCCATTGTCAATAATGCTCCATCTAACTTCAAGGCCCAACCTGATCCAAAATCGTTGCATTATGTTATATACCAAAGGGGAGGATCAGGTCTCAGGAACGAGGCAAGATCAAAGCCTAGAGTCAAGGCGGGTCAGGTCGAGCTTACTCATGGACACGATCTTCCGGCTTCGTGGGTGATACACGCTGCAGCGCCAACATATACCGGTTCCAAAGGTGTCGGTCAGTTCAACATTTTAAGCGCGTGCTATCGTGAGGCTCTGAGAACAGCTGCCACTTACGAATTCAAGACGATCGCTTTTCCTTGCCTAGGCACTGGAGGTTGCAACTTTCCGCCGCGTGTTGCTGCACGCATTGCGCTGCAAGAGATCAGAGAATACCTGGACGCACATCCTGAGCATCGCCCCGAGCGAATTATCTTTTGCGTAAAGGCAGCGATCGATGAGAAGGCGTACACAGACTTCTTACCGGTCTTCTTCCCACCTACGCATGGAGATCTCGACAGAGCGAGAACATCGGACTGGTCAGCGAATCGCGCCGCGTTATCAGCTCAGATACTAGAGGCACGTACACAGCTTCAAAAGGCCTTGACTGACATGTCCGACACCTACGTTTTTAGATCGCAGACTGCTGAGACTAACGTATGTGCCCATGACATGCGGAGGGTCGATTCTGCGCTGTTGTCCATCCGCAACTATCTTTTGGGATCAAAGGAGCTTAAGCGAAGTCTTGCAGATCTCAATTTACTGTGCTCTGTCATATCGACCGCGTGTAGTACCATATCGGAGATCGCAGAACGAGCGAAAGAAGTAGGCTTCACCAAGGAGGAGCAAAATTTCTGGGACGAAGCCAACACTGGTATGCAAGCCAGCCATGGATTCGATCTTTCGACTCTCTTCGACTATTGCTGGATGTTTGCGAACAGCTTAGATGGCGTCATAGCAGGCGATAGGAAGGAACCGGATTCGATGGCAAGAGCACGGCAAGTCTTGGAGAACTACGCTGTCAAACAGAAAAGTCAAAATGCGAAAGGTATCCGCGATCATCTGGACGAAGTCATACATGTGCGAAAATCCGAAGCACCTATCTCGAACAATCGAGAAATCATCCAAGTTCATCAGATACCTTCCGTTGCGCGGCTCTATCTACTTGGCGACCTTGAGGCCAAGCCAACGATGGCGCAACCATCCACTTCATTCAACCATACTGTCTGTTTGCTAAGGGAAGATATCACCAGACTCGCAGTCGATGTTATGGTAAACTCTACTGACGTTTCCTTTTCCGGCATGGGTACCTTGGATCGCACGGTTTTCAAGAAAGGTGGGCCGGGGCTACGTTGGGAAGTCGAAGCTGAGCAGATCGGACCATGCAAAGTGGGTGATGTCAAAGTAACTCCTCCTTTCCTCCTACCAGCCAAGCACGTTGTTCATGTCGTGCCGCCTGGTCAATTCAGAAAGGATACCAAGACGATCTTGAGAGGCATCTACCGGGAGATTCTACACACTGCCGTGGAACTGAGGGCGACATCCGTCGCAATACCCAGCATCGGAACTGGCATGCTGAACTATCCGCGACGTGACTGCGCATCATTAGCCATGGAGGAAGTGAAACGATTCCTGGAATCCGCAGAACCGGCTAACGTTCTCCACAAAATCATCTTCGTGGTCTTTTCCTCCAATGACGAGTTCGTTTACAAGAGCCTTCTGCCGGTCTACTTTCCGCCGCCGAAACGCAAGGTTTCCGATGCATCACAACGCGAGGAGCAGACCTCCGCTCAACACCAGGCAGCGATGACCATAGATGACCACATGCGAAACGAAGCTGAGCGAGAAGAGAAAAAACATGAGATACGAGAAAGATTTGCACAAGACACCCCACTTCCAGCGTCTGTTCGACAAACTGAGGAGACCCGAGAAGACTCGTCTTCATCAAAGCCATCTGCTACAATTCTTCCTGCCTCGTCTGACTTGCGGAAGCTGTCCGAGGTCAATGAGGAAGTTAGACAAATGCGTTACCGACAAATCATTCAACAGACGCAGATGTGGACCCACGAGTCCCGCCCCATGGATAAGAGCGAAGAACATGCATTGTTCCAATTCGAATCGCATGTTGACGACTGTGATACGTGTCATAATGGATTATATGAGAGGCGCCATGAACTCTGCCAACAGGGCTACCGTCTTGGAGAAGACATATGGCAGCGTGTGGAAATGTCTCCACATGCAAACGTTCATGCCAGAAGAGATAGATATAAATTGGAGGTACCAGCGGATCGTTTGCCTAGCTCCATGCTTTTGCTCTCGACTATCGCGCAAAGCGCTACGCAAAGCACACAGACGGAAAGTGGCCTTGGAGATCCGTTCTTCCAGACAGTCACACCTCGCGAGGTAAAACCAAAGGACCCGGCTCATGAAGATGGAAATGCGTCACACCATTCCGCAGTTGAAGTTGCAAACTCCACTGCGTCGGTTACAGAGCCACCTGGGGTAATCCATGCGTCGGTCCTTGCTCCGTTGACATTCGGGGACTGGGTGCACTCCATTCTCCATATCCATCGGAGCAAGATCGAGCTATATCATACAAACAACTATTCTGAAGGCAATCCGTATGCGACGATAGATCTCCGTGGTGCCAGTTCATCTTTGACTCGAGGCGCTACATTGGACTACTCTAACCAGCAGGGGCAGGCTAGAGCTGCAGACTATCAACAAGCGCTGTCCTATCACAACTGGATGTTGAAGAACGGTTACCCGAACCACCCACCGCCTTCTCCTCGAACCCCAGATGCTTCCGCTGTGCGTCTACCTCCACACGCAACGTCTTTGCTTGTGGAGAAATTGGAAGAAATGGAAGGGAAAGGAACACAGAGAGTAGATAGAATTCGGGTGATGGAACGATGGCATTTTCTCGACGCACTAGCTCCCGAAGCTCCAGCGCTGTTCGACGCTCTCCAACGGCTTGTCAACCGTAACAACAAGACCCAGAGAGATCTGGCAACGCTTTGGACGATCGGAAATGAAACCGACAAAGACTACCTCGATAAGCGGGAGAAGGGCCTGCAGTCTTCCGCACATGTCTCGAAAGATGTCGCGTCCAGTTCAGCCGGCGGACCCGATGATATGAAACCGACTTTAGGAGAGGATACGCAGTCCGAAAAGATTCTTGCATATCTTTCCTATGATCTAAAGACACGAAGTGGCTCCTACATAGGACAAACCACCAACAAGATTGCTGACGCAGTTGATATTGACGTCGGTCTGGTCAATACGGTATTGCACACCCTTGCTGCACATGGACGCGTGCACAACACTATCAATGACGATACCTGGGTTATCTCGGAAGAGGCTAAGGAGCTTCCTCCGATTGAACAAGTGCTCCGACCACCAGAATCAGGCGATGGTTACCCATTCACTTCAGCTGGTCCGTCTACTCTAGCTGATCGAATAGTATCATGCTTGAGTACCAGAGCCCAGGGGTTATCTCTAAAGGATTTTGGTCGCGAACTTCAGGCTTCTGATTCAGAACTTGTTATGATGATACACTCATTAGCATTGAACGGATACATCGCGTTTGAAGACGATAAACGCACGTGGATTTTGACCGACTTGGGCGAGCAAAAGGCAGTCGAGATACGAGTGAGAGGGGAAAGAGACGCCATACGAGACACTGAAACGTTTGCCCCGAATGAGAATTCACCAAGCGAACTATCCGAGCGTGCTCTATCTTACTTGAAAAGCCTGCCTGGAATAAGCGAAAACATATCAGATCTCGCGGCTACTTTTGATACCCCGGTTGCAGAGCTCCGACCGGTACTCGACAAGCTGGAGTCTGAGGGTTTAGTAGAGCACCAGGATGATAATTCCAGTTGGACGGCATCGCTTTCAACAAACCAGCAAGCTGATATCCCACATCCTCCAATGTACCCATCTGCTTCTACCAGAGACCATCGACCTGTTTCACCGCAACTACGACATACAAGGTCGCTAGATTTCAACTCACCTACACCGCCCGGTATTCGTACGCCTTCCTTGCGTAGTACATCACCAGCAGTAGAGTCTACCATGGAGACTAGTCACATTGATGACGAATCAAGCGAAACGAGGTCCAGGGTAAGCCGGGGCGAACAAATGTTTCATCGATTTAATCTCCCAAATCCAACATCCTACCGCGGTCCTGAATTCCCGCACAACGATTATTTCGTGCCGGAACAGCAAGATGTGGAACGTCCTGCGATCGAGGCAAAGAGGTCTACAGAAGGATCCAGCTGGAGAGATGGAACGGGTGCGAAACAAAGGAAACAGACCAGATCCACTAGAGAAATAGCAGAAGATATCGACGAAGACCTGCAAGAAGGTACGGCAAGTAGCTTGAGACGAGCCAGGATGGCAAAGGAAAAGAAACACAAAAGATCGAGTAAAGTAGCAGCTAAAGATATCGACGACGAATTGGAGTACTACGATGGGCAGGAGGAGGACTTCGTGGATGATGAGGAAGATACGAAAGTGCAGGGTCAATGAGAATCGGAGATCTCGAACTGTTCATTGGATGCATGTTGGTTCTGGACGTCTGTGTTGGTAAGGCTCTGGTCCTCCTCTTTCGGGATGAAGTATGTGAGACCGGGCCGCTTCTGGAGAATGGCAGTGCATTACTTTCGATCAATATTTTTTGAACTTCGGGTGTATTAGAATCTCCTATGGATAGATGTCCTTGTCAACCTCACTACCGCATACTCACTCACGTAGCATGCAAGATGTGAATGCACAAGGAATAACTGAACACGCAAGGGGATAGACTTGGTGTGAGCATGTACACACTCGGGTGTACCGCCTCTTTAGTAAGCGTCATTTATACACGTAATTGCTAAAACATCTTGTGCGTCTCAGATATAATGTGCTCAAAGACGTATGTGCATAACATGGAAATTTGAATGGCCTTCGCCTTGAGAAAAGACGTGTAGAAAATACGCCCGGGTCTACCCAACCGCCAAACTCCCATCATAATCGTAAATCTGTGCTACCAAATGCCCAAATGGTATACCAAAAAACGCCAATCCCATAATCCCCCATCCTGTCGTTTAACAACCGCCGCCGCCGCCGCCGCCTCCATCTCCTCCTCCGCATCCTCCGCCTCCACCATCTCCGCCGGAAAAACCACCTCCACCATCTCCTCCACTGAAGAAACCACCACCGCCTCCGTATCCTGCTGCGTATGCACCGTGACCCCCACCATAAGTACCACCGCCGCCGTGACGGCGCTTGTTACGTTTTGTTTGGCGCATCGGAGGAGGATATTCAGAAGGTGGTTTGGACATGCCGCAGCCCATTTTTGCGATAGTTCGTTGATGTGTGTAGATTTATTGGATTATGCGAAACTCTCGCTGATTACGCGTATCTGACAGTTGGATACGTGTGGTGTAGTTGTATGAGATACGTAAGTATTCGAGATTTGTATCTGACGATGATGCGTATGCGACGTTGATGAAAGTATCGTAGACACTTTACAATATGAGAGAGTGTTGGTATGACCTTGTAGGAACCGGTTTCGTGACGAGGATGATGATGATGATGATGATATCTCCCTGAACCACGGGACACCACAAACCCTATATACCTACCACGACTCCCATCTTACCCAACCATAATCATGCGCACATCATCTGCAGCAGCCAAAGTCTGCCTTACAGAATGCGCAGAACTAGGGCACAAGTCATCAGGCCCCCCAGACACAGCATCCACAATCGTCATATCTCCTACTCCCATCTGGGTCTGACGAAGCGAGGTATCCAGTCGCAATCCACCTTTTTCTCTCTCTAACATCAGCCTAAGCCCACAACGTGACCGGCGGCCTGAATCACAGCCCGTCGAGGCGTTGTACCACTACCCGATTGATGCGAGCGTGTCTTGCCCACCTCATCTGTCGCAGCTGCTTTGATTCGCCAACTCGCATAAGGCTCATAGGGCTCACCAGATCGCCAGTCCCTATTTACCCGAAGAGGAAGTAATCGAGCGCGCAGGGCTGAGTGGGAAACCGAGTGCGGCTGTGCAGACAACATCACGTGGATTGCGATCTTCATCTCTCGGCCCGAAAATTGTGGTTCGCGTGGCTGGAACAGGTTAACGCTTTTTACCGGTGGAAGGCGCGAAGAACATTATTATGGGTTCGATGGCTCGAGTAGCTGGGAACATGTGGCTGTGGTTATTTCCGAATGTTTGGGTGTCGATTTGCCGGTCGCAACAGTGTGTGGATAGGGTACAAAGACCTGCGTAGCGATGTTGTAATGCGATACGAACGCATCTGTACGAGGCATACGACAAGTCTTTCTCCAAGGCCAAGGTAAGGCACACTTGTTCCAATCAGCTAGGGTATCTCAAGTCTATATACGATAAGCTGTTGAACTTTAAGAATTATATCATTGGAGTATATAGCGCCGTATCGATAAACATGATCAAGGAAACCCCCAGATGGTTAGGAAAGAAAAGATGCTTGCTACAAGCATAAAAGATGGGTCTCCAAACTCCCCGCTGCTGATCCCCCTAAGAAGAAGTGACCGGATGTCAAGAAAAGCGCTTTGGTGTCCGAACCGTGCCAATCTATCGTCGTCAAGTTGTTTTTGTAAAAAGGCGTAACCACTCGCCTAGCCCATTCTACGCATTGCTATCGAGCCCAATCCCAAAAAATGCGTAGCCAAAAGCGATGAAGATGCAAGGGAAGCTCCAAATCAAATGAATGCTCGTCGCGCAAACGGTAAAGGTCCGCACACACAGACAACAGAGCATCTTGTCTCGCATCTTACTTTCCGCCCTGCTTCTTTGCCTTCAGAGCAAGATGCGAGTACACCCAGCCACCACCAAGCGCGAGAAGTACACCAAACCACTCTCTGCCACTCAATATTTTGCCTTCGCTGTACCATCCTATACTCAAGATCATGATAGTCTTGAGGTGGCTGACAATGTTGAATGTGAGTGCACTCGTGCGACCAATGATCAAGAACTGGCTCAAGTTGTACATGGAAGCCATGATACCAGAGGCGCAAACGCTCCAGAGAATATCGGTGGGTACAGTTGAAAGATTCGGGATTGTGTCGAAGAAGGGGACGAAGGGAATAAGGAGGCAGACGGAGATTGGCGCCTGGTTGAGCAGAAGTTGAGGTGGGGAAACAGCAAAGTCTTCAATCTTCTTGCCAATCCAAATCTGGTACAGAGCAGTGCTGCAGAATGCTAGTGTGGCCACGATGACACCGAAGAGCTGGGTCTTGGCAGCCTCGTTGATGGTAAAGGAAACACCAATGCATGTGGCCAAGATTGCAGCTAGCATGTATCGTGTAACCTGCTTTCGGAAGAGAACAAAGTTGATGAGAACGACGGTCGGTGTAGTCATGACCTTGGAGAGCTGGTAGAAACCGATCGAGTTGAAGGTCAAGCTAAGGTTGCCAAGCACAACGTATCCGGCGAAGAAGCCGCAGACGGGCAGCATGTTCCATACGTTCAGTCGCACAGCCTTGAAGGCGTGGAAAGGCCGGAGGGTCGAGATGAAGAGGACGAGGCCAGTGGCTGTGAAATGCCACATGACGACCATGAGTTGACAGCCTTTTAGCTGCTTGTCGCTGAAGACTCTACCCGGCTGTCAGTAAAGTCGCACAATGGCTGAACAGGTGTGTTGTCGTACCGCTTGCTCAGAAAAATCAAGCCTAGGGTTGAGAGGGTATTGAGCGCAATCCAGAAACATGTTATCAGCTTCTCCTTGAGTGATACTGGCGTGGGCTCGGTCAAGGGTTTCTCGAAAGTGGGCAGCTCTTCGAGCTCGTGGGACTCTCGGGGGTCGACATTGTCGACGAGACCCTCGATTGAGGGGCGCTTCTCAACTGCATGTCTGTCAGTCCCTGACGTGTTCCATTTCTGACAAGTGGTATGCCGTTGACACGCGAAGTATCAAGGGTCTAGGCGGTGTCCGGGGGCTCGACGTACCCATGGTATGCGATGCTGGATGACGAATGTAGCGAGCGACAATAGACGGGCAGGCTCGTATCGACTATGCCTTCATGCCAGTGGGAAGGTGCGAGCTGGCAATGCGAGGGGAGGCGTCAGACGAGGAAGGCGCGGGCTGATGGTGTTGTTGCACGGTAGTAGCGGGTGAGCCGGGGGAGGTGCGGCGGTGCAAGCAGATGGTCCCGTGTGGCTTCAGAAGCGACCGAGGTAGTTGCAGCGACGAGAAACAACAACAGAGAAGCCGGAAGATGAAAATACGGTTGCGAAAGCGCGACCGAAAATGTCGAGAAGGGCGAACGAGGCGGGGAGGGCCAAGGGGGAACACGACAGAAGACCCGAGTGAGATGCTATCCGAAAGGGATCCTCAGACGCCAAGGCCAATGAATGTTGAAGGGGGCGAAGACGATGCAGGGTTCGTTGTTCAGGCACGTGCACGACAAGCCACCAGCCCCAGTCTCCAGGCCAATCAGTCCTCTCCTAGCGCCACGCTGTCAGCCAAATCTACGAGGTTAATTTTAGGCCTTGATGCGGTAGCGCTACTGCTTTCGGTTCCGTGCCGTCTAGAGTCCAGATGTTGACAAGCAAGAGTGCGCAACTTTGAACATGTCCATGATGCTGCAATGTCGATGCATCCTGCTCACAGCCTTGGCAAACTCTCCTACCCATATTTCCAAGACATGATGGTCGTCACATCGTTTGGGCATTGCTTCTGTAATGCCGACACATCCGGCTCTGCTCCGCCCATCATTCGGACAAAATATCTCCCCCGTCGCACCACTGTCCTTCCCCCAATACGAGTTACGGCGGATACAGCATACGCAACTCCTCCGCATCCACACATTGGTGCTACCTGCGGCTGCACGTAATCTTGTTGGTTGCGCGTCCTGGGCGCATACACGTAGTATCTAAAGCTTTTCAAGTTGATGACATGGCCGACTTTGGAGAGGGTATGCTTGCTTGCGAGCGGAAATTTAGCTGCTGACATCCCAGGGCCAATTGCACCGAGCGTCAAGATCTTCTCTCATCTTGTATTGCTGTTCTCGGTCAAACGAGGTCCCATCGTTGCACGACAAACCAACCAACCGCGTGTGACATAACAGTAACGTGTTCTCTTGAATTTTTCAACTCCCCAATCTATGCAGAGAGGCCTCGTAAATACTAGCCTTCAAGTGATCGACCCTAGCGCACAGAGAAAGACGGATAGTGTACACATACATGAATCCCACACCCTACAAGAAAACCAACATAATCGAGTAGCCCATCGGTAAAACTACTCCTGCTACTGCCTTCGCATCGAATTATAGACATGTAAAGAAATATGTCGTCGTGGTGTTACAAAAATTATACCTCTCCGTCAGCGACAGCAAGACGCTGCTTAGCTGTCTTCGCCTTTTTACTCAACCCACCCTTCTTACGCTTGCCACCCGCAGGCGCTTCAGTGGGTGCGATGGGTGTAGCGGCACCACTTGCCTTTGCGCTCTCGTCAAAGTGTCCTTCGCCTGGTCCTAGTCAGTATATGTTTTCAAGCAAGT